GCCTTTCAAAGATTTGGACTGCCGCTTTGATCCTTCTTCAACAGCTCTGACCAAACGCTCTCAAACGCCCTCCAACAGTACGTGTGTTTCTCGCACTTAAAGCGATAGTGTTTGAGACCGATTATAGCCTATAAGAGGCCTACTGTTGCCTTACACAGCGTTACTATCGTATACTCAATTGTGTTGTAAATCTACTTTCCTCAGTAAAAGGAAATTTACTAATGGCGAGTATTGTATGGTAAATCTACTATCTTGATCACTGAATGAAGGAGAGATGAATTAGAGTAACTAAAGGAGTCACTTGACCAATAAATAACTCTACAATGCACACGGCGACACGCCAGGTAAGCCGGTGTCCTAGCGGATTTGGATCCCCCGGTCCAAATCTGCTAACGGATATGGACCGCCTCCGCGGATTTGGACCCCCCAACAAAACTGAGTGAAAACATCATCCTTATCGTTCTAGTAAACATGGATGATACTTTACGTTCCAGTGCGTACTAAAGTATGTTTTAATTCAGTACATGCGTATCGTTAATGCATACGAACTGGCATCCCGTCGGATGTTTCTTTTGACCAAGGGAAAATGGGCAACAATTTAGTTTAATGTCTGGAGAAAGGTCGTTTCTGAACCTTTTCCGTGATAGCCGAACACCGCTGGATTCAATAAGAGAAAAATTTGTGACACTAACTTATTTTGTCATTGTTCAATGCCCCAGTGTTGGGACGACATGGTACAGTGCGAGTTGTGCGAGGAATAGTTACACATGAGCTGCGAGGGATTTAAGACTGCCCCGGAGGACGAGTGGCTCTGCATTGTCTGCAGATCGCCAGACTCTAGACGTCTTCGTAATTGTTAAGGTGTTATTTCGGATCTCTCATCAGTTAATAATCGTTAAAATTAGAAAATAAGATTGAGTTCGATGTAATAGTTTCCACTTTTGATAAGACGTGGACATTAATGTTGATTTGCATCTGAAATTAAGCTGAGAGTTCCAATAGTTCAGAATAGAAACATTTTTACTTATCATAGGCTTTGCGAACGACTTGTAGTAGGAGTAGTTTCTTCGTTCTTGTTCAGAAACTGTTTAATGTTATTATTTTAGAAAATCAGACTGAGTTATTTTTGTGACAGGACGCAATAGTCTACTATTTTTATGACGTTTCGTGTCAATGTTGATTCGCATCAGAAGAAGCAAAGATTTATTGTAACAATTTCAATGGTTCAAATGCAGTAGTTTGTTCACATCTAATTCTTGCATATACATATATGTATGACTCGCTATAATAAATGCGGTAGAATTGGAACGAAATTGCTGTGTTGTTTTTTTTTTACCTTTATTGATGTTGTGTTGCGATTGAAAAGAACATAGACAAAAAGCTTGCAAATAGAATTAGTAACCAAATATGATACAAAGGATGCTTAAAAGGAAAGTCTGGTGAGGGGGTCCAAATCTGCGAAGGGGTCCAAATTCGCTGTGACACCGGAAAGCAGAAGGCAGTCGATGGTTAAAAGGTGTTGATAGGCTTGTGCGACTCCTGCCATTCGCTTGTGCTTTTAAATCTTCTGACCTGAGAGCTAAGCTGTTATTAGGATATCTTTTAATGACTTTCGTTCGCGATGTGATAGTAAAGGTTAGTTTTCAGGTGTCATTTCTCCATCTGTGTGTTCTTGGTCTCCTTGAGGATTGTCAAAGCCGGATTAGATTGTGTTACCAAAGGTAATATTTTTATCTGTGTGCGCTATTTTTTTCGTTTTCAGGTATACTGTCTCTCCCGCATAAAATAACTCCAGAGATACGCTTCTCAAAACCTTATTCTCGGTATTCTTTATTCTTTAAGCATATTTGAAACTGTACGTTGAGCGTAACGAATTTGGTCTTAGGAGGCGTAAGGCTTCTCCTTTCGCGAATCCTGCTATCTCGCTGCCACAAGAGATGTTCACTCGACCGCGACAGGATGCAAATGACTCGCTTTTCGTTTTACGACCATGATGCAACGCAATCAGAGTGGGCACACCGCCTGTGTTTAAGTAGTGTACATTACTGCGAGGATCACTTTCATATTCACAATATACACAGTAACACAGTTATCTCGAACCAGATTTCTACGGGTTGTGGTCACAAAATTTTTTTTGACTAGTCAATTACATTGGCGGACCCAGACCTTGACATGGGGGGGGGGGGGGAAGGGCGTTTTTTGTCGCTTGCCTTGCCGGCTTTTTTTCCTGCTGCGATTTTTTTTTATAACCCAAAATATAGAGGAGGGGGAGGGAGGGGGCCCGGGCCCCTCCCCTAGATCCGCCGCTGAATTCTCGAAACATCGCGGCAAAAGAAGATTTGCCGCCAATGACACTCTTTCATGTTAGGTAAAGGCATTCTCGATTCAGGGGAAGAACCTTTAGTTATTAGTTAGTTGGCATCAACATCAGATTCCCTAGCGAGGTTATTGGGATTCAAATAATCTTTTTTTTCTAGGTTTCCCTCTGGATAATCAGAAGTCGCATGAAGAAAAATATAATTTAGCGAATAGCCATCATGTCGTCATCATCTTGCATGGACCAGCGAAGGTGGAAATAACCCTGTTTCAACATGGTCATCAAGAATCTACAAAGAAAAATTAGTTTGAATTAACACTCCAACAGAACTGACACGCAGCAAAATGTTTAATATCATATGTTATCGAAAGAAACCGGGGCTTGGTTCTCCTTGCCGAGATGTTGGCTTTACAAAGTGTCTCCGAAGAACCGCTGTACATATTTGCTAATACTAATTTGTTTTCAGTTAGCATTTCTCTGCGCATCTTTTTGTCGTAAGCATTCTCGTCTAGATTGTATTTGCTTGCGGTTGGCGTTTCTCGATACATTTGTTTACTGAAGGGTAGCATTCTTTCACTGGAAAACGCGCCTCTGAGGTAACACGATTCACTATTACCGCGGTACCAGTCGTACATAATTGACATTTAATTGACAAACCTCGGCTAAGCCTTCCTCAAGAACTGACATTTCGAGATAGAACTGTACACCAAGATTTTCTTCGGATTGGTGCAATTTCTACACCCCTTCAGTTACACTCGCCAGACGTCAACTTCAGAGAGCGAGAACTATGTACACGACGCTCAAAAAGAGAACAAATGACTAGCAAAAAAAAACTTACCTCTCTAAGCACTTCCGCTGTAAGTTCGAGATAATTGTAGCTAAAACCCGATTCTTCAATCTTTGATCCGTTAACGAACAAGTGATTATCATAATGAAGTTCCTATTGAAAGAAATGAGGCAAACCAAAGCTGAAATTCGTAGTAGCACTATAAATGCAGGGAAGGGCGTAGCAGTTATGAACAAGCAGCTCGCTTCCCAAAATTAAAATTTAAAAACTAGGAAATGACAGAAAAACGAAAAATAAAACACTTTATTTGTTTAGTGCATCACTTTTTAAAGACATTTAGAGGGGGTTACAGACCAAAACAGCCTAAAAGTTCTTAGTACTAACAGCCTATTAGGACACATATCAATTTACATTGGCCTATATTCTGAAATCTTTCTTAAGATAGTCTATCAGAAAGGTACTAACTTTGATGTCCTAGATTGTTTATGTTTTGTAAATGGTCGGTAGCACACATAGTATCTAACATCAAAAACACTTTATTTGTTTAGTGCATCACTTTTTAAAGACATTTAGAGGGGGTTACAGACCAAAACAGCCTACACGTTCTTAGTACTAACAGCCTATTAGGACACATATCAATTTACATTGGCCTATATTCTGAAATCTTTCTTAAGATAGTCTATCAGAAAGGTACTAACTTTGATGTCCTAGATTGTTTACGTTTTGTAAATGGTCGGTAGCACACACAGTATCTAACATCCATGGCTTACATGGGTTCTTAATATAATACTTCTTAGAAGTGACTGTCTGTGTTTGATAGATGTCTTCATTGACAGTCAACTGTGCTACTTTTAATTACTCATTCAGTCCTTGCCTGTCAGCTTTTCCATAAATAATTGTTGGTCTAGCAGTGATAAACTTTAATCTAAAAAGTCAAAAAGTAGATCACTTAGTGCCATCAAAACCTTAAAGTTTCCCTTGGTTTTCTCTTTGTGTTCCGTGTTTCAAACTGGTCACCAGCCATAAGTACGAGGTAAAACACAGGGAAACTTAAAGTATATGTATGTGAAAGGGGACTGAGGGAATAAATTGAACCACAAAAATCATATTCAAAGCTAGTTTCAATTTTCCATCAATTATTTCATGCCCATCAAGTTTAGCTATTTCTTGTTCCACCATTAGCTTGTATTTTGCAATGTGTCCATGGTGATTTCTTGCTGTCTTTATTACTTATGCCCTGTTACAAGAACAGAATACAAGTGAATGAATGGAAGAATGGAGTTCGATCAACTTAATGCTGTGGCTGATCATGGAGATCTGTCTGACTATTATTCTTGTGATGAGTTGGAGAATGACAATAAGTTGAGAGACCAAGAAGAGGACCATCAAGAGCTGCTAACATCAATATTTCAAAGGAAATGTTTTCACAAGCAATACAAATTAAACAAAACAGTTGTATTTCATTTTGAAATTAAACCCTAAGGGTTTTCCTTTTCATGTAAGGCAATGTAAATAAGGATAAAATAGACCCCAAGAAGAAAGCTGACCTGGGCAACAAAGTTCCTTTTCAGGCAAATAAATTTCAGAAATTGCTAGTCTGGTGGCTTGTAACACAGCTGAGCAGGTGTCCAACCCTGTTCATTGTATGCTACTAAAACAAAGTATGTGTGTATTCCCAAAATATCAATGTGATAAACCAAACAAAGTAGCTCATCAAAATAAGGTAGGAGGAAAATTTAAATTATATGTTTACCAAAATACCTACAAGAGATTGCATGATTGCGATAACCACTGGTGGCAGCCAGGAAGATATTGAGAGCACAAACATTAACCCCTCTTCAAGAAACCCTTTCACTCCCAAGAACTTACTTATGATTCTCCTCACAAAATGTCTGACATGGGATGACAAAACAATTTATTAAACTTTTATCACCACTGCATCGAGTATTGCAACAAGCTGACTTTGGTATAATATACTAAAATACATGGCATATAGGCTAAATTTAAAACCTAACACAAAAAACCGATACAAAAACTACCTTTGGTAGTATATAACTTAAATCTATAAAATGCTACACCATACAGGCCTACTCTTAACGAAATGAAATATAATTAAGTTATCAGAATACTTTTAAAATGATTGCCGTTTCTTTCTCTTGGTGGTAAAAAATACTGGCAACAATTTAAACTGCACTCATCCTCACTTGTTCAATTCTTAACTAACCTGCATCAAGTACAGTAGCAATTTTCTAAACAAAGAGAACACTCTTCTGAAGAGCAACTCTAGATCCTAAATAAATGCTTAATTTTTATATATGTCATGGACAAAGCTATCAATTGGTCTCCTCTATATAACCTATTATAAAAAAATTATTAACATAAAATGAAACCTATCTGACAGGCTAGTGTCTAAAAGAATGCTTAGAAATTTAATTGCTAAAGAAGTTTTTCAGCTTTTTTACCAAAAAGCAACTCTGTTAAATACAGTCACATATCACATACATTAATAAACAAAGCCTTCTTTGCTAAATCATAAACAATGGAGAGGAAAATATCCGTCTGCCATAACAAACTGGAATCATTCTTCATAAAAAAATATTTTGAATCAATTTTTCTTTGTGAAAAGATAACAAAGGGCTCTAATTCTTTAGTTTATGACTGCACACTGAGTTAAATGCCAACTATGCACTGAAACTTACAACAAATTTAACCTAGAAAAAAGGAAATATCAAACTAATGTAATAAACTGTGATGACAGTTTACACAACCAAGGGAGCCTTGTCGTGAGTCTGTGCTGTTTCTTCTGTGAACATGGCCTGTCCAGCAGAAGTACCCTGGGGGTAAGCACCCTGAGGGTAAGCACCCTGAGGGTAAGCACCCTGAGGGTAAGCACCCTGAGGGTAAGCACTCAGAGGGTAACCACCCTGGGGGTAGGCCATTGGAGCCCCTCCGCTAACCTGCATGGATGAATGAGATACCACCACACCAGTGGGGGCCATTGTTGGCTGAGCAATAACCACCATGGGGGGATCCTAAAAGAAGCAAAGATTTGCTCAGTCATTGTGTTACTCATTGCTGTTTTCAACATTACTGGCAAGCATAAATAACTTACAAACAGAATGCCAGTAATACTAGAATGTTGTCAATAACTCACGCAGTGAGGTATTTAACACATATCATTACTAGTAGCAGTGGACTACAAAATACAAAGATGTGTGGTTCATTTGCTTGAGAAGGGTTCAGATTCTTTCTTGTCCACCACTCCTCAAAAACTGAACATCTTTCTTAGCAGTTTTTTTCCCCCAAGGAAAAGAACAGATTTAGTGCTTTCAATCCTACAAATCTCTAAATGTCTCTCTACTTACAGGTGGGGCACAGCAAGTTGTAACACAGCCCAAAATTGATCCAGCCAGGGCCAAAGCAGTGGAGATGTAGCAGACAATCATGATCACAATAATCACAGTTCTGACGTTGTTCAGGTAGGAGCAGTCATCCACTGCTGTAAAGAGTGTCATTTTAGAGATAATACCTCTGACAGTGATCAGAGAGGTGGTTCATTGAGTTACAGAGATGACATAAAACTTATAATAATTATTATATAAAAATTACCTTAATTAATTATATTTTTTATTATTGAACTACCATTATCATTATTAGCATTGCCATTCTCCTGTAATTTTGTGGACAAGAGTTATAAAGGATTACATATATACAGTATTTTTGTCTCCCTTTTGCAGTCTGTGTTGGCTAGAAACTTGAAAATTTTGACACCGAGTTACTGAAATGGGTTCTTCACCCCACTTATAAATTCACTCAACCCTTTAATTCCCAGATCAAATTTGTAATTCTCCTTACTGTCAACCATACAATTCTTATAATGTTAGTTTAGAGAACTTAGTATTGGATCAACAAATCTTCCCCTAATTGATTTTTTTCCTTTATTCTCATAACTCATCTAGTTGATATCATATTGATATTATATGGGGAACTTCTGTCCTGGTCACTCATGGGAGTTAAAAGGTTAACTTAAAAAGAATATTTACACAAAGCATTGTGCAACAATGTGTAGCCATGGGGAAGTTTTGCAGGACTCCAAAAAATCCAAAGAGCAAGAAAGAAAAGTGATACTAAAGTAGAGAAAGATGCAAATTGCAACTTTATATGCATTTAATTGTGCAACCAAGTGTCTTCCTCTCAATTATAGCAAACACGTTGATTTTTCAGGATGTTGATCTTGTGACACTCTGCAATAAGTGTTTGTAGTTTGTGCAAAAGTGTGATAAAACAAATCACAAAATCCAGATACAAAACTTAATTGCAATTTTGGGAATGATCTTTGTTATATATGGACAGATCACAATACAATTTAATTAATTACCATTTTGAGACACCAGTAGTGCAAATTTTCACCAATATTATAATAAAACTGACATTAACAAAGCACCTCTGATCATATTTTAGCACAGGATGCAGAATTTCAGAAAAGCTAGATTTTGTTTTGAATAACTGGAATGTTAAAAAATATAGGAGAAATGAAAAAATTACACCATTACAAAATAAATGTTATTAAATGGTAGAGTCTAACATACCTCCATAACTGTTGCCATCTGAGCAATCATAAACATCACTTGTAACATTCCACACGGTCAGAGCTATAGTGACAACAATCGACGCTATTGCAGAAATGACTGTGACAATAATGCTGAAGACCAAAAATGCAACCATCTGGAATAAATTACAAAATATAATTTAGATTAATAGCATTCAGTTTTCACTCTCAAATAATCATTTATAACATAAATTTTCATACCTTTATTAGGCTATACAAAGAATTCTGTGTCTCAGATTTGCATAACTTTCCCAAATTCCTCTACCTTCCCTCTCATATTTAGATCATTGCGACTATACAAACATGAAAAAGTCTTCAATATGAAAAATGTAAGGAAATATGCCATAATTTTCTGACAATTTTCAGAGTCACCAGATAACAAAAACGTTTCATTCTTTTCTTTCAGAACAACCACAAAAAAAAGCTTTACAAAAACAAAATATTTGCAAAGAGTAACACTTACACAACAATGGTTCTTGGTAACACCTCCACAAATGCCAAAAATTGCACAGAGAAAGAACTATAATATAAAAGTCACTTTTAATACAGCATAAGTAAAAAAAGTTATGAGCATAGCATTGTTCTTAAACACACAGGTGAATAGGTTTTGGAATATCATTTAAGTAATTGTTGCTGTGCCTAAGCATGACACTGGTGGTCCTCAACCTTTAAACAATTGTGCTGTTTTGTCTGTGTTTCCTAATTGTAAAATAATGTCTACAGTATCAAGAATTCCTGATAAAAAAATTAAAATTTAAGGGATGAGAATCAAACTACCCAGAAAAACTTAAGGGAGTTTAACATCCTGTCACCCTTAACAATGAGTCTTGAAGTCTCCTTTACGAAGCATTTTATTATAATCTCCATTTCTTGCATTTCTTGAAAACTTGTCAAATATCTGGGTTATGTTCTTAGAGGTGAGGAGCTCTGTCTCAGAGTAGTTAGTAATTGAGAGTAACTTAGAGTTATCATTAAGTTATCATTTTTAACACAAAGTCTGTAAATTTTTACTTCCATTTGAAATGACGAAGTTTTTTAAATCACAGAAGTAAATGACTGAAAGAGTACTGCAAGTGTCCCTTTTTCACCACACTCAACTCCTAATGTTGGGCATGTACTAAAACTTGAAACAGCAAAATGAAATGAAACAAGCAAAACAAGCAAAACCACTGAAACAACCAAAATGAAACGATCGAAACAAAACAAACCTTATGACAAATATTGCCAAAATATCATACAGGAAAAAACAGTCAATAATCATATAATAATAATAATGATGATGATAAAATGACTGCCCCTGGGAGTCAGGTATCAACCCTCATATTTGTCTCATTACAATTTAGGTCTACTCCTGGTCTACCTTGCGAGGAAATTCAATTATCTCTCGATTGCCATTAGCTTGGTATAAGGCATCAACAAAACCTTAATTTAAAAATGTAATAAGTGTATTAGAATTAAAATGTCGCGAAATGAGTACGCTTCATGGTTACTGAGTGTAATTGGAGAACCATGTAATTCACAACTCAGAATATGTGATATTTACATAACTTGTTTTTACTCGAACGAAGATGAATCAAATTAAAACTTGACTTTATGAGTCACGCTCTAGGAATTGAATCGACCGACTAGGATCCGAGCGCGATCGCACATAAAGTAGATGAATCAACTGTTGTAACACATGTTTTAACACGTAGGCGAACTGACATATGAGACGTAGGCGAATCGACTCTAACCGTGGGCTAACAGACCGTAGGCGAAACGACCCGTAGGCGAAACGACCGTAATTCCTGGTAGTATAGTCTATGGATCATGGGATCACTGCGCGCATTACACATTATTTTATTCTAGTCACGGAACGTTTCATGGAGACTATTTTCACGTCCAATCCCCATGAAACATCATCCTCTTCCTGACATTTAAAACACGTACAGAAAACAATTCGGAGATCAACTGAAAGAAGACTCGATATTTAACACTGACGACGAGGATGAGATCCACAAATTAAAGCACAATGGCGGCAATAAACATGGCTTCAGTCATTTCAACACTTTCTGGTAACCAAAGGAGTGCATGGCAAATGAGCGAGTGCCTACTTCCCCGGAGACATAATAGCTCTAAGCTGCGTTGTCTGTCGTAGTCTCTCGGCGCTCCAAAATTGCTTGCCGATGAAGCTTCTTGCGTGAGAAACTTAAGAACTAAATTCTTAAGGAGCGCTCAGCAGTCCGGAAAAAATGTTTAAATTGCAGGTTTAATTTGAAGTTTTGACTGAGGAAATAAATTAATTTACAGGTTTCACTGACATCTAAAACCCTTCCCAGAACATAAATCAATTTCGAAAACCCTCTATCTACACCATAGATTTGCAAGTAAACGAAAACGAAATCTTTCCACACTCACCGGAAACCCAGTCCAATATGGCGTCATGGATGTGTTGACATGTTGGTTGTTATAACTCGAAAGAACGAAAGAGGGAATGATCAAAGCAACGGAAAACAATAACTGCAGAGTACCAATAGAAATGGCTGCGATAGAATGGCCTCTCGTCATTCCCATCTTCGCGGCTGATTTTCGCTTCTTTTCTTTCTCGAGACAACCGATTGCCGAAAGCAAGATTCGAAGATTGACTTTTTTTCAAGAATACGTGATCTCACGAAAAATGATAGGTTGCAGTCAAATTCCTCAAATCTATAATCTTTATGAGCGGAAGATGCGTGCTTCTGCGGTCAAATTCCTTGGATGATGCAATGGATGGAATGGTAGAATGGGAGAAATGAAAAACCACAATGCACGGAAAAAATTTTTGGATTAATGTCAGTATTTGGGCGACTACCCGCCTACCCCTCCCCTAACTCAACAACTGTCAATTGACAACAATTTGAGGTTAATGTTGGGTTAAGGGAGGGGTAGGTGGGCATTTGCCCAGATACTGATATTGATCCAAATTTTTTAGGGCCTGTTTATATGGAGGTGGGGGACCTCAGGTAGGTAAGGTAACTCGCCTGGCCGTGGTCGAAAAATATAACGCGTTTACATGCATCTTATAACCCCGGGGTGCTGGGGTGAGGTTTCTTGAGGTTGTTGTTGCACTTGCAATTAGGGAGTTTGAGCAGAGGCGTCCCAAGCTCACATCTTGAAAAAGACGAAAGATTAATTCTCAGACACATATGTATTTATTCATGAGAGCGTCACGGGTTGTGTTGCGCGGTGTTTGATTTCGCGAGGAACCGTAGACTTTAACACGTTATACGGAATAGTTTGGGAAACCAGGTGTGGTCGATTTAAAACGCTAAAACGCTAAATATTCCGTTACGGTTTCTGATTTCTGCCATGAGACGCCTAAGAAATGTACAAAGTTTTAAAAAATACATGTTTCGCTGGGTTACCCCACCTTGACACGTTTACATAGCAAATTGTCACCCCGGCTGACAGGATTACCCTACCTGGCAGACCGGGCAACCCGCCTAGGCGGGTCACCCCACCTATCATGTTAACGTGATCAAAATAAAATAAGAATTTATATGGACAGGCGGGGTATCCCACCTAGGCGGGTTACCTCACCTACCTGGGGTCCCCCACCTCCATGTAAACAGGCCCTGAGAGGCCACGAGTCTCCTTGAACGTCTGTAAGTACATATGAGTCTGAACTAAAGTAAAAATCGCGGTTGACTGCGATTCTATTATCCATCCGCTGTCTTGCTTCACCCAGGGGAATAAAAGGTACCGGTTGACTGTCAGGGAAGACTGAAAAAACGCTGAGAAGAAGAAAGAGAGGTAAGAGTAACCTGCTATGGACTAGAATCTCGTCTTGAGTATTAATACTCATAAATAAAGGGGTAATAAAGAAACTCATTGTCGCATCACCCTTTACGGTGGCTAATTTACGTTTTCAACCCAGTTGTTAACACTAAATTACCTGCTATTAATACTCATAGTCGCATCATGCATCTCAACTCTAAAAAAAAAGATTCTCGAGTGCGGGCCTTCCGGCATCTTTAGGCCAAATGGGTCATCGTCTGCTTACAACACCTCTTTCTCAGTCATTAAAATATAAACTTCTTTTTCCTCTTATCCAAAATTGAAGCTGACAAACCCTCAAAGGACTTAACGATAAATAGAACAAAAACTACCTATTCATTCAAGCTGTGCAAGCACCTGAGTTTCAAACACAATGTTCAGACTGAACTAATCCTGAATGAACCTGGATGAAACGTTTCCAGCACTGAGCGAAAATCGCCAACCACCCGAACCTGCCTTTAATCCGTTATGTTTTGTTTTTGTTTCTGATATTGCTAGACTGTGTAACAAGCTCTCTACGGGTACCTCTGTATCCCTCGCCCTTTCTTGTCCAGATACCTGGAACGGCATTTATTTCAAAAGCTACGTGCCTTACACGTGTCTCAAAAAGCTACATGCCTTACACAAGTTATCTCGAACCAGATTTCTACAGGTTGTGGTCATTTTAGTATATTTGATGAGTAAATTACATTGGCGGATCCAGACCTTGAGTTTTTTGTCGCTTGCCCTGCCGGCTTTTCTTCCTTCTGCGATTCTATTTTTTTTTAACTCAAAATAGGGAGGGGGGGCCCGGGCCCCTCCCCTAGATCCACCACTGAATTATCGAAACATCCCGGCAAAAGAAGATTTGCCACTAGGGGGAAGAACCTTAAGTTATTAGTTCACATCAACATCAGATTCCTTGGCGAGATTATTGGGATCCAGATTAATCGCTTTCCCTCTGGATGATCAAAAGTCACAAGAGGAATTATTTAATTTAGCGAATCGCCATCATGTCGTCATTATCTTGCATGGACCAGTGAAGGTGGAAATAACCCTGTTTCAACATAATCATCAAGAACCTACAAAGAAAAATTATGTTGAGTGAACACTCAAATAGAACTGACACGCAGCAATGGGTTAAAGGTCACATGTTATCGAAAGAAATCGGGGCTTGATTGTCCCTGAACGCCTGGATATTGGCTTTATAAATCAAGTGTCTCCGAAAAACCGCTGTACATAATTGCTAACGCTGGATTGTTTTCAGTTAGCATTTCTCTGTATCTTTTTGCGGTAAGCATTCTCGTCTAGATTGCATTTGCTCGGGGTTAGCGTTTCTCGATACATTTGTTGATTGTATGGTAGTATTCGTTCACTGGATAACGCGCTTCTGAGGTAACACGATTCACCATTACCGCGGTACCACATAATTCGCACACAATTCGCACATAATTGACATTTAATTGACAAACCTCGGCCAAACCTCCCTCAAGGACTGACATTTAGCGATAGAACTGTACACCATGATTTTCTCCGGATTGGCGCAATTTCTTCACCCCTTCAAGTACACTCGCCAGATGTCAACCTCAGAGAGAGAGAATTATGTACATTATGAACACGATGCTAAAAAACAGAGAACAAATGACTAGCATAAAATAAATTTTCTAACTCTTACCTCCCTAAGCACATCCGCCGTAAGTCCGGGATAATTGTAGCTAAACCCGATTCTTCAATCTTTGATCCATTAACGAACAAGTGACTATCATAAAGAACTTCCTATTGAACGAAATGAGGCAAACCAGAGCTGAAAGTCCTTTGAGGGTCTACAATCACAGTAGCACTATAAATGCAGGGAAGGGCGTGGCCGTTATGAAAGGTCTGTTAGAAATGAACTTTTAATGCAACCTAGATCGTATACTGAGACCTACAGAGACAGAGCATTCGCTGTTCAGGCACCAAGAGAATGGAACTTAATACCCTATAAAATTCGAAAGTCTAACACCACCTCAATTTTTAAAAAGCACTTAAGACGTTCCTGTTTAGTAAATATTAATATTAATAACAGACCATTATTTTTATAGATTTATATATATTGCTTTAGATTTAATTTTCTTTTTTAATCATTGTGAATTTTAGCTATGTTTAAGCATCATATAAAAAGATATGGCTGGCTTTAGTTTTGTTTTTCTTTTTTAATCCGTATGAATTTTAGCTATGTTTACCCTTCTGAGGGTAAAGATGTGTTAAACTGGTTAAAGTTTAGCCTTTAACTTCCGGAAGAAATTAACATGTAATCTTTTTTTCCATAATATCCTTACATTATTCAGCAAACAGGTAATGAGAATACTCAAACTTGCTACTAGCTGTCAAGAAAATTTGTAGCCAATAAAAAGGAGAATTAACAATCATATTTTGGGGATTAAAGGTCTCAGGTGTCACTCTTGTTGGCTAAGTTGAACACATCACCACTGCTGCCATGGCTGATCAGATGCCATAGTGCTCGACAAACATCAATGACATGAACAGTGCTCATCTTCAGGTCCTTAGTCCAAAGCAAGGGGAAGAAATTTATTATCAAAGTTGATTTCATTAGAATCAAAAGGCAAGCAACAATTGTACATTAAAATAGTTAATTGTATGGTAAGAGGATCTTTCGACAAGAGTTGACGACAAAAAAGATTAAAGGGGGTAAATTTCTCAAGGAACTGTGTGCTGCGTCATTGAGAGAGTATAACAGGGTAATTAAGTATTATCAACTGAGCTGATAACGTAAATTGACCACCGTGAAGAGTTTAAAAGCTGGCGTTTCGAGTGTTAGCCCTTTGTCAAAGCGATAAATTTCCCTGTTACTCTAATTACTCCTCTCACCAAAAAGATGTGAGTTTTGAAAACTGAGAAATGACAAAAAAAGGAAAAATTTTATTTGTTTAGTGCATCACTTTTTAAAGGCATTCAGAAAGTGTTACAGACCAAAACAGCCTACAAGTACTTAGTACTAATAGCCTGTTAGAAGTCGCATATCAATTTACATTGGCCTATATCCTAAAATGTTTCTTAAGATAGTCCATCAGAAAGGTGCTAACTTTGATGTCCTTGAGTGTTTAATAAGCTCTGTAAATGATCGGTAGCACATACAACGTGGGTTCTTAATATAATACTTCTTAGAAGTGACTGTCTGTGTTTGATAGATGTCTTCATTGACAGTCAACTGTGCTACTTTTAATTACTCACTCCTGTCAGCTTTTCCATAAGTAATTGTTGGTCTAACAATGATAAAGTTTAATTAATCTAAAAAGACAAAAAATATATCATTTATACCATCAACACCTTAAATTTTTCCTGTGGTTTTCTCTTTGTGTTCTGTGTTTCAAACTGGTCACCAGCCATAAGTATAAAATAAAACACAGGGAAACTAAAAGTACATGTAATGAAAGGGGACTGAGGGAATAAATTGAACCACAAAAATCATATTCAAGGCTAATGTCAATTTTCCATCAATTATTTCATACCCACCAAGTTTAGCTATTTCTTGTTCCACCATCAGCTTGTATTTTGCAATACATGTCCATGGTGATTTCTTGCTGTCTGCGTTACTTATGCCCTGTTACTAGAACAGAATATAAGTGAATGAATGGAAGAATGGAGTTCAATCAAGTCAATGCTGGGGCTGATCATGGAGATCTATCTGACTATTATTCTTATGATAAGTAGGAGAATGACAACAAGTTGAGAGACCAAGAAGAGGACTGCTAAGAGTTACTAACATCAATATTTCAAAAGAAATGTTTTCACAAGCAATGCAAATTAGACAAAACCATCGTAGTTCATTTTGAAATTAAATCCTAAGGGTTTTCCTTTTCATATAAGGGCAAAGTAAATAAGGATAATTAAATAGACCCCAAGAGGAAAGCTAACCTGGGCAACAAAGTTCCTTTTCAGGCGAATAAATTTCAGAAATTGCTAGCCTGGTGGCTTGTTACACAGCTGAGCAGGTGTCCAGCCCTGTTCATTGTATGCTACTAACACAAAATATGTGTGTATTCACAAAATACCAATGTAATAAGCCAAACAAAGTAGCTTTTCAAAGCAAGGTAGGAGGAAAATTCAAATTATTAGTTTACCAAAATACCAAGAGTTTATGGACACAGCAAGAGATTGCATGATTGTGATAACTGCTGGTAGCAACCAGGAAGATATTGAGGGCACCAACACTAACCCCTCTTCATGAAACCCTTTCACTCCCAAGAACTTACTTATGATTCTCCTCACAGTCTCCAAAATGTCTGACATGAAATGACAAAATGATTTATTAAACTTTTATCACCAGTGCATCAAGTATGTACAAGCTGACTTTGATAAAATATACTAAAATACCAGGCATATTGGCTAAATTTATAACCTAACATGAGAAAATAAAATAAAAAAAGTTCAGACTACAAAACTTAAATCCATAAAATGCTACACTGTACAGGCCTACTCTCAACTCAATTACGTTATCAGAATATTAACAAAATGATTGCTGTTCCCTTCTCTTGGTAGTAGAAAATGCTGCAACAATTTCAACTGTGCCCATCTTGACTTGCTGAATTCTTATCTAACCTGCATCCAATACAGTAGTAACTTTCTAAACAAAGAGAACACTCTTCTAATCTGCATCTTAAGAACAGTAGCAACTTTCTAAACAAAGAGAACACTCTTCTGAAAAGCAACTCTAGATCCTAAATAAATGTGTTATTTTTGTATAGGTCGTGGAAGAAGCTTCCAATTGGTTCCGATATAACCTTTGTAAAATGACTAACACAAAGTGAAACTGGTCTGACAGGCTAAAAGAATGCTAAGAAATTTAATTGCTACAGTAAGTTCTTCTGTTTTTTTACCAAAAAGCAACTCCGTTGTACAGTCACGTATCACATACACTAATAAACAAAGTCCTCTTTGCTAAATCATAGACAATGGACATCTGCCACGTGGCACTTAACTGGTAACGAACTGGAATCATTATTGATAAAAAAAAATATTTTGAATTAATTTTCCTTTGCAAAAAAGATAAAATGGGGCTCTAATTCTTTAGTTTATGACTGCACACTGAGTTAGATGCCAATTATGCCCTGAAACTTACAACGACTATAATCTAGTAAAAAGGAAATATCAAAACTAACATAATAAACTGTGATGACAGTTTACACAAATAAGGAAGCCTTGTCATGAGTCTCTGCTGTTTGTTCTGTGAACATGGCCTGTCCAGCAGAAGTACCCTGGGGGTAAGCACCCAGAGAGTAAGCACCCTGGCAGTAAGCCATTGGAGCCCCTCCGCTAACCTGCATGGATGAATGAGAGACCACCATGCCAGTGGGGGCCATTGTTGGCTGAGCAATAACCATCATGGGGGGATCCTAAAAGAAACAAAGATTTGCTCAGTTAGTTAGTTTTGTTAGCTGTTTTCAACATTACTGGCCAGCATAAATAACTTATATACAGAATGTCTGTCATACAAGAACATGTTGTCAATAACTCAGTGAGGTATTGTAGCAATATGCTACAAAATACAAAGATATGTGGTTCATATATGTGGTTTGCTTGAGATGGGTTCAGATTCTTTCTTGTCAACCACTCCTCAAAAACTGAACATCTTTCTTCGCAGTTTTTTTTTCAACAATAAAGAAAATTGTGCTATTAAGATTTATAAAGTTCAAGTATCATTTAGTGCTTTCAATCCTACAAATCTCTAAATGCCTCTCTACTTACAGGTGGGGCATAGCAAATTGTAATACAGCCCAAAATTGATCCAGTCACAGCCAAAGCAAAGGAGATGTAGCAGACAAACATGACCACAATAATCACAGTTCTGATGCTCTTCAGGTAGGAGCAGTCATCCACTGCAGTAAAGAATGTCAATTTAGAGATAATACTTTTAACAGTGATCAGAGAGGTGGTTCATTGAGCTTTACAGAGATGAAGTAAGCTTAAATAATAAAAACTTAGTTAGTTGCTAATATTTTCATCATTGAACTACCCTTGTCATTATTAGCATCACAATTCTCCTGTAATTTTGTGGAAAAGAGAGGCTAATAAAGGATTACATGTAAACAGTATTGTTGTCTTCCTTTTGCAGTCTGTGTTGGCTAGAAACTAAATTTTGACACCATGCAACTTACTGAAATGGGTTCCTCATCCCCATTTACAAATTCACATAACTTAAGAGGAATATTTACACAAAGCATTGTGCAACAATGTGTAGCCATGGGGAAGCTTTGCAGGACTCCAAAAAATCCAGAGAGCAAGAAAGAAAAGCGATATTAAAGTAGAGAAAGATGCAAATTGCAACTTTATATGCCTTAAATTGTGCTACCAAGTGTCTTCCTCTCAATTGTAACAAACAAGTTGATTTTTCAGAATGTTGATCTTGTGATCCTATAAATCCCAGCAGTTGATCCTGCTAAGAGGTTTTTGAAGAGAAGTGTCTTTAGTTTGAGCAAAATTTTAATAAAACAAATCACAAAATCCAGATACAAAACTATAATTGTAATTTTGAGAATGATCAACAGTGCAAAATTTTCTTGATCTTTGTTATATATAGACAGATCACAATGCGATTTAACTAATTGCCATTTTGAGACACCAATAGTGCAAATTATCATCAATATTATAATACCACTGACATTAACAAAGCACCTCTGATCATATCTTAGAACAGGATGCAGAATTTCAGAAAAGCTAGATTTTGTTTTGAATTACTAGTCAGAGTGTTCAAAGATAGAAAAAAGGAAAATTAAACCATATTTACAAAATAAACTTAATTAAATGAATGAAGAGCCACCACCACCTTACTCTGAAGCACTTGGAGTTATTTGAGTAATCAAGTGCTGTTTACGTGGACATTTCCACTATAATCATTATGTACATTTGACATTTAGCTTAAAGGTACAGTTTTTATTAGAGAAAATTATTATGTGAGTGCTGTTTACGTGGACATTTCCGCTAAAATCATTATGTACATTTGACATTTAGCTTAAAGGTACAGTTTTTATTAAGAGAAAGATATTACACGAGTTAAGAGTAAGAAAGAACGATGGAGAAGACATATCTTAGGACTCAAGATAGACCTAAATAACTAACATCAACATGACATCAATTTTCATCAATCCATGAACAGTTTTGCCATTTTTGTAAACCTCAAGCTCCCTTTAGATCTTACTTTAGCTGCTAGCATGATTGATATTTCCTGTATTGCTTTATTTCTATTTATATCTTTTAAAAACATACCTCCATAACTGATGCCATCGAGACAATAGCAAGACCCTCCCAAAGTGGTACAGTCCGAAAGGTCAACTGCAATATCCCAGTAGGACAGAGCTAAAGTGACAGTAATGGATGCTGCCGCAGAAATGATTGCGGTAATAATGCTGAAGACCAAAAATGTAACCATCTGGAATAAATTACGAAATATAATTTAAATTAATAGCATTTTTTTGACTCTCAAAATAATCATTTATCAAAACATTTTGTCCATGCCTTTAAGGCAATAAACAAAACTGTCCCACAATTTGCAGGAAAATGTTCTCGAATGTGGCGATCTGAGGGTATTAGATAATCATCTGAGTCCTGAGAATTCTGTGTCTCGGGTTGCATAACTTTCCCAAATTCCCCCTTCCTCCCCCCTCTCATGTTTAGTTCATTGAGACTATAAAAACATGAAAAAGTCTTCAATATGAAAAATGTAAGGAAATGACAATTTTCAGAGTCACAAGATGACCATAGAGTTTCATCCTTTTCTTTCGGAATAACCATAAAAAAAGCTTCACAAAAACAAAATATTTGCAAAGAATAACACTTACACAACAATGCTTCTTGGTAACACCTCCAGCAAAGCCAAAAATTCCACAGATAAAGAACTATAATATAAAGTCACTTTTAATACAGCAAAAGTAAAAGAGGTTATGAGCATAACAATGTTCCTAAACACACAGGTGGAGAGATTTTGGAACATCATCATCAATACTGGTGGTTTTCAACCTTTAAACAATAGTGCTGTTTTGCTTGTGTTTCCTAATTGTAAAATAATGTCTACAGTGTCAAGAATTCCTGATTAAAAAATTGAAATTTAAGGGATGGGAATGAAAAAGTATCAAGAAAAACCTGAGGGTGTTCTCTATGATCTGCACATCCTGTCACCCTTAACAATGAGTCTTGAAGTCTCCTTATCAAAGTGTTTGTTTTAATCTCCATTTCTTGCATTTCTTGAAAACTTGTCAAATATCTGGGTTATATTCTTAGAGATAAGGAGCTCTGTCTCAGAGTAGCTAATAACTGAGAGTAACTTAGAGTTATCATTAAGTTATGATTTTTAGCACAAAGTCTGTAAATGTTTACTTTCATTTGCGATGAAGAAGTTTTTTAAATCACAGAAGTAAATGATAAAAAGAGTACTTCAAGCTTCCATTTTTCACCACACTCAACTCCTAGTGTTGGACACCTAATAAAACTTGAAACAGCAAAATGAAATGAAACAAGCAAAACAAATGAAACCACTGAAAAGACCAAAATGAAATTATCAAAACGAAACAAACCTAACAACAAAAAATGGCCAAAATATCACACAAGTCAATAATCATAAAATAATAATAATTGGATGATAATATGACTGCCTCGGGGAGTCAGGTATTAACCCTCATATTTGTCTTATTACAATTTAGGTCTACTCCTGGTCTACCTTGTGAGGAAATTCAATTATCTCTCAATTGCCATCAACTTGGTAAAAGGCATCTATAAAACCTTAATTAAAAAAAAGAAAATTAGGAAATAAATTATGGACATAAACGTTGTTGATGAATACAAAAATCTGTTTCTTCCTATCCTTTCCTTGTATGCTTTGGTATTCCATATGGCTGGCATTCTGTCCTGGAAACTGCATGTAATTATCAAATTATGGCTTCAACTGCTTACATGATGGCAAAAAAAATTTTTTTGTGAGACAGCCTTAGTATTTAAAGCCTTAAATGCAAGAGAATATCTGAAGTGAAATCTTCATGTTCTGCAACATTTTATCCTCTACTCATCTCAATTGCGGTAGTGGTTTTGTTTTGGTCATGACAGTCATTTCATTTTAGCCTTTACTGTTGTTTTTTTTGCTCATTTTTCCTTTTTCATTCAGTTGTTTTGTTTTGCTGTTTCAGGTTTTAGTATATACCCTAATGTTGAGTGTGGAAATTAAAAAGCCATTTCAATGTATAAGAGAAATTAAGTGTAACAAAGAACAACAGATCTTAACACCACTTTTTGCAGAGTTAGACCCATATTCCGTTCTCATATCCTCCTTTTACCACCACAATCACCTGTTGGTGTGGTAGGAAGGGGATTCAAGTGACATGCAACTGCGTATTGTAATTTTGAATGAAACGGTTTTCTCCAGTGTCACAATTTTTCCATTTAAACTCTTTATTCAATAACGCAACAGCTACTACATGACAACATGGGCGAAATCCAAATGGCGGGTCCGATACCACGTTTTTTCCCACAGGTCCGATGGGAGCGCGTGGTATGACGTAATATGACATCCCCCTTTCTACCGATGTAATAATAATAATAACGACAAAAAAAAAATGGAACTTATCATATCTCCAGAACATTACAATACTGGTTGAAAGGATATCCCTCCTGTGCTTATACTTATAAGTCTATTCTTTAGTGTCTCTACTGTTATAGATCCAGCCTTTGTGCAGGTGTCACAGTCCTCCCAGATCTGGTCACATATCCTCCAGCTATGTCTGAGGGTCCCTGGGGGATGTTGTTCAGTGGCACTGTTTCGCCAGATCCTGGTCTGGGGGCTGCACCGTTTTTGTGCGATGTCTGTGTGTGACTGACTGGGGCAAGACTAGTTGTCTGCTGAGGTATCTCAGAACCTTGGTATACTGGGGTTTCCACCCGCTGGCATTGTGTTCCCCTCACTGCAGTTGTGTCTGGTTTCAGTTGGGCCCGTGTTCTTCGATAGGTGGTACCTGTACTGCTGGATCTGATGATGTAAGATCTTGGCTGTTTGGCGGGTTTTACAATAATGCCAGGTTCCCAGGTTTGTGAGTGGTGGTTGTACGTGCGGATGGGTTGGTCAGCTTCGAATGGCTTTTTGGGTGGTCCTGAATGCTGGTTGTAATAGTGGGCTTGTTTCTCCTGACGGGCTATGAGCTTACTTTTCATGACCTCATGGTGAGAGTGGTTGAGGAGGACTCTATGGCATGCTGGTAATCTAGTTTTAAATTTTCTGTTGGTGAGCAGTTCTGCTGGGGATTTCAGCTGGTGATCCAAGGGAGTGGCCCGGTATGATAGGAGAGCAAGGTACGGGTCCTCTTTATTTTCATCGCACTTTTGGAGAATGTTTTCCACGGTCTGGACCATTCGCTCAGCAAACCCGTTGGATTGGGGGTATAGGGGGGAGCTAGTAATGTGTTCTACCCCGTAGACGTTCATAAAATGCTTGAATTCTGCCGAACTGTACTGCGGTCCGTTGTCGGTCGTCAACTGCGTAGGGATGCCGTGTTCTGCAAAGATGCTCTTCAGATGGTTGATAACTGCAGATGACGTGGTGCTTGTTAGTCTCCTGATGACAGGAAATCTGCTGTATTGATCTGTCAACAGGAGGTATTGCTGCCCTCTAAATTCGAACAAGTCCGAACTGAGTCTTTCCCATGGTCGGTGTGGCGGTTCTGGCTGTAGTATTGGCTCTTTCCTTGCTTTATTTTGGTATTTCTGGCAGGGTTCGCACTGGTTAACTTGGTTGATGATTTCCTTTGTAATTCCAGGCCAGAAAACGGATGTACGTGCTCGTAAAAGGCATTTCTCTTGCCCTAGGTGGCCTTGGTGTATGATGTTCAGGATTTCAGGTCTGAGAGTAGGAGGTATCACGATGCGGTCTCCTTTTAGTACTAAGCCGTCCTCGATGGTCAGCTCTTCTCTGAAATTCCAATAGCCATGTAGCAGTTGGGGGCACTCTTCTCTTTTCTGTGGCCATCCTTCAAAGACCATTTCTTTTAACAGAGACAATACAGGATCCCTCCCTGTTTCGTCACGGATCTGTTGTAGCTTTGTTGGAGTTGCAGGGAGATGTTGTGTGACGTGGTGGACATATATCTCTGAAAGTTGACTGCTGCTAGGGGTAGGCTGGGGGCTGACTCTTGAGAGAGCGTCGGCTATTGGTACATCAGGACCTTTTACGTAGTTGACCGTAACGTCGTATTTCAGGGCTCTCATCAAGAACCTCTGTAATCTAGGTGGGCAACTGGACAGTCGCTTCTTGAAAATCGCCTCAAGAGGTTTATGGTCAGTGTTTACTGTACAGTGCTTCCCGAAAATGTAGTAGTTAAATCTCTCTAGGCCCCATACTACACCAAGTGTTTCTCTCTCAATGTTGCTGTAGTTTTTTTCTGTGTCTGTAAGTGCTTTGGAGGCATAGCATACAGGTTGCCCCTGCTGCAAAAGGACGGCGCCTACTCCTTTCTGGGAAGCGTCAGTTTGAATGACAGACTCGATGTTTGGGTCAAAGTATCTGAGGACTCCCATTGATGTGATTTCCTGTTTGACTTGGTTGAAGGAGTCGTCGTGTTCAGGTCCCCATACATATGCGGTGTCCTTCTTGGTAAGTTCTCGCAGTGGTGCTGTGAGGCTAGCCAATCGCCCTGAGTATCTTGTAAGGTAGTTTACGAGGCCTAAGAAGCTTTGGAGGTCTTTGCGGTTCTCAGGTGGGGTCATCTTCTGGATTGCAGATATCTTACTGTCATCTGGTTTGATTCCATCCTGGGTCCATTTGTGGCCGAAAAAGCTGACTTCCTGACATTTGAGCTGTACTTTGTCTTTGTTGAATTTGATTCCCCTTTCCCTGGATCTGATCATGAGGTTTACCATGTTCGCATCGTGCTCTTCCTCTGTAGCTCCGTATATGAATGTATCGTCTGCAATGCCGGTGACTCCTTTCAGGCCCTCCAGTGCTGAATCTAAGTGTTTCTGGAACACATCTTGTGATACAATAAGGCCAAAGGGGAGCCGGGTGAAACGGTATCTCCCGAACGGGGTGTTGAAAGTAGTCAGGTAGGAGCTGGCTTCGTCTAATGGTACATGCCAGTAGCCCTTTTTGGCATCAACTACACTAAAGAATTTGGCACCACTAAGCTGTGTGACTACCTCATCAATTGTTTTGGTGTAGTAGTGTTCGCGTTTTATTGCCTTATTTAGGTCACGTGGATCGAGGCAGACTCTGATTTTGGTGACTTCTCCTTTGCCGTTGGTTGTTTCAGAGAGGACGATGCTATTTACCCAGTCTGTGGGTTCGCTTACGGGTATGAGCACTCCAAGTTCTACCATGGTGTTGATTTCCTTTCTAAACATGTCTCGAAGGTGTACTGGTACGGTACGTGGTGCGTGGATGACAGGTTCAGCATTGGAGTCTAGGGTGATGTGATAAGGTTTCATATTGAAGGTTCCCAGGCCTTCAAAGCAGTCTCCGAAGTTGTTGAAGAAGGTTATCCTGTCCAGTGGGGGGTATGTTTCAGTGTCTAGACGGCTAGGGTATCTGCTGGTCCTTTGGTGCGGTTTGCATGGTCTGTGTTCTTTAAGGCGGGTCTCTTTGTCTTCTTTGGAGGTTTCTAGGCTGCAATTAAATTTTACCAGCTCAAGTTCCTCGCAGGTTTTACAGCCAAGCATTGTAGGTCCTGGTACGTCAGTAACATTGAAAACGACTTCTTTAATGCTGCCATTTTGATGGACGTATAGTGGACAGGTTCCAAGGGTCTTGATGGCGTGGCCTCCATACGCAGTAATCCTGTGGTGTGTTGGGCCAAGGGGTATCTGCTGGGGACTGCGGTTGAGTCTGTCATAGTCGTCTTTGGAGATGACATTAACTTCTGCACCAGTGTCGACCTTGCAGATAATAGGTATCAGGTGTGTATCATGGGGGTCTACCGTGACTTGTATTTCAGTCATGACTTTGGTGCGTTGTTTTTCTTTTTGTTCAATGCTTGCGATCATTGAGGTACTGGGGCTGTCTCGGGCTTCTAGTGTTCCCAGGAAGACTTTGTCGTAGCTTGTGCATTCACTTGTTACACCATCAGGTTGTTCTTTTTGTAGGGTCATCACATCTGACCTTGTTTTAGACTTGCAAACTTTGCTAAAATGACCGCGTTTGTTGCAGTTGAAGCATTCTACTCCAGTGGCTGGGCACTGCTGGTCTTTGGTGTGTGGTGTGTCTCCACATCTGTAGCACTGTCTTAGGTTGTTGTCACGTCGTCTGTTTCCTCTACCACTGGTGTACCTTTGGTGGGGCTGGTTTCTGGGCTTGTTTCCTCTGCTGATTGCATTGACTTCCCCTTCTTCTTGCTTTGGGTTTGTAGTGTCACTCATTGCTTTTAATTGCATCTGGGTAGCCTCATCAGTTCGTGCAATTTCTTTTGCCCTTGCAAAGGTTAATTCATTACCGCGGGCAATGCATTTTCGTCTGACCTCTTCCGAATCGGTGCCGAAAACTAATGTGTCACGCATGAGTTCGTCATGTAAGTCAGGTGGGTAACCTGAGCTCTGTATGAGTAGCCTTGCTTCAGTCAGGAAGGTGGCTAGGGGACGATTATTCTGTTTCAGACCTCGTAGATAATATCTGTTCAAGATATGGTTTGCTTGTGGTTTAACATGGTCTTCGAATCTTTTCCAGTATTCTTTCAGGTCTTTTTGTTGGTCTTCGGTTAGCGACCAAGTGTTAAATAAGTCTATTCCGTAATCGCCTGACCATAGCAGCACATATTTGCATTTTTGAGTGCCGTCTCGAGCTTTTAACGGTCCATCAAGTAGCAGTTCACACTTTTGGCGGAATCTCTTGAATCTAGTTAATAAATCTGGGCCAGGGGTCCAGTCCATTTTTGGTACTTCAAACCCAACCAAGTCGCTCATTTTTGGCTAAATTGCACGATAAGACAGGACTTTGTAGTAAACACTGTAAAATCGTACGTACCGGTTTTCTTGGTTGTTCTAGCGGTGAGAATTCCTCTATTGGTGTAAATCTATCCCACTTCCGACATCCATGTCACAATTTTTCCATTTAAACTCTTTATTCAATAACGCAACAGCTACTACATGACAACATGGGCGAAATCCAAATGGCGGGTCCGATACCACGTTTTTTCCCACAGGTCCGATGGGAGCGCGTGGTATGACGTAATATGACATCCAGATTCTGAATATGCACAGCAACTCTGGTAGTATATAGTCTAAGGATCATGTGATCATGAAGAAAAGTAAAATGGTTTCCACGTTTACATAGCCTGATGTAAACACGCGGGAGGTTGGGAGAACACTCGATAAGCTGGAAACCACGACGCGAAGCATTAGGTTATGTAAACACGGCTATGTAAACACGGAAACCATTTTATATTTCTTTTATAAAATAACTAATGAAAGAGGAACGAAAACCGTGTATACATACGCTCACGTAAAATGGTTTTATGGCCAATCAGAGCGCGCGTACTATTTGAATTATTTTATAATTGTGTGCATTGCACATTTATTCAGATCACGAAACGTTTCTTGGAGACTACTTGCATGTCCAATCCGCATGAAACGTCATCCTCTTTCTGACATTTATAATACGTATAAAAAAAAGATCTAGCTATTTAGATATCAATTGAAGATTTATTGATATTTAACACTGACGACGAGGATGAGATCTACCAACTAGAGGACAATGGCGGCAGTAAACATCGAAAGAAAAAGCGCACCTCCACTCGATTGCAAAGGTATATTCAACGGCATTAGCAACACGGTGGAAATAATGGCTTTGGTCGTTTCAACATTTTCTGGTAACCGAAGGAGTGGCAAATAAATGAGTGCCTATTTCCCCGGAGACATGATATCTCTAGGCTGCGTTTTCTGTCGTAATCACTCGACGCTCCAAAATGGCTTGCCAATGAAGCTTCTTGCGTGAGAAACTTAAAAACTTAATCCCTAAGGGTCGCTTCGCAGACGCGTGTACTCAAATGTCACCCGGAAAAATGTTTAAACTGCAGGTTTACTAAAGGTTTCGAGGAAATAAATTGATTTACAGGTTTAACTGACATCTAAAACCCTTTCCAGAGCAGAAATCAATTTCGAAAACCCTCAATCTACACCACAGATTTGCAAGTAAACGGAACGAAATCTTTCCACACTCACCGGAAACCCACTCCAATATGGAGTTATGGATGTTTTGACGCCGTGGCCATAACTCAAAAGAACGAAAGAAGTAATGATCAAAATAACGGAAAACAACGACTGCAGAGTACCGATAGTAATGGCAGCGATAGCATGGCCACTCGTCATTCCCATCTTAACAGCTGATTCTCGCTTCTTCCCTTCCTCGAGACTACCGCTTGCTAAAGACGAAGTTAAAAATGACTATTTTTTCCAAGAACACGTGATTACACGAAAAATGTTAGGTTGCACTCAAATTCCTCAAATCGTTTAAGCTCTCCACCACCTTTAATGCGAACAGATGTGTGCTTTTGAGATCAAATTCCTCGGACGATTCCATGGATGGGATGGTCGAATGGGAGAAATGAAAAACCGCAATAGACAGACAAAAATTTTCAAGAGACCACAAGTCTCCTTGAAAGTCTGTAAGTATATATGAGTTTGAACTGGAGTAAGAATCGCGGTTGACTGCGATTCTATTATCCTTTCGCTGTCTTGCTCCACCCAGGGGAATAAAGGGTACCGGTGAACTGTCGGGGAAGACTGACAAAACGCTGAGAAGAAGAGAGGTAAGTGTAACCTGCGATGGACTAGAATATGGTCTTGAATCGCATCCTGCATCTCAACCCTAAAAAAAGGATTCTGGAGTGGGGGCCTTCCGGCTTCTTTGAAGCCAAAATGGGTCATCGTCCGCTTAAAACACCTCTTTCTTAATCATTAAAATATAAACTTCTTTTTCCTCTTATCCAAAATTAAAGCTGACAAATCTTCAAAGGACTTAACGATAGATAGAACAAAAACTATATATTCATTCAATCTGTGCAAACACCTGAGTTTCAAACACAATGGTCAGATTGAACTGATCCTGAAGGCACCTGAATGAAACGTTTCCAGCACTGAGCGAAAATCGCCAACCACCCGAACCTGCCTTTAGTCCGTTTTGTTTCGTTTTTGTTTCTGATACTGCTAGAGCGAATAACAAGCTCTCTCGGGGTACCTCTGTCACCCTCGCCCTATCTTGTCCCAATACCTAGAACAACGGCGTTTATTTCAAGCAACATTCAAAAGCTACATGCCTTACTCGTGTCTCCTGACAAAACGAAAACAAAAACACTATAACACAAGTTATCTCGAACCAGGTTTCCACAGGTTGTGGTCATTATATTTTGTTTGACGAGTCAATTACATTGGCGGATCGAGACCTTGAGTTTTTTGTCGCTTGCCCTGCCGGCTTTTCTTCCTTCTGCGATCCTAATTTTTTTCTCCTCAAAATAAGGAGGGGGGCCCGGGTCCCCCGCGCCCCTCCTATAGATCCGCCACTGAATTATCGAAACATCCCGGCAAAAGAAGATTTGCCGCCAGGGAAGGAACCTTTAGTTATTAGTTGACATTACAATCAGATTCCCTGGCGAGATTATTGGGATTCAAACTAATCATTTCTTTTCTCGGTTTCCCTCTAGATGATCAGAAGTCACGTGAGGAATTATTTAATTTAGCGAATCGCCATCATGTCGTCATCATCTTGCATGGACCAACGAAGGTGGAAATAACCCTGTTTCAACATAATCATCAAGAACCTATGAAGAAAAATTATTTTGAATGAACACTCAAACAGAAATGACACGCAGCAATGGGTGTAAGGTCACATGTTATCGAAAGAAATCGGGGCTTGGTTGTCCTTGAACGCCTGGATATTGGCTTTACAAATCAAGAGTCTTCGAAAAACCGCTGTACATAATTGCTAACGCTGGATTGTTTTCAGTTAGCATTTCTCTGTGCATCTTTTTGCCGTAAGCTCGTCTAGATTGTATTTGCTTGCGGTTAGCATTTCTCGATACATTTGTTTACTGAAGGGTAGCATTCTTTCACTGGATAACGCGTTTCTGAGGTAAGACGATTCACCATAACCGCGGTACCAGTCGCACATAATTGACATTTAATTGACAAACCTCGGCGAAATCTCCCTCAAGAACTGACATTTCGCGATAGAACTGTACACTATGATTTTCTTCGGATTGGCGCAATTTCTACACCACTTCAATTACACTCGCCAGATGACAACCTCAGAGAATGAGACCTACGTACACGACGCTCAGAAACAGAGAACAAATGACTGGAAAAAAACAAATTTTCTAAATCTTACCTCCTTAAGCAATTCCGGTGTAAGTTCGGGATAATTGTAGCTAAAACCCGATTCTTCGATCTTTGATCCATTGACGAACAAGTGATTATCATAAAGAAGTTCCTATTGAACGAAATGAGGCAAACCAGAGCTAAAATTCGTCATCTTCAATCACAGTAGCACTATAAGTGCAGGGAAGGGCGTGGTGGTTATGAACAAGGAGCTCGCTTCCCGGTGGTTACTCGTCCCAAAAGCCGGGCTTTTTTTAGTTTGTCGCGTTTACATTCTAGCGTGAGACATAAAGGGTCACTTATTTACACGGTGTATAACCCAAACCACAGTTTTAACTAATTAATGGGCTTCCGGCTTTCCCTCTAAAAGGGTTGATTTAAGTAAATAAATGTCCCTTCATTGTTAGCTTTCGGCCCTCTTGACACTGTTCACAATAATAAACGTTCAGATAAATGGTACAGCTAAATTGAGGATTGTCTGGGACGCAGTTTTGTTAAACAACGGCTAAACTTTGTTTAAATAACCGGCCATAAGGATTTTGAAATTAAAACAATAACAAAAATCAGAAAACCAAACAGACTATCTAGTTTTGAGCTTTGGCCCGCGGTTGGCCCGCGGTGCTACTCTTTCAGGTGTAGACGCAGATTTTAAATATGGCCTTGAGCTGTTTAAGCTAACAGGGCTTTCAAGGATCGGGAACTCACCTGATCCAAATAAGGACTAAGGGGGGTACTGTGGATACCATCTTTCTCACAAGCTGCAGACCAAGGCTCCAAGTGTTTTTCGTTGGAATCATCAACAGTGCCTGCCATGTTCAGCTAAACCGTTAGGGAAAAAAAAGTAAACACTGTTATTTCAAACTGCTTTTTTTTCCTTTAAAATCATGGAAAGTAACGTGGGCATTCTTTCAGCTCGTAATCCTTCTCTAATTATGCGTGACAAGCGAACAGGGGGTGAAAGTAAGGAGAGCAATCTAATCCACTAACCGGTGTCCTAACTGATTTGGACCCCATGGTCCAAATCTTCGGACGGAAATGAACCCCCGCGTGTCTTTATCCGCAAGCGGACTTGGACCGGGGGGACTAAATCCTCTGTGACACCGGCATACCCATCAGTTTAACTGTTCTCAGTCACGCACTTCAGCAACGTACTAATTTACCCCTGATCCCTTGGAAGTGCAGTGGGCTACGCTTTAAATCTCAGCCACTTAGGGTAAAGGAAAATCTTTCTGGTCGTATTTTTCAGCCATTGGATGGAAAAGGCAAACAAACCCGATATTGGCCAACGCTTTTAATTAGGTCGGCTTCGTCATCTTAGAAAGTATGGACACAATGACAAAGGGGGGCGGCAATGGCTCAAAATATAAAGTGAAAAATGACTTGTTTTCTATTGGTGAAATATTTAGTCTGGGCGTTGTTCTCCTCACTCCTTTGCCCTGTGACTAGTTTAAGAAACTCGCGCCTCTCTACCAATCACGAACCCAATTTAAGCCAATCGCTGTTTTGGACTCTTTCCAGCCCTTTCCCCACAGACAGTTTCCTGGAGATAACACTGCTTTCTCGTTTACTCCTTTTGTTATTTTATTTCCTCCCTATTTATACCATACTGTCACATGCGCACAATGTCAAGTTGCCATAGCTTACCCGTGCCATATTGGATAAAACCGTTCCAAAATAGTCGTGTTCAATTCCAAATATCTCACAAACAATGTCTGTGATACTTCCCTGGGCTGAGAAAAAAAAAATGGCCATTAAGTCATGATGCATGAACTTCAGTAACGTCTTGTCTCAAAAATCACATACAATATTCATCCCATTCCACCGTGAGGTCATGTGCAATTGGTTTTTTCTTGCGAGCGTTCTAAAGATCTTAAGAAGGTGCAACTTTCCCGCTATTATTCGTCTCCTGAAACAAATGATCAATTTTGAAAATATTCTTCTTTTCAAAGTGTAAGGAGTTCGAGAAGGATGTTACACCCTTGCCTAGATTTAACAGAAGTGATGAAGTTTCCCTAGTAAATTACTCATCGCTCATTTTTTTACAATTTTTTCTGGAGTTAGCACTTATGCAAAAAGAAAAGGCAATATTTTATTTGACTATGGAAACTTCTGAGGGTAAAGATGTGTGAAACTGGTTAACCCTTTAACTCCCGAAAGTGATTAACAAGGTACTTCTCACTATAATATCTAAACATTATCCAGCAAACAGGTGATGAGAATATTGAAACTTACCAGAAGGGAGAATTAACAATCAGATTTTGGGAGTTAAAGAGTTAAAGTTTAGCCTTTAACTTCCACAAGAGATTAACATGTAATCTTTTCCCATAATATCCATACATTATTCAGCAACAGGTAATGAGGATACTCAAACTTTAAATTCTTGCAACTAGCTTTCAAGAAAATTTGTAGCCACTAAAAAGGAGAATTAACAATCATATTTTGGGGGTTACAGGTCTTACAGGTGTCACTCTTGTCGGCTAAGTTGAACACATCACCACTGCTGCCATGGCTGGTCAGATGCCATAGTGCTCGACAAACATCAATGACATGAACAGTGCTCATCTTCAGGTCCTTAGTCCAAAGCAGCTGGAGGAAAAAAAGTATTATTAAAGTTGATTTCATTAGAATCAAAAGGCAGGCAACAATAGTTGATAAAAACAGTCAGTAACATGGTGAGATGATCTTTTGACAAGAGTTGACCTCAAAAAAGATTAAAGGGTTAAGTTTCTACAGAAACTGTGGTGCTGCATGGGTGGGAGAGTATAACAGGGTAACCAAGTATTATCAACTGAGTTGATAGCATAAATTGACCACTGTAAAGAGCTAAAAAGCTGACGTTTTGAGCATTAGCCCTTCGTCAGAGTTAGTGCTTGAAATGTCAGCTTTTAAACTCTTTACAGTGGCCAGTTTGCATTATCAACTCAGCTGATAATACTAATTACCCTAAAAAGGACTGACTTATTGGTGACAGCGACCAAAATTTTAACAATTGAAAATAAGCAGAAGTCTTTATCTTCATTTTCATTTACCAGATGTCTCCTTGGCAGTCATTGTTTGCTCTCCTAATACAATGGGCTTTTTCACCTGAAAACTATTAGATATAGAGCTACCCACTGCTGTCTCAACTCTTCCCATGACCATAAGAAACATAAGTTTGCTTTCCAATCAATTACTTGTTACTGAGCTCATGGCATGAACAATACCAAACAAAAGCTGCAAAGGAGACTTGATCTTCACTCTGATGACGATTAGTCTTTCTCAGATTTCAAAACATCATCAGTCACTGTCCCTGACAACATTACCTTTCAGAAGTACCTTAGTTATCTTTAAACCACACCCTTAAAATAAACAAACATCATAATTCATTGTCCTTAAAAACAATCCCTTTCAGAATTACCTCAGCTACCTTTTTGTTTAAACCACACCTGTAAATGAAAAGTCAATTTCAAGTCTGCAGTTACCTTCATTTTCTCCTCCATTTGCTTATAAACAGCACCAATAATTAACCTTGGCACTGCAAATTGATGAATGTCTAAGTTATAATGGTGCACAGTTACTATTATCTCCAACAGGGACCACTACATCAATTTTCCCCTCTTCTTCCTATGACCCCTCTCACCAAAAATATGTGATTTTTGAAAAACTGAGAAATGACAGAAAAATGAAAAAATTTATTTGTTTAGTGCATCACTTTTTAAAGGCATTCAGAAAGTGTTACAGACTGAAACAGCCTACAAGTACTTAGTACTAATAGCCTATTAGGATTCACATATCAATTTACATTGGCCTATATCCTAAAATGTTTCATAAGATAGTCTATCAGAAAGGTACTAACTTTGATGTCCTTGAGTGTCTAATATGTTCTGTAAATGGTCTGTAGCACATACAACATGCAACATCCATGGCTTACATGGATTCTTAATATAATACTTCTTAGAAGTGACTGTCTGTGTTTGATAGATGTCTTCATTGACAGTCAACTGTGCTACTTTTAATTACTCACTCAGTCCTTGCCTGTCAGCTTTTCCATAAATAATTGCTGGTCTAACAACAATAAAGTTTAATCTAAAAAGACAAAAAATATATCATTTAATGCTATCAACAACTTAAATTTTTCCTGTGGTTTTTTTTTTCGTGTGTGTTCTCTGGTTCAAACTGGTCATCAGTCAAAAATATATGGTATATCATAAGGAAACTAAAAGTACATGTTATGAAAGGGGACTGAGGGAATAAATTGAACTGCAAAGATCATATTTGAAGCTAGTCTCAGTTTTCCATAAACCATACCCATCAAGTTTGGCTATTTCTTGTTCCACCATCAGCTTGTATTTTGCAATGTGTGTCCATGGTGATTTCTTGCTGTCTTCGTTACTTATGCCCTATTACAAGAACAGATTATAGGTGAATGAACAGAAGAATGGAGTTCATTTGAGTCAGTGCTGCCGCTGATCATGGAGATCTATCTGACTATTATTCTTATGATGAGTTGGAGAATGACAATAAATTGAGAGACCAAGAAGAGGACTGCTAAGAGTTGCTAATATCAATCTTTCCATGGAAATGTTTTGACTGAACAATACAAATTAAACAAAACATTTATTGTTCATTTTGCAATTGAACACTAGAGGGTTTTCCTTTTCATGTAAGGGCAAAGTAAATGATGATAAAATTGACCCCAAGAAGAAAACTGACTAGGCAACAAAGTTCCTTTTCAGGTAAATAAGTTTCAGAAATTCCTAACCTGGTGGCTTCTAACACAGCCAACACTGTTTATTTTATGCTACTGCCACAAAGTACATGTGTATTCACAAAATACCAATGAGATAAGCCAATAATGCAGTGCATCAAGGTAGAAGGAAAATTCAAATTATTAGTGTAGCATAAATACAAAGTGTTTATGGACACAGCAAGAGACTGCATGATTGTGATAACAGCTGGTAGCAGCCAGGAAGATATTGAGAGCACAAACATTAACCCCTCTTCCTGAAACCCTTTCACCCCCAATAAATTACTTATAATTCTCTTTACAGTCTTACATACATTTCCAATGATGTTAGTTCTGAGAGGTGGTGTGGGATTGACTTGTGTCAATGTTGTAAGGAGAAAATCTGTACTGGTCAGTCACAGGAGTGAAAGCCAGTTAACCTATTTTCAAGGTTCTCACCTTATCGCAGGAATACACCTGAGCTGTGGAAATCTCAATGTATCTCTTCACATTACTTTCCCGTGCTTGCTTTGCACAATTTATGCTCAGTTTGAACACCCCATCTGCATAAACCTATCCAGGATTAATTCAAAAGTCCTTTAATAAATTTCTCTTACAATGGGTAGCTGGTTCATTACTATCCAACAGGGAAAATGAGAGATACATGTATATGTACATGTACACTGTATGTAAACATGGAAAAAGTCCATCCAAAAAATACTTCTGAATCTAAAATATCCTGTTACCTTAACATACCCTTATCTAACGTAACACAACTGTAAACCAATTAAGGAGAACTTACATATAATATTTTCTGCCATTTATTTATAAATTAGATGAATGAAACAATATAATTTGAGTGTTAGTCACCTCCTCAGACTGTCCATATCTGGTCTCTGCAGCACAGTTTATACAAATATCAAAATCATCTCCAGAGTCACGGAAAGCTGACTCTACACTAGCTGAGTAAAAATCAAGTAGATTGTAAAATGCAAAAAAAAATAGTGAGCTACAGATTTGCACCCATCAATTTGATTTATCAATGATTTCATGAAAAAGGTAAAAAATTGTAATTTATGAGTTTATATACAAGATTGCTTGCTATGGCAAAATATTAAATTACAAGATGAATTCATAAGTAACCAAACATTGCACTTGTTTCCTTCATCAAGTCCTGTGATTGATCAAACTCAAAATCACTTTCCAAACCAATCAGATGAAATGGACTTGGAGTAACCAGAATTGGCACTTGGTAACCTGCATTTTTCTGTGTCTTGATGCACTTTACTATTTCATCTCATCATCTACTTGAGATACAAACTGTTCTTCAGATTGCCTGCTGTGATTTTGGCTGTGAAATTCAAAGGCCCTCGAACAAATGAAGCTTTTTGATGGAATAGGGCCTACTAATTCCTACTGACAGTTCATTCATGCTCAATTATTTAAGTCATGCTCTTGACCTCATGCATAATTTAGTACTGAATACATTTGATACTTACCAGGATGAATGAGATTGGCACTCTTAAATTCCACACTTTCATGATTAAATGCTGCCTGTAAAGAAAATAAGTTTGCATATAGTATAAAGGAGTTATTAATAAACACTATGAGGATTCACAATGTAAGATGAGGTTACTAAATTCAAGACAAAAATCTATTTCAGTTATGATAATTGTTACATAAGAAAAGCAAGATAACTCTTACTTTATGTCTTTCATTCAACCAAGCTGTTTGTGGTGGAACTTTATCAACAGCCCTAATCTTTAAGACAAATAACAACAAACTTGAAAATGTTACAATAGTAACAACAGTTAGCTGATGAATGAGGAAGGGTGTCTTTAAATCAATTTCAGCTGGATGAGAAATTAGGACTGCCCCAGTGTGCAAGTACCAGGTGATAGGCAGAAAAAAATTACAGTTGCTGATAATAGTGCAAACACAAGAAGCTATGCCTAACCCTGCAAAGCCTTTTTTTATAGCAGTAATAATCTATTAGAAAATTGTTCAAATTATTCAGAGTCTCAAATAGTACTTTGAAATAAGTGACTGAGGTACAAATCTTCCACAAACAACATTATCATTCCTTTGTGGAGCACTGATCAATTGTAAATGGTTGAAAAAAAAGACTCAGATTCTTTTGTACACAAAGAATTGCCCAACTAACAAAGGTGAAGGAACTAACAATGTCTCTGGTAATTAGTGACATAAAAAATTTTACCATTTCTTTGAAAGAACAGATTTATATTGATACTGCCCTAGTGTTATATATTATCCAAGTTAAAATAAGAATGCTCCAAACAAGATTATTTGGTCCACATTAATTTTGTCATCACTAACAAAATAAAATAACAGCCTTTTTATAGTCTAACCTTCGAACACAGCTTGTGCTCAACAAGGTAGCACACAAGGTTGCGGCCAACAAATCCCAATCCTGAAAAAAAGAAAAAAAAAAAAGCATCACAATAACATCTAGTCTGAATAATAATAATAAGGTTAGGGTTAATTAAACCCTATAATAAAGACTTAACTCTTTAACTCCCATGAGTGACCAAGAAAGAATTTCTCCTCACAATACCGGTACAAAATCAACCATATAAGTGATAAGAACAAAGAAAACTATCAATTTGGGGATAATTGATCCGATACTAAATTCTCAGAAGTAACATTATAAAAATTATATAGATGACAGTAAGGAGAATTACAAATTTGATCTGGGAGTTAAAGGGTTAAAAGCTTATTTCTCCTGATTCTAATCCTAATTCTTTATAATTAACCAACTGGGGCTTAAAAGGGTTATGATTAAAATTATGAACTTTTTTTAGTTGAAATTTTATTTTCATGCAGGAAAGAGGTTATTCTTCAGAAAATTCTTAATTTCCTTTGTCCCTGAACCTAGTAAGTCTTATTCTCGTAATCATACAAAGGATACAAAGGAAAGAAGAATCTAGTAGATGCATCTGTTGTTGGTAAAATGTTTTGAAATGAAATTAATATCCAACTGCACCATAAATTTCATTCATGGATAATGATGTAAAAAATCAGTTAGTTTTAATAGAACCCTCTCTGTCAAAAGAAAAAAGAAAGTTTGAGATTCCTGGGAGTTTAATTTAACCTAACAATATATGATCCAAACATATGCTTCAAGGAAAACAGCTAAGCTATTCAGAATCTACGTATGAATTACTCTCCCTTCCACTCTCATCTCCCCCTGATTGATTTTTTCCTTTTCTTCTTCTCATCCTTACAGTTACTAATGTGAAACCAAGGTGAACAAGAACAGGCCTTTGGGTCTAAAGCTATCAAATGAACAGGCGTGCCATGCTTCGTTTTTCACCCCAACCCCAAGCGTAATACAGAAACAATATCTATGTATAGCGATTAATTATATTCTTCCGGTATTGAATATTTGAACATGCACAGAGTGACTTCTATCATCCTCTACATCAATGCGGCGAAATTGTAAACTGTAGGAGCAATTTGAAGTAAAACAAATTTACTTTAGATAATCACAAAGCCTGCAAATTAATTCATAGAGAATTGAATTATAAGTACAGATTAATCATATCTTAATTTGTTTACCTTTGAATCGATTTTATCTTGAATAATTGCTTTAACGGGATTACCCAGGTGCAATATAATTAAGTACAATTAGTGATAAATTGATCGAGGGTTACCACTGCTGCTTCGGAGGAAAAAAGTAACATGACAATCGAGTCAAAGCAGTCAGTAGCCCGTTAATGGTTGGAAAACACCTTATGCGATAGTACACTTGCATTTAAATCTCACTGGACAGTAATCATCCATTTAAATCAGATATAACATGGTGCACTTACCGCCAAGTATCAAAACTTTTGGTTTTGATGCCATTATCTTTGGCATAAAATCTTCTCCAATGGGCCCGCTACAAGGGAGAATGGAAGATAATGCTTTTAGGTTACACATTTCGAATGTGAATGCCAGAATCAATTTACCAGCGTCGCGAGTTGATCATGAAAAATAAGCTTAACAATCGCGAAAAGCACCAAGGGCAGTCTAGAGAAGTGCGAGGGAATGTTGAGAAGATAGGTGACCCTGTTATCTTGTCCTTACCCGCAGACCTTCGAGTTTTTCGCTATTTTCTATCATGCATGAAGGAGATACGAAACCAAAAGGTGTGCACAGACTCAATAAGAAATACTCGAGCGAAACTCTTATGTGACTCGAAGAAAAACAGATGGGGTTGTGAAGAAAACCGCTGGCCACCAGCTTTTATATATGTCGGCGTATCAACATCTAGATCTTGGGATATAGATTTCCTATGAATTTTCGAAAACGCCTTCTTTCTGAAGTTTACTAGATATTTTCCGACGCATGATTTGATAAATTCTTTGCTTTTAAAGTGGCAGTTAAAAATCTTATTCAGATATTACAATCAAGCGAACTAGTGTTAAAAAGATTTCCTCATGTACTGCCCTAATGTGATTTCTTAACGATTGAAGTCGGGAATCTAAGAAATAATTGCTAAAGCAAGCGTGTTCGAAGCTACAACTGAGATTTTGGAGGCTTTCTATGAACACTTTCTAAAAAACAAGAGCAAGCAAGTGAAGTTCTGGCGGGAAGGGTTTCTATATACGGGAACTTCGCGTAAGCTCAATAATTTTTATTAAGGAGAAATTTATACTTGATCACAAAGCTTTTGACCTTGAATAAATATAAAATCTTCAGATACTTTCAATTGTGATATATTAGAATCAAAATATATTTTTAGGAATCACACTAAATGTAAATGGTTTTTATTCAGGGATGCTAAGGTAAATGAAATACGTTTCATCTATATGTCTTTGATCAGAAAAGTACTTTCCTTCTACTAGTAGATCACGTGGTCAAACAACAACGGCGTCCAAATGCAAAGGAAGTTCTAAACGATCGACGAGAACCAACCATGTGCTTCCGCTGCTTGTTTCCGGCCTTCTTGCAGCCTGAATATTTGTGATGGCTTAACTTTTTCAAGGATACTTTTTTCCAGGAGACAGACGATCACTTAAGGGATCAAATTGCGGAACACGTTCACCAGGGTAAGTAAGATTTTGTCGCGATTTCCAGGGCTGCCGAGCATAAGTTGTAAGGAAAATTCTCGCTTCCGTGTTGTTCTTTTCCTTCTGAGTGCTGGATGTTTGTATGGGTTACGAGCCATGTTTTGATTTACTTCTCCGCTTTAAACTGTGTAATTTCGAAAGCTAAGTAATTTGAATACCTGCTCAATTATTTTTAAGGGAGCAATTTTGCGAGTTCATCCTTTAAATTGAAGTTTCCTGAACCGGTAGTTTGTATGTTATGTAGACGCGTTTGTATTTTGCATAAATTAGATACTCCGGATGTGAGCGGTTGGATGGCGTGTGTTTCTCAATTTTTCCAGCCCCATTCCATAAGCCCTACACTTGTATATTTAAACCTTAAGATTGATATTTATTCTTAGTGACTTTGATATTTTTTAGTCCATTTCTGTGGTATTATGCACATGGTTTGTTAAAATCATGTACATGTCAAGTTGTGTATTTACACGATCGGTCGTCTTCGATTTCAAATTTCGTCTCAATGATTTCAAGCTGGCATGGTCTCAACAACCAAGTAACTTAACGTAATTAAAACTATTTTTCTAAACCTTTCTACTCACTTCAGAGACATATATTGTTTATATATTAACTCAGGTGTAAAGTTTTGTTTTGCGTTGATGTGTGCTGTGTGTTCAACCTGCGGAATCAAGATGGCGGAATTGACTTCCGGACAATCAAGATTTACGCGTAGCAGGCCTTTCGCGATCGTTTCGAATTTTTGCTAATATTGTGACACTCAGCATTCTTCTTACATCAGCGAATCAGGGTGATTAAATTGTTTCTTCCGTGATGATGAAATATTGTATTCTAGATCAACTTGCTACAGAAAAACTCCAGGTTTTAACATGTATGCATGTCGACAACGTAAACTTTGTATACACATATGTGTACTTTAGGATAGGATAAATATTGGACTGTCAATATTTTTTTTGATTATGAGCATGTTTTTGGCCTACTTTTGCTCGGTGTAACATTCACTGATCGTTGCTTTTCTTGCTCCAAAATTATACCTGAAACACTCAGAAGTTAGTGAACATGCTAATATGTACTTGTACCATATGTTGTCTTTTTTACAATTTGCAATCTTGAAACTTACTTTACATGAAGTGAGTGTAAAATCATAGTAAATTTTTTACGTTTAAGTCATGCTTGGTTTTCATTTATCTTGGGAAATTGTTGTGGAGAATTTCACTGCATCAATTTGACTCTCACTTTTAAGAAATCGTGTGAAAATTAAAAGAATTGTGTTCTTCAAACCTCCATTCTTGAGTCATTAAAATAGTGGAACAATTGGAAACACAAATAGCAAGGAAGAGTCGGCTTCCTCCATTGAGAGTCATGGGAAACTCAAAAATTTCCTGTAAAAATGTTCGTATTTGCCACGCAGGACACTCCTGGTAATTTATGAAATAACCCTCAGTTATAATTACAGTGTAAGGTATATTTCTCCTTATAGTATGTACACATTCAATGTTCGATGAGACTTATCAAATTTGATTCAACAGAAGCATCAAATGCATGTAAAAGCATGTTTTGACAGACATTGTAAAATTGTCTTCATACCACAACAGTGTGTTTTACATGTATATTATCCATGTGTACTCAGAGATGTATTATATACAAATCAATCAGTGTACACTCACCTTAGTTACATTCAAATCCTGAATGATTTTAGTAGCTTTAATTTATTAACCCTGTGACCCTTAAGAGTGACCCGCTAGCATCTAATTTCCCTTAACATTATCACCCCTGAATTGCACATTAAGGCCTAAAAATTGATGGAAATAATCACCAACTAAAGAAGCTCTTGATTGTTAAACAAATTCTCTTTGTCAGCATCTAAGGAAATGTTTAGAGAAAAGTTAAGAGATTATGCATACTGATGTTATGCTGTAAAAGGCTTTATACCTGTATTGATGAGATTTTTTTTTGTAGAGAATACCATGCATTTCAATCTTTAAATGTAGGTTTCCCTTTCATCTACAGAATATATTGATCATTATGAAAGAGAAGGAAAAGTCCTCATTAGTAGACCTGGGAAAGCGGTTGCTTGAAGCATCTCGTAAAGGACATGCAGATGAAGTTAGTGTTCTCATGGCATCTGGAGCTCCTTTTACAACAGACTGGGTAAGGTTTTGATAAAAGATTCTAATCTTAGTACTTTATGGATGTAGGAAAATTGAAAGTTAGATGTTTTCGCCAGCTTTCACTTATACTTCAGAGAATATAGTGCTGTAGAGGAGGTTCAACTTTACAAGGAGGATGTAAGTACACCTGTCCTGTACTTTAAAATTGTGCAGAGCGACAATCTAGATAGAAATCCTTTCAATAAAACCCTTCCTTTCTTTGGAGTTTTGCATCTTTTTAAGCTTTTCCTTTTCCATAGAGATTTTTCTCTGTTGCCAATATAAGATACTTTCACCCTTCAATACATGAGTGCACAGTCAAAGCCTTAATTAAGCAAGCTTATGAAAATTTTCCTTACTACTAATAGCCCAGTTAAACAGCCTTATAAAGAATAAGGCTAAATTGTGGCTGACAAGTTGTTTTTTCTTGTCAGCTTGGAACATCCCCATTACACTTAGCAGCACAGCATGGTCATAGCCAGACAGCAGAAGCATTACTGCGGGCAGGGGTCAGCAGAGACGCTCGAACAAAGGTATAAATTTTATGATTTCTCAACAAGGAGATGTAGAGATACATGTACATGAAACATAATTAATGTCTGCAAGGTCAATATAAGTAAATTTTTAGGTAACTGTATTTTATGTGATTATATCACTTAAGTTAAATGTTATTTTTCAGGTTGACAGAACACCCCTACATATGGCAGCTCAACATGGTCACAAACAAGTAGTTGATCTTCTCATTTCTTCTGGGGCCTGTGCAAACAATACTGATATGGTAAGTTAATGTGGTTTTTAAAGGATTTTGATGTTACAGTGTACCTTGTTTGAATTTTTTGAGGTTCAAATTCCTCAGACCAATTTGATTTTGATTAATTACTCTGATTCAAAATATTGTGTTATAAAAATGTAAATAATTATTACCAACTGGTTTGGAAATTTGATTAATTGTGGAAAATGTAAACTTCCACTTACAGTGTGTGTACCATAATGATTTAGTTAAGCACCCAGGGTGCTTATTTACTTCTGATACCTCAAGGTAGGCTCTTAAAAGGGACAGAGTGCACATTTCTTCTTTGAGAAAGAGCAGAATCTGGGAAACAGCTTTTATGTTTATCTAAAAATGAGCAATAACAGAAACTGTAAATTTAACTGATATACAATGAATATTTGCATAGTAATGTTAGGGAATGTACCTTGTGCTCAAGCAGTGCTATGACCACTGAGACAGAATGGGGACGCGTATTAGAATAGGGGCGTTTACTGGAATGAGGGTGCTTACACAGTAGGGGCGTTTCTTAGAATAGGGGCACCTCATAACAAAAGCAACTCTTAGGTTTGATTATATTTACAGTATTTTTTTTATTATTATTACTCTAGTTAAACATGACACCTCTTCATTGGGCCTGTGAACATAATCATGTTGAGATTGTCAAAATTCTGCTTAGAGCAGGAGCCAAGATTGATATAAAGAGCAAGGTAACTTAATTCTTGGTGATGTTTGTCAACATAGTTATTGTTTATTTGTTTTTAAATCAAAATGTTTGTGGCTATTTTTACTGTTCATCAAACATGTTTCACTATGTTTATTCCCTCCTCATCTGCATTGATTAAGCTCAATGCTTAAAAGAAAAAGCTAGAATATGAAAACAAACAAGTAAGAAATGATTTCTACTGATTTAATCCTAAACATCGGTTAACCCTTCCATACCTCTTAATCCACTTGATGTCGATCTGGCTCTTCCCCCTAATAATCTTTCAAAAACCTAGTCACAAAAACATTAATCCTGAAAAAATTATTTGGCTAAACTCAATGGGCAGTTATCAAGATTCTTATCATATTTTGTTTGACTAAAATGATTCCACAGTTAGTATACATAGCTGTGAGATGTATGATTGTTATACATTAAATAGTCTCTTAAATATACACAAATTATAAATTGTCACAATTATTATTTTAAATCATGCTTAGCTGTGGGCGTAAAGTTTTTTCATGTGGAGAAAAGTTTTGTTTGCCTTGTTTCTCAAACACTGTTATGTAAAAACAAGGTGCAATTAAAAAAATTAGTTATCACCATGAAATCCCAGATCTTGAAAATTTACAGTTGAAAGAGGGGTATAGTTGTAGTTACCCAACTTACTTTGTGCAGCAAATGTACTTAGCATAAGATTTCACACCTTAGTTAAACCTTTGGTGTAGGGGCATGTACCTGTATTTCTTGCATCTGTGGTGGATTCCTTACACCATATATTCATTTGGTATCCTATCATCTTATTCAGTTTGGCAAGACTTCAGTTGACATCGCCAGAGCTAAAGGCTATAGCGAAGTGTTACAGGCTTTATCCTCAGATCAGGTTAGTTGCTAAGAAATTTTGATCAGCTTTAGGAGGGCAATTTATCATTTACTACAAATGAAAAGCAAAATTTATAATGACAAATTGCACTTCTCATATTTTTTCATGTCTTTACATGAGTTATATTCACATGCATGAGTTGGTTGATCTTACTGTCAGAGTATCAGCAAGCTTTCAGGTTACCAGCATGCACTGATCTGCATGTGTCTGGAGGATGGAACATACATGTTTTTACGCCTTGAAGGGCTGAAAACTCAATCCTTGTGATCCATTGCTAGGAGAATGCCTCATTTTTGTCACAAAATTATATGGACAGTGTGCATTTGTAAGGAGCTTGTAATCCCAAGCATTATCATTGCATGCTAACAAAGTTAGCCAGTGGTAATAGTTAATGATATTACTTATATGCTATAGGAAAAGCAAGTCAAAAATTTTATATTAAATATAGAAATTATTGACTTGTTTTTCTCTTGACGAACAATCATAATTTTTCTTGGTATTAGCTCTTTTAAGTAAGTATGATTTCACCTTACTAGGATCAGGATTTGTCATTGCCAAAAACTCTTAAGAGGCAAGGTAAGGTTGAGCAATTTAAATTTCCTTAAAATGACTTTCAGTGATTGGAAGCACCTTGTGTTATTTAACCCTTTAATCACTGAGAGTGACAAGCATCTAATTTCTCCTTTCAATATCACCCCTGAGTCAAACATTAAGGTCATGAGAATAAAGGAAATGATAATCAACTGAAGAACCTCTTGATTGTTATACAAATTCTCCTTGCCAGCACAAATAGGAAATGTATAGAGAACAGTATGAAGAATATGCATGCTGATGTTTGGGTGTAAAGGGTTAAAGGTTCTGTAGGTACAAGTATCTTACTTGAGAGTGTGAAATCATGAATCTTTGTTGACTAACTCCATGATAAAAAAGTGTCTGATTTCCTGAGATGAAAAATAAGTGGAGAGATCTGATGTAAATCCGGTATCGCAGAGGTCATGGGAACTGTTGGTTAAAAACTGTTGGTTAAAAAGTGGTTAGCTTTAAACTAGAACTCATAGTTAAAGTTGATTTTAATGAAAGCATATAGAGCTACCATTTTAAGGGTTTTATTGTGCTGTAAGGCAAATCTAGAAGAAAAAAAATTTAAACAATAAAACTGTAAATAAGACTCAAGACTCCATAAAAGATTTGCAGCAAGAGTGGGCTAGTGCATTCATTTCAGGTCACATCTCCTGATCTTTCACCGATGAGTAACACAATGTATATACAGGTGCCTTTGACTTATATACCTGCATCTATTTTCCAATTTGGATTATTTTATAGCTGATCGCAATAACCTCACATTGAACTCAATGAAGAAAAGACAAAGGACAAAAAAGTTTCCAATGACAGCTGGATCTTGGACTGGTCCTGAGGGACCTACAGGTACTTAGTAATTACACATACATCTGTACCATGCCATGAAAAAACAACATTGTATAGCACCTCAGGTCTCCCATCTTGTATCATTTCCAAAGTTTTTGCATAGTATTGGTAGCTTACTTGTTCCTGCAGAAGTGGAGCAAAAAGATTTTTACATTCTTTCCCCCTATCTTTTTAATGTGCTGTCAAACAGACAGGTGCCTTTGACTTGATATTGATTTCCATTGCAAAACTTCATCACAGAAAATGGAAACAAAGCCAGAAGAAAGGCAACAACTCCAGGAACATCCCCAAAGTCTGCTGTGGGTGGTGGAAGAAGAGTGTCAGCTCCTCCTCACTTCCCCAATGCAGGTATTTGATGCTTTCAGTTTTTATGATAACAGTTAACCCTTTAACTCCCAAGATCTCATCAGTAATTCTCCTCACTGTCTGCCTAATGATTCTCATTATAGTAGTTTGGAGAATCTGGTATCAGATCAATTTGTACTCCCATAATTGATATTTTCCTTTATTCTCATCACTTGTCTGCCTGATGTTGTATAGATAGAGTAAGGAGAAATTCTGCCTTTGTCACTAACGGGAGGTGAAGGGTTAAGTCTAAAGATAAGAATACTTTATTTTGTTTTCTATTGGCATATGGGGTGTGGCCAGTGAGGAAAAGCCGAGATCCAGGTTGTGCATTCAAGGATCACTCATTTCAAATTGTATTATCCAATTTTAATTCTTTTTCTGTGATAAACACTAGGTTCTCCATCTCTACGTAGTCCAACTGAAAACTCCATTGCCTCTTTGGTGTCAGCTGCAGCCATAGTAAAAGCAAAATCAGAGAGTGAAGGTGAAGGCCAAATGTCAACAGGTAAGCGGTTTATTGTTATCATGGTTAGTACAGTATGATGCAGTTTAGTCTTTTTTGTCATTATGTTCAGCTAGTTGGTTTGCAATTAGAGCTTTGTAGGATTGTTTTTGTTTTTAAGTCAGATGGACACAGTGAAAAAATTTAAAAGAGATATAGTGCCTCTGTTAAGAACTACACAAGTTTGCCCTCTTTCTACTATTGGGGCTTTTTTTTCAGTCACCTTCCAATATTCATCCAGGTTTAGCATTCTAAGCAAATTTAGCAAGTGAAATACAATGAACAGTTATAGCATGATGTAATTGCAGAATCATAATGTAGCTGTAGGCCTTGTTCAGACCAAAGTGACCGTTAGCATAGTTCTCTTCCTTAGAATGTTAGATTTTGAGTTTGGACATTTTTTTCCTTTGATACTCTTGTTAAGTGCGATGTTTTTGTGCATTTCATGCGGCATGTGTTCAGTGGTATCATATCATGAGCTGTTCTTTTTACTTTCAGTAGTTATGTCGGATGGCAAAAGCACCTCTAATACCTCTAAACCGCAAGACTCTAGTGTACTTGATACACTGGCCACACTTGCCACTGCCACCTTAAGCCACAGTACATCTGCGACTTCAACGACACCACCACAGCAAGTAACAGCTGTGGCTGGCAAACCCCTTGGCATTACACCCCTCACCCTCCCACCAACAACACCAACCTTCGCCACCCCGTTGACACCATCAAGTCTCTTCCCAATGCCTTCCCCTCTTGCAGCACTCTCTGCTCTGTCATCTTTATCATCACCAGCACAAACATCTCCTCTGCCGTTGTCTTTCACTATGCCCATGATGACCCCTCAGCAGGTTTCATCAACTGGAGCGCAGCTGATGCCCCTGGTTCAGAGTGGTGCACCCTTCTTCTCCAGTGCAGCAGGCGTGTCTATTCAACAAGGTGGGGCATCTGTGACAACTGCTGGGGATGTGCATGGACCTTTATCAACAAGCAGTGCTAGTTCGGGTGCCTCCATAGCAGGTGCGGATTCAATGGTGAAAACCATAACACTTGGCAATGCAAGTTCACAGTCCCACAATACATCTGCACAAGCTATTCTACCTCAATCCATCATGGCCCCCTTCCAAATTCCTGGTGGGTCAGGTCAGACACAACTGCAGACACAGCTTGCTCTGAGCCAAATGCTTGCCCCAATGCAAGGAGTTCAGCCCTCAGTTGTGTTGGAGCTGAATGCATCAGCTAATAAGGATGGAATTGGTGAGTTGCATAGGTGGCTTTCCTTAATTTAGTTGTGTCGCTATCTTAACTCGTTTTCTACGACATGCTGTATTTCTTTCGACAGAAGGGAATTTACGAAATATAGGGAAATTTTCCCCTGAGTTTCGAAAGTAATCCGGAGTTGTTTTCTTCAGCTTCCCTTTGCTTGGTGAGTGGTCAAACGACTTGCTCTACTTGCTCAACCAATCAGATTTTGGATTAAGATACCAAATTGAAATGCGCGATAAGTTAAGACGGATAGGAAATCGTCAAAATGGGATTAAAAAAACAAAGAAGAATGAGAATGGCAGGATTTTCTTTAAGGTTTTTAAGTATCCGGAGCTTTTTTAAAGGTAAACGGTTGTGGGTCTGGAAATCAAATATGGCGGACAAAACGTCATATCGTTCGTACTTTCCTGCCACCGCAGCAAGATTTTTCAAGAAGACAGTCCCCATCTGAACGTTTATAAACTAACCTTGAGTCAGAAGTCTTTTTATGTTTCAGAAAAGATTGGCAGGGCAAATTTCTATTTTTATTGAGCCCAAGTTTAAACCTGATAAACATCATCTCTGTATGGGCTCTCGAAGCAACGAAAGTAGCCGGCGAAACCTTGCAGAGAAGCCGGCGTACTTCGCCGGCTGCCGGCTCTTATCTACAACCCTGGAATGGTAAAGCTGGGAAAGTTCTAAAACACATTGCAAATTGAGTATCTTATGACGCAAACACCGCGACTTAGCTCCTTGACTCTTTATACCCTAACATCAGTAATGATATTCTCCGTACTTTTCTTCAAGCATTACTGTGGTCGTGACAAGGAGAATCTGTGAAACAATCTAAAAGCCTATATTTTCATGACTCAGATTTTGGTTTCTCCTCTCTTAGGGGTTCAAAGTTCAAATGCATTTCATTAAGTGTATTCACTTTTGAGATGATCGTCTATATTAAATTTTTTTTGCCTCTTAGCTCAAGTAAAAGTTGACCAAAATCAAGCAGCAGAGTTGTTAAAAAATCAGAGCCAGTCTCAGGTGGGTGTTTATGGTACATGTTTGCAGAACCAGTACATGAAAGCGATGCTGTTAAATAGTGCACTGTGTGGCAAGGAGCGCTCTATTTTACCGGTGGATAGCCAATTGCTATTTGTAGGTTATATCACCGTCCTGCAGATTAAAAAAAAAACTGGATTGTGATGTCTTTATCCGGATAACGATTTGTTCAGTTGATTCAAACAACCAGGGTCTGGCCTGTGATACATTTTAGCGCAAGAGGTAGATGAAGTAGGGGGATTAGTTCGTAGAAAGACACACATTGCGTGTTTGGAGGTCACATTTTCAGAAGTTTGTAAAATGCGTCGCATTTTGTAAAATGTAAAATTCTTGTGACTTCCAAGAATGTTGCGCATTTCCAGTGGTCTTGCAATTTTGCCCCTTCCTCCTCCCATTGTGGTTATGATTTTACATTTTATTAAATTGAGCTTTGTTCTCTCAATCGATAGGAAGTGGCGCAAACTCAGCTTCACCAAGATACCGGTGAATCAAAACAAGCGGAGGACATGAGCACACAAAACATTCCCGGCACACAGGAGGTGTTCATAACACTTCAGGTTCCAGCTGGTTTGCAGCATGTTCAGCCTCAGCTTGTGACAGACCCCAGCTTTGCCTTACAGCAAGTACAGCTTGTGCAACAAGTGGCCACACACGACACCTCACAGGTATTTACCCTCCTCATCCTATCAGTGTTTTAAGGCACAAACATTGCAAAGAGAAACTGACATATGACAGTCCCACTTCCTTCTTCAATTTCAGCAAACAGCGACTGTAGCAACTCAGTCACAGCAGAACCCGGTCTCTATACAACCTGATACCGTTGCACACACTCAACAGGAACAAGCTGCTGGCTCAACCGCACCTCAGGCTCCGGTTGTCCAATTACAGCTGCCACAGGATCAGATAAACTTGGCGCATTTAATGCAAAATGTTGGACATGGAACGTTACCGCTGACAGTACCATTGACTCAACTTTTAGCAAGTAAGTGATCTACGGTTAAAGGCTCAAACGTCGCGTTTAAATATCTTTAAAGGTTGCTGTGAAAATCATTCTTGTGTGGTTCCGAGAGTGTTGATGAAATTTTAGAAGGCGTTCTGCAACGACGCTTATGTCCCTCGTCCACCTTGAGTATTCTTTGCGATGAAGAAAGTTAATTGTGCTTTGTTTTTCTTGCAGACAGCCAATTACAAATCGGCAGTCAAGTGACACAAGTGCCTCAACACACACAACAACAGCGACAACAGCAACAAACAACAGGGACACAGCACCAGCAACAAAATATTGCGCAACAGCTACTGGCTCAATCGGTTCCTCAAAGGACCTTACTACCCCAAAATTATGTGGCTCAGTTAGGCCAGGTAATTAAAATTAAAAAGCACTGGGAACACGGTTGAGGGAGAAACAACGGGTTTGAGTATAAGTGCACTGGACTGGAGCCTTGGCCAGGTCACTCTGCACTTCCTCTCATCCGCGGTTATTGCATGTAATAAATGCCTGAAAGACTTTACTTTAGTTTGTTTGGTTTTTTGGGTGTCTTTTTAAACGTCAGCTATTCCTGTTGTTTTTCTATATGATTTGGAGGAAAGCTCAGCTGTAATACTTACCTAATAATTTGGCTTAAAATCTGAAGGTCTAACCATGATCGTTGATTACCTGTTCTGTTGCCAGGCCCCTGTTCAACCAACAGCTGATGTCCAGCAGCAATCGCAGCAGCAACTCATCTCCCCTCAGCTTCTTCTGCAAGTACAAGAAGACCTTCGTAAACTGTTGGAACAGAGACAAGTAGAGGAGGACAAGGTCAGAAAGGAGTTGGAAGGAAAAGTGCACGCGTTACAACGAGACAGCGACAAGTATCGCTCAGAGCTGGAGCACGCGCAGAAAGAAGCGGAAGCTTACCGCAGTCGTTTGGAAGTCGAAAGGAAAGAAAAATCCAAGCTACACCAGTTGTATGAAGCAGCCAAGCATCCTAGTGGTAATGGCGGCGAAGGGCATGATAGCTCCACCACATCTGAACCTGCAAGTGATCCTTTAATGTAAAACCTCTGTTTATATAGTGCCAAGCCCTAATTGTTATGACAAATAAGATGATTATATTGCTCTTCTTAATTTAATTTTACCCTTTATATTTCAGTCAGATGTTCTGAAGTTTTGATAGTTTATTTGCATTTGAACTTCTGGCATTTGCTACTATAACGGGTAATCAAGGAAAAAGTAACCATAACGATCCATTCACTAACTTGTCATGTTGCGGTGTTATTTTGTTTTATTTTATTTATTTTTTTTAATTCACTGCGTCAGGTTTTTTGGAACTTTTAGTGCAGCATGCAAAACTTCCTCTTAAGTTAGGGAATAACAGAAGAAAGTATTAATATGTTAAGAATGGAAGGGATAAATCTTCTAGGAACGGAAATAGGTTAACTCAGATCACAAATGATGAACTTGAAAATTTCAAGGCTTATTTTTTTCGAGATGCAGTATCCGTAGGCTCGATTTCTGCCTATTTCTCGAGTCCAGTATTCGATCCTCCTAAGGGTGACTTTGGGGTGAGAGCCGGCTTACTTCCTGAATAGCGACTGGTGATCGAGCCTACTATAGCTGTCTCGTACCTTTTTTATTGCCGTATAATGCCCTTGTAATCTTTTCGGATTCTCTATAGTTTTCTTACGGTTTCATTGTAACTGAAAGACCCTTATGTATTTATCTTCTTGTAAAATAACTGTTATGCAGTCAGATTGAAGTTTTAATATTGTTCCGTCTGGGATAACTATAAGCGAAGTACTCTTTTGTACGGGAAGACAGAATGACACAGTCGTTTTCACGAACGTGTTGGACGGTGTTTCATCTTGGACGGCATAATATGTAAAGACTGTAAATAGTCCAGTCGTGTATATGGTGTTACAGTAACTTATTGGCACAGGTTATATAGTATTTGTGATAAGTATTAATTAAATATACGATGGTTTATTTGTACCATGTGCGGCGAGATTATCTCTCCACTGTAGTTTTCATTTTATTAGAAGCATCAAGGAGTGAATATTTCATTCATTTCATATGCAACGGGACATACACGTTCTTCATAAGTTCAGCGTACCTGAAACTAAATTATGTCCACTAAGATGCTATGTAGTGTGAAATAAGATTTAATTTAAGTATTTTAATTTGTAAGCGCATCTAAGGCCCATTTCATACGCCGAACTTTTCAGAGCCAAACCGGCTTAAGACCTCGAATGAAAAGTTCGGTATCTGAATCAACTTGGGAACGGTTCGGCCGGGAATTTTGACTTCGGCGCAGCTCAGTAACGGCTTTGATTCAGGCGCCGAACGGCCACGCTGAAAATTCTGGAACTGAGTCGGTATTGGCTCAATGAGTTCGATGATTTTTGACAGCTTACATTTGAATTTAGCTTTACCCGTGAATAAAGTTTGGCTTCTAAAACGGGCCTAAGCCCCGCAAAAATTTCCATCATTCCTGAACTCTTACATGTTGCAATACCTAGCATAAACACATCAATGCAGGTTAGCATATTTCCACTTAAGACATATTCCCTCAAAGAAAAAATTGAGAGTGATCTTTGACTAAGACTGCGGAGATCTCGGTGCTACCTTCCATATTTTAACAGCACTGATTGCATGGGGGTTCAAGTAAATTGAAAATTGTATCTGTTATCATTTTGGATATGTGCAGCAATTTTGCATGGTGGAAAACAATCGAGAACTAGATGCATTGCACAGCGAAGACTATTGTTAACGATTGTTATGAATATGAGGAATAAAGAGTCATCTACTAACTAGTCTCGTCTGCTTTTGGGAGATAAATAACGAAGTTGACTCCAGTCATGGTTACCAGGTAACTCTAGTACAGCTTAGGCTTAGTAGTAGAAGCCTATCTATGGATGTGAACATCATACCTTAGTTTGAAAGAATTGAATGACCAAAGTCTTCGCAAGCTGACTTCCCGTTAACAGGCAGATAATGACATTAAAATGTTATTACCTCCAAATGTGTTGGAATATCGTGCTGTGCTCACATTGGCGCGATTTTACTTGACCGAGTCACGCAGGAACGTGAATAAATGATGCATGCACGTGTACTCAAAGTGACACATTTTATGGTGTTTCCTACCGATCATGCCGCTGTTATGATGTACGTAAGATAACGGGAAAAGTTTGAAAAGTGGCATTTATTAGAATGATTAATAACATTACTCCGAGCAACACTGGTTCGAACGAACAAGTTTAGAAATGATCCTACAAATCTGTGCACGATCGCCCTGCCCCCTCTTATATTTTGGAAACATGGCATAAAAGAAATATTCTGTAACCTTTCAGAGACGTCTGTAAAACGTGCCTAATTCATACCATTTCAAAACGTTTGCTTGACGAAAACGTGTGAAAAAAACCAGTTGATAACTGCTACATACGCCGCCCCCTCTTCGCTGCTACTCTCCCACGGGAACTTGGTGTCTTCTTCTTGCCAGTGAGTAAAACACCTGACACCCTACTGGGTGGTGTGCAGCTTTGGTCCGTCGCGTAGCAGAAGTTCTCGTCAATATGATCGACAAAGGCCAGCTCAGGAGAGCGGTCTTTCAGCTTTCTCCGGCGTCCCCTTCCATTTCCAATCAAAGGTGAATTTGCTTCGTCAAAATTACTTTGATCCTGCAGCACACGCCTGTCATTAAATCGAGAAATGCTACGTTTTGATTCATCTACCAACTGAGGCGATAAGGACGGTACAATCTGTATCGAACTCGACCTGGGACTTTTCCTTGTCTTGCTATTTTGCAGAGTTCTTTTGCTCATCTGTGCTGTAGTAACTTCTACAGAAGCTGCTATGGAAGTCATGTCCGAGCAAATGCTTGACATTACGTCGTTGGAAGCAGGATCTGTACTTGAGCTCGAAATCGCCTCGGTGTCTTCCGTACTCTCCACCACAACAGCATTGGTAGGGTCCTGCCGACGATCCCCTTCAGGAGAGAATAAAATTCCCAGAGGAGAAAGAAGCGGTGACAGGGTGACACCAAGATCACTCAAACTTTCCTGGCTTATTGTAGTCACGGCACTCAGGAACGAGTCTTGCTGCGGGGACTTCTGCACCTCGTGAGACTTCCCTGAGAAGAAACTGTCATTAGTGAAGGCAGGGACTTCTACCACAGGAATCAATCTAGTACGAGGCTCTTGGGATGAGGGCTGCTCTGGTAACTGAGGGGCTAATACAGAAGTCTCGTCGCTTTGATCCACTGTCAAAAATTGGATATGTTGTAATGGAACCGACAGGGGTAACCCCGCCACTGTTATACCCTCTTCGTAGGTATCCACAGAATCAACGGATACAGCTTCTTCAGGACTAACAAAGGAGCATGAACGTTCTTCTGTCGGTAACGAAATCGGTGAGATTAAAATTAAAGGTGAGGTCAGCACCGTTGCTGTTTCTTCTTGGGAATTTTCACAACTTTCTTCCTCTGTTAGAGCTCTTAAGACCAAGTTGTTACAAATATCAGGAACATCGTGGCTCACGGGCGACAGCAAATTGTCTATCGTGATTCCTTGTTCTTCTTCAACTGTTGAGATTTCTTCAGGAAAGCCTTGTAATTGAGCATTCCGTTGAGCTTCTAGTGACTGCAAAGTTGACCACAGCCCTGCATCTAAATGACAATGATTCATCATTAGTTGTGAAGTGTCCAACAAAGCATTTCCCAAGCTCCAAGTATATGAGATGAGTCGGCTTTACCTGTAACTTTCTTCTCAAGGATTCCGATGTACTTGATGGTTTCTTGTAAAATCTGCCCCTATGGTACAGATAAATTACTAATGATATGAAAGACAAACGAATTTGAGTAAGCTTTGATTGGCAGACAGAGCAGAATTATCCGCAGGTGTTTCCCCCACTTCATAACTACGGACACAGCAAACCAGCTAACACAACGGTAAAAAACATGCGAGGAACTGCTTGAAGCAAAAACGATCAGAAAACTTACTCGAGTAGAATTCCGCTGAACACACGGCACTACTTGTCTCAGATGATAAAACGCTTTCTTCAGCTCAGCATCATACCGTCTGTGAGACAACAAACATATCATAAAAATAAATTAAATGGCCACTCTGCAAGAGTGGCTTTTCAGTGCCAAAATAACCAATACAATAGAACTACTTGACGGTTGAATAGTAGACTGGTTTAATATTTCAAAGGGAAGTTTGCAGACTAAATGAATACACAAGGTGAAGTCTGCACCCTGAGCTAAGCAAGGCGCCAGAACTTATCCCGGTCCACATAACGTAAAGCCATAAAACAACAAGGAGTACTTTACTGTGAGAATATAGTGGCTTACCCAAGAACACAACGCAGCGACTCAGTCAGGTCAGACCAGCGCCTTAACTGTTACGCCACTACGCTACTACCACGACATCGGGTGAACCTAGGTTCAACTCGACGATCGGCCGGCGTCAGCAGGACTTCAGCCGGTTAAGACCAGAGTATAAACTCAGCACCATTACAACTCGCCTATGCAGAGTTTAATAGGGAACTACATAATTCGAAAGAGGTTCTTTGCTCGCTACTATACATAAGTAAATAGCAACAAACCTGTCTCTGATCTTTTTCTTTTCTTTATCTTCTCCGCGTTTACCCGTCGTGGTTGGTGTTGCTATAATTTCAACACTTTCGGTAACATTGCAGTCTAAAGAAGGCTCACTTTCTGGATTATCCCTGCATTCCGATACTATACTGACTATAGATACAAACAATTTCCTTAATTTAACTATGCGTAAGAAAGCTAGACCAAGTGGAACCGGTCTATTGTTAGCATTTCGTTAGGTATATAAGCAAGTATATAGTGAGATAAAAAAATTGAGGTTACCAAGCATACATGCAGACAAAAAGCAAGGTCAGGGTGATCTGGAGCAGACCTCAAGTAAACCTTAAATCAGATGGGGCGCAAAGAAAACAACAGCCCTTGGAATCGATGTTTATAATGCATTCTTCAAATATAACACTTAAAAGGGATTAATTAAAATTGATCAATTAAAAAGGGTTGATAAATGACATTTGGTAGAATTTGGGGAGGTAACAGCTTGCAACGGGATGAGGAAAGAAAGGTTCAGTGGAATCATCAGGTCGCCTACCAGTTGTCTGGAGGTCTATCTCCTCTGCAGATGTTAAACGGGTATCCAGGTCCCTCGTTATTTGAAGGCTGCTGTCTTGATTCTGCAAAAGAAAAAGCATAAACTCAAGTAAATGTTATCACTTTCTCATTGATAGAGGCGTAACAATGTTCCGCCACAGCATAGTTAGTAGAGGAGACCTCCTCTACTAACTATGGCCACAGTTACCCGATGTACACTACAAAATTTCTGCCAATTCCTGAAAATATCTCATTGGTGATGTAAAGTGATTCAAGATTGCAGTATGTCTGCTTTCCCACATATATGCTGTAATTAGTTTAGAATCGAAAACTCCCTTCCTTTCCACGCCCGTGACAATTTCTATTTCTTCACCAAGCTCAAAATTTACCTTCTTTTTTGTTCTTATTGCACGCACGACGCTTTCGAGACTGCTGATCTTAGCCGTATGCAGGTCACGTGTTAGATACGAACCTAGCAATGGCTTAGCTCAGTGGTAGGTTTACAGTCATCTCGCACGAAGTCGTATGTCCCGAAACCTGTTTTAACATATGACGAAAAATGGGCGACATGACTCGTGATTTCAGGCGACTTAACTCCAGTTTCGGGCGAGAAGACTTAGAGCGACTTGACCAGTTATCCAGACTGGTAGAGCATCAGAGCATACTATCCGAGGGTCTGAGCTTCGTTATTCCTCATGACAACACACAATTTTTTCTTTGTCCTAAGCATGTGACAGGACGAAAGAAAGTCTTTCTCGTACAAACCGAGCGGATGCAAATTTGAACTTAATTTCTGACGTGATTACCCGATTTTTGTCATGCTTAACGCACTTTGAACGTACATATCAGTTGTCTTTGCCTTCTCGTGACACATGTTTCTTTCCTTGACTTTTAATGGCTGTTGTGGTTACTTTGCTTTTGGTTTCACGATATACGATCGAAAGGCTCTATAAGAAATTAAATGCTTCAAAAAGATATGCTCTCTTCTGTAGATCAGGCGGAAATGTCAGCATGCAAAACTCACAAACATCAAATACTTCGTTGCCCAATAAGAACAAAATCTTCACCGTTCTTACAGTCTGAGGAACGTTCATCTCATAAGGTGCTTTGATCTTTATGCAGGTAAGTGGGGACTTCTCCATTTGTGGAACTGTTGCCTCTTGACCAGGTGAAGTTGAAACTTCAGAGAACCGTGGCGCCAGTGACCTCTAGAAACACACAACAATTAGCTTGTAAAATTTAATTCGAACCAGGGCCTGATTGTAGATAACTAATTTGTGCAACTATCTCCAGGTTAGTGTTAGTTTTTCATAAATATTTAAGGTAAATCACCTTTGAGGTTCTTTCTGAGCCAGAGCCTTCTTTACTCTTCAATAGTCTTCTGAAACCTTGAGGCGGTAGACCTAAAATAAATTTTTTTTAAAAAAACACAATAGATGCTTTACCCATGTAATGGTACTTTCCATAACTTAGAAGTAGAAAAACGACTAAGAAAAGATAGGGTTTAGGTGTTTCTTCGGTGAGGAAAACTCACACCATCTTTCTGTACCTTGCAGATAAATAGGTTGGTGATTTTCTTCTCCTGTGGGAGTTGTCAAACTGTCCTTGTACGTTGACAACCCCTTGGAGTGTCTGTCGTTTCCTTGAGCAATAACATACTGTTGCTTTCTGCCTTGCAATGGTTGGATTGGAGTGGATGTAGTTGAGACAGTGATTATGGGAGAGGATGTACTGCCTTCATGAGGGCTTGGTGACACTCGCAGGATAGTTGAAGGTAAGGCTGTTCTAACTGGCTTTAGAGGGTGTGGGTTCCACTGCATTGAATGATGCTCAAACTCTGTATTCTGTAAGGGGGTGCCTCCTTATAAGAACAATTACAAAATTGATTTGTCACTCTAATTTTATCAGTTCATAGCACATAGACTCCTAAACAAAACCCTAAAGGTACAAGGAAGTTTTTTAGACTGTTACCTTTCGGTTTCATTTTATGGAAATACATACCACCCTCCTAGGGCATGACCTATTCATGTTTGTGATAGACTGATCGAAACAATGGGACTATATTGAAATGTAAACATTACAACACTAATTGGCTTAAAACAATCATCAAAACATCCTAAAAGACAGAAAGAACATAAAGAGACTGAATTCATGTAAAAGGTGAGGAAAAATTGCAGTGTGTATATAACAAGTTTAATTTTCTTTCAGGAAAAATAGGCAATTCACATAAAAATGAAGAAGGAAAAGTTCTCTATCATCAAGCAATTGGAGCCTTTTAACTTATTTACTTCAGAATGGCTAATTCCCCCCTCAAGTCTTGCTTTTGAGATGTAATTTAGCCAGTTTTTATAAGGAAATGTTTCTATGGTTTTTAAAAAACAACAACAACAACAACAATGACAACACATGAAAACAGTCCATACAACAAGAACATGGAAGGCTAAAAAAAAACCTAGAGTAAAAAAAGGGCCTGAGGGTGAATTTTAAGCTGACAAAGGTTAAATTTAAGCTAAAAGGTGACACGAAATGAAAGAAAACATCAATTAAATGAAGTAATAAAACCAATTTTATAGGACTTTTTTTAATACCTTCAGGTGCAATTGTACGTTCTGTTACTACCATATGAGTTTTGGATGGTACAAAGTCAACATCTTCTTCATGTTGTTCTTGCTGCGTCTGAAGGCATTTGAGTGGGGCACAATTTTCATAATACAGTGGAGCTGGAACCACCAGCACATAACAGGAAACTTTTTCATTAGGACATGGTTTGGGTGCAATAGGAACACCTTGACTGTTCCCAGGCATAAAGAAAGCAGAGTGTAAGATTTTGTTGGGTATAACCACTCCAGCACTTGGTGAGGAATAGCATTGATCTGCATCTCCATATTCACAGTAACTGGAAGTGTCATTGGTGTTGAGTTTAGGACGTATTGTAGCTGGTCTCTTTTGGCTGATTTTGCAAAACATTGGGATAGATGATAAGAATGCCTCTGGAGAAAAAGCTTCTGCTGGAACATTAGGGAAAGTCTCTCTCACATCTCTTTTCACTCTGTATTGTTCATTGAAAGCATGAGCAGAATCATTCATGGTTTGCATAAAGCTGTCATCGCAAGATTCATCATCAATCACTGCAGTGCTAAAATTTTCTTGGTTCAATGTGAAGGAACAATCATTACCCCTTTCCTCTTCACTGTTATAATTTAAGAGCTGGTATTCAGCAGAAATGGCATCATTGTTATCCAGTTCTTCCTTGTTTGAGAAGAATCCAGATTTTGGTGACAAAGTTTGCTCCTGTAACTGTTGCACTGGTATGTCACTGTTTGTCACTGGAACTAGAGCAGCCATGGGTGACGGCATTGATAAAGTCAAAACTGACTTACTACAAGGTACACTGTGATCTTTGAAATAATCAGTGAGAAAGGATAAAATCTGTTAAGGCCTTCACACAATTTTTAGTTACTTTAATTGGTTTCTTTTTGCAAGGCTATGTAAGTAAACTTTTAATAATAATAATAATAATAATAATAACAATAATAGTTAAAATAATAATATATTTTCTTTATAGAGTAAAACACATAACAGTGAACAAACTGATAAACCAGTGGCCCTCATAAGCTTGCACATAAACACACACACACCAATATATTTCTATTGACAAGACATTGTACCTGAGACCCCTTGACTTGACTGATTGGCAGGGAATAAAAATCCAGCACCTGCGAGACTCTAAAGATAGCAATAGTGAAAAACAAGATTCATTTTTTCTCCTAGATGTGACATTGAAGCAATTTTATTATAACTTGTTACTGGAACAGAGAAGATCAAAGAAATTAAAATATCGCCGTAAACAAAATAATAAACCTTTTCCTCTTTTTTAACGTCATTTTTTTCTTTTTCATTTTCATCAGAGTTTAACTCACATTGCTGGCGGGAAATTCGGTTATGATATGTTGAGCTGTGTAGGACATCGCGCTTTATCGTTTAAAAATCGTTTTAATTAAGTTAAATGTTCTAAGTTACATCGTTAACAAAGTTTGAATCCTAGATACAAAACTTACCGTGTCTGCATCAGAAACGTGTTCAGCAGAACAAATTATAACCTGATCTGAATTTTGGAATGCAGTGAAATTTGTCAAAGTAAGGTCCCCTACAACGATAAATATTAAGATGCTTGAGTAAGGGAATTACTGAAAAAGATTAGCAAAGAATGTAAATCTTTAATAAAGTGAAGCGTGTGACTGTTTCAACTGTTCAGTGGTTTTGGCCATCGATCAAAATCACCTCGTACACTAGTTAGTAACAATCGAGTATTTGTCTAGATAGAGAGCACAACCATCTTTGAGGGAAAACTCACCTTCAGGCGGTTCTTTGTCAGTCGGAGCGCGGATAGATAGTTGAAACTCTTCCATTCTCGAGGAAACACTTAAGGCAAACACAACCTACAAAGTTATTTTCAAATTGTGTAGATCAAGGTTTTAAATCAGTTTCCTCATATTGTGCTTAAGTCACCTTTATTTCCAGCCAACAAAAAGCGGTAAAGGGCTTATCGGCCGTTCTTAAAGAAGGTAATTTCTCATTTTTATGATTCAATAGTCATCTTGGACGCAAAACATCTAACCACTAGGCAAATTAATATTGTCGATAGACTCAACCTACAGGATGGCTAGTTCTGGCCGCCAAAATAATTAACCACGTGACCTAGCGCCTCGTATCTATGCTCTAGACATAGTATGTTTGGAACGGATTCGTAGACTGCGGACGATGGATCATGTTCCTCAGATCGCTTCGCATCTACAAGGCTTTAGTAAAGAGTGAGACTCAGTGCTACTCAACAGTCAAGCAGGAAGACCGAGTTCAGAACGAGAAAAGTGTATCTAATGCGAAAAAAGGTAAGTGTGAAGCAGGGCCAATAAGTAGTCCTAAAATTTGCTATGGACTGTGTGCCTAGGAGCAAGAAATGCAATCAGACTTTGTTTTCATCGTGTTCCACCACCAGTTAGATGTTTGCAGCTGTTTTGATGAATACAGCTGTCTATGAACACATAAATCCAGGGTCGAAAAAGGTAAATACTGGTACATAGTCACAATGAGTTTTTATTTTTGCATCTAATGTCTATTGAGAGGATGCAATGTAGAGGATTAACATTTGGGTGCATGCTGGAGGGAAAAAACAATGCAATACTGGATTAGGCTCTATTAATCCATTGAAAATATAAAAAGATTGTGCAAAGTGCAAATTCTTTCTCCTGCACTCCTCTGTCATGATCAGGTAACTTTTGTACTCCAATTTTGGCTCTAAGATTGCAACCAAGGAACAATTCTACTTGCACACTTAAAGTCACCCCTAATTACATAGAATTACATTCTATATATGCCTCTCAAAGAAATAATTATCAATTCTACATGACTGTATGCTACATTGAAAACCACTAACAGCTCCCCTTATCATTCAGGTTCCTTCACTTCAAGGAAGAGCTTGAAAGGATGAATTGAGGCTGGCAATAGAAGATAAGATAAAAGGAATGGACTGGGAATAACAAACAAAAAACAGGAATAGATATTTGATTCTGAGGAAAAATTTGTTGTGGAATGAGTTCAGCAGAAATTTGGGCGGCAACTCTACCCCATCATGGGATGGGGTAGATTTCTAGCCCTCACACCAACCTTCCAGGACACTCTCCCGGTTTCATTTGGGAGCATTCCACAAATTTCCTTGTCTCTTAATTCCAAATAGACTATAAGGATAACACGAACAACAAATACAGGGCTGACAATCATACTAACTTGTCTAATAAAATAGGGGGAAGTTGGAACTGAAAGGGGATGTAGTGTCTTCATTAGCATCAAATCTACTTATCCAAGAAATTACCCCTTGACTAACATCAACATTAACTTCCCAAACTTTTCATCCACAATTTAATCACATAAAGTTGCTGACTGACTCACATTGAGCCACCACCTTACACATTATTTACTTAAAGGAAAACATTGTTTCCTTGAAGTTGATGTTTTAATAATAATGAACATCAACAGCTCAGCAATAAATAAAAATACCTTACCCACACAGTTTTAAATCTTACTCCTCTAACTACTACAAGGTGTTAAAAAATGGATGGACATAGACACTTACCACTTATACCTAGCTTAAATTATGTTAGCTTATAGCTATTCCACAGTTAAATAAGTCTGCATATTGTATGAAAGAATAGATTTTACACTTTAGAGTCAGTGAGAAGAGTTCCCATTCCCACTTCAATGTGACTATGCATTTATCAATACATATTTAAGAAACTTCAAGTGCACAGGTGCTAAACAAAATGTAAATAATTACATGAATGCTTAGACAGAATGCCTTCTTTGTAACAAATGCATTTCGTACATATGCATTCTGTACTAGTATCATACAACGTCTAGTGAATATGTTGTACATGTATCTGGTCACAAAGGAAAACAATAGAGAGCACATTATTTCTCCCATCAGCTTATTTTATCCCTTTCACTCCCAAGAGCAACAAAAAATGCATTTTTCTTATTACAGCAGAAAGGTGATAGAGATCGAAGCCTGAAAATATCAGCTATAGGATATTGTTAGATTGATGACCAAAATACCCTATGCTAAAACTTTAAGAAATTTATGACACATACAGAGGCAGAATTGATATTCTGTTCAACTTTGTGAGTTAAAGGATTAAGGGATTGGCTATATGTTTGGGTTGCACATAGATCCATAGATTCCACATAGATTCCCCAACAACTGATTAGGTGGATCTTTAAAAAAGTTTTTTACTTCCTCAGTTATTGTAACTTAAAAAATTAATAAAACATGGCTAACACTATTGATTCTGCCAGAATCTTACAATTCAGAGAAGCTTCTTAAACAATCCATTTTTTAAAACAAAGATCAACTGTGGCTTCCTCACTTTTGCTGTAACTCATATCACTCCCTTTCGCACTGTACTGTACCTGATATTCTAAAATGATGAAACCAGACTTGAGTGGCAGAAAACCCATAACAGCTTTAGATCCTTACTCTACATTCATTGGACCAATGTAAATTATGCTCATTATTAACACAAATGGAACAAAATATTTTAGCACAATGGAGTAACACAAAAGGGGTTATACTGTAAACAACATTGGACCAATGTAAAATTATGCTCATTATTAACACAAATGGAACAAAAAAATTTTAGCACAATGGAGTAATACAAAAGGGGTTATACTGTAAACAACTAACTGAGCACAACTACAGCTATGCCTGACGCTGATACTGGAACAAGCTTGTTCCACGACGCTTCATGATCACATGTGCAACAACCAAGCCTCCAAATATTCCAACTACGAGCATGAGGATAGAAATTCCAGCTGCTGCACCACTTGACACACCCTTTGTTTTGACTTCACTTTTATCCCCTGGAACTGGTTTGCCTGTGGGTTTCTCTGTTGGTCTGGGTGGAGCAGGAGGAGGCGTTGCTGGCACCAGGCCTTCTCTGAATGAAGACTTCTCAGCAGGTATGGCTTCTGTCAAGACATAACAGTCAACAGTAACTGGTAAGTGTTAAAGCTGCTAAAAAAATTAACTTTTACCAATAAATGTATCTTCTAGGGATTGTTGGATGTATATTGGTTAGTTTGAATTCCTGGACTTTGGAACTACACACTACTTTGAAAAGTGTAGCTCCCATGCAAGTGGTGAAATTGGGCTGCTGATAACCAGTCAAAAACAATAAATTTCTTGTAGTTCTCATTAATCAAAACTCACCTTCATAGTATGTCAACTAAGGCTTCAAATATTTTTCTCCACTCTGTCATATGAATTTACTACATGTATTTGCTGTGAAAAATATAACATGAAAAAAAGCTATTCTTACTGGTTTGGAAGTTAACTTTGAATGCTCCACTCTGAACTGTTTTCTTTAAGGCACCCACTGCATCCTTGAGACCATTTTCAGGATATATTGTAACCTCTGCATCAACAACAGGCTTTGTTTTGTTCAGCAAAATGAAAGCAACAGTCATTTGACCCTCGTTGTCCATTAACTGAAAATTGACAGCATATTAAACAATTATTGGATGAGGTTTTTGTGATATCCAGAATAATCAAGGTTGAGATAGGGGTTATCAGCCGAACACCACGTGTCATGGGTAGTCATGTCATGTATGACTGTGGTGCATGATTTCTAGGGGTATCATGTCAAGTTGGTGCACTTTGTGTTGCCTGTTGATATGTATATTTTTACATGTTTAGAAATAAATTACCAGTTCAACTTACTGTTGCAACCTTTTCTTTTTTTGTTCAATGTGTAACAAAACAATCATCAGATTCTGTTTTTTTTATATATATCTAGAATAATCAATGTCTTGGTAAGGGTAATCAGACTAAGCTGAAGGTTGAGGCAGATTAACCCTACCTTGACCTTGATTATTCTGGATATCACAAAAACCGCATCCAATAATTGTTTATTAAAATGTCAAATTCTAAATAAATTATTTCTCATCGTCAATATGACTCTAACTTATACCAGTTTTGGTGGCACCAGCTCTCAACATGATAAAGGTTGCTGATTTTTGCAAATTCATTTTAGACTACATTAATCCAAAATCCAGTGTAACTAACATCCATATATACCATACAGGTGAATAAAGCCTTTTGGGCATGCTGATCGGCTAGTTAAAAAGAATTTAGCTGAAAGTACTTTTCACCTCCAAGCAGCCTAAGAGAAGAAATTGATTTTGGTTCCTGTGAAGCATGCATTTACTAAAAACAATTACATTCATCGCAGTGTTGAACTGTTGAACTGAACTGAAAGTGCTGGATACTTGTATCTTGTGGCTTTGTGGCTTGGAAGATAGCCACCACTGTTCACCTCCACTTCAGTGAATAAACAATTAATATTAGCACTGTCATCAATGCTCTTATCGTCCATATACACTTTTAAGTAAAAATTAAAATCATTTACCCTCATTCCATTTACTCTGATAATTGTCACATTTGCTGCTTCACTGATAGTCTTGCTGAGAGATAACTTGAACTCCCTTGAGGTAGCATATTTTGCATAATTACCTAAAAGAGTCAGAGAGTTGATATTTAATTGATCAACAGTAAATTACAAAACTACTATCCCACAATGTCTTTAACATATATTATTTCGCTGCCCCAGACTAAACTTAGGAAGTAAATTTTTTTCCTCCGTTTTCAAGTTGTAGGTACCATGCATTTCAGAGATGTGCATATTTTCTAACATACTTTGCCTTCCATTTGGACCTTCCAAAAGTGTCCTCTTGATTAGTAAGGAATGTGAAAATGCATTGTCCAACAGTTGCTTACATTTAAACTATGCGTCGCACCCACAATGCATTTTTTCATGAATGCTGTATAGTAATACAGAGTTTATTACATAGATGAAGGGGAAAACATTGAAAAGTGACATCAAAACCAAATTTTCTTGGCATGATGGGTTACCAGAATTTCTCTGTGGTAAGGTGCTAATTACTTTGAGTACTTTGAGCTCTACAAGCTCAGCCATACAAGACAGGAAGTGGTCCACCTTAAGTGATGTTTTCTGCCTGCCTATTCTCCAACGAGCATCTCCTCATAACAAAACTAAATGAAACCCCTAATAATTGATAATAAAAACACTACCGTTATATTCAGTTATAATAATGATAGAAATAATAACAATAATGCCGATGATAATGCTGATTGGGCTTGCCAAAACTATTAACAGGCGTAAAAACAGTATTAAGAATCAGTGGGATGTCCACAAGAAAAAGACAATTATTGCTATTTCTCTGACCTTCAAGGTTAAACTGAACATAACGTTGCTCATCCCATTTGAAGCAAGGTTTAATGTCAAAGGCTGTTGTCTCTGCAGCCTTAGCATCAAAATTGAACATGTTAAACATCAAGTGATGTCCATCTGATGTGTACATGTCGAGGCGCACAGGGACCTGGGTTTGGTTGGTCTGTGAACCTGCCATGAATATCCACTTTGGTTTTGAGAAGGAATACTCAAAGATAGCCTATAAATGAACACAAAAGCACAAAGTGGAAAAAATCATTGTAATTAAAATAAGGAAGAAGTACTTCTTCAGCTTAACACCTGCACACAACATAATTTAATTTCTTTTGACTAATAATTTCTGGCTACTTCAAACAGAAAATGTAATTATTTTTCCCTAAACAGTCGAATAACTAAATGCAGACCACCCTTGATTTAAATCTTAAAGAGACCAAAGAGGGTTGTGACTATTTATAACAGTAAGAAACAATTACTGTTGATAATACAAAGGAATTGAGTCATGGAAGATATCTAGATTAAAAGTCTGCACTGTAAGAGCGAGTCTGTCTGATTTTTTTTTTCTCCCTGAGTGGAGTCCAATTCAGTCTCTAATCATACAAGTGATTAACAAGATCAGATGACTGTGAAGCACAAGTCTGATTTGTTAATTACAAGTATGATTACCAACAGAATTGGACAACACAAAGTCCTGTTACAAATTAATCACAACTATGACAAATTTTGAGAAAGAAACTAGACAATGGTTATAATAAGTTTTAGTAGATGTACAGAGAACAGTATGCAGAATATGAATACTGATGTTAGGGTGTAAAGGGCTAAAAGAACTTACTAGCGGGTGAAGGACTATCAAAATTGAAATTGGAAATTGGTTAGACTAAATAAGAAAGTATGAACTCCCTCCATCGTAGAATACAGTTTTGTACATATAAAACAATATTGTATTAAAAGTTTTATTGAAATAAATCAACTAGCAAGTTTTTGCTGTCATTAATTAGAATTGTATGCAGCTATGGTTTTGTTACAGATGGTACTGCATAACTTTCAATTGAAACAACAATGGAAGTTTTAATAATAACATGACTTTTGATTTTATGCTAAAATTGACAAAAAAAATAAATTCACTGCAAAAATTGTGTTGTATAATGATCACCTCAGTCGACTCATTTGAAGTCCTGTTTTTGATCATGCCCTTTCCAACCCAGATGTCTACATCAATTCCACGCACAGTAGAAGAACCCTTGTAAATAAGGGGAGATGACCCATTTCTTTGAGGTGTGTTAAATAACTGATGAGTTGTCTTCATGCGAATGTGGTGGTGTCCGTCACGATACACATCCCAACTTCGTGTCAAAGAAGACAGAGCAGATATGTTGCACACTGGCCCAGTCTTGCCAGTTGATATATTGTAAGAAATTCCTGTGTTGAAATCATGGATTGTTACAACTTGACCATGGCTACTAAACCAGTTTGGGTACTTCACCAAGAACAGTTTTTTCTCAAGGTCATAAATTTCCTGTTAAATAAAAGAAAATGTCTATTATACTTGTGTCAGAAGTGTTAAATATGAAGTTTTGCTCTACCTTCATAACTTCCATAAAATTGTGTGAATCCAATTCCTTGATTTTTAGACTGAGTACATCCCACCATACCATCTTGCAGATTAAGACCGGTGCTTTTATAAATTAAAATATTTCCACAATCCGGAAATAGAGACCTGTTAGCACAATTTGAAGAGCAAATAATTCTAGAAACTTGATTCTCATCAGCAAGAGTACAAAAAAGACATAATTTGTGGTAATCAACAAAACCACAGAACAAACATTGAACAAAAAAATTAATACAAAATGAATTAAATAAATGATTGAATTAATATAATGTTACATATTAATTATTGGTCGTAAACATTTTCAATTAATAATAGAGTAGATGAGTTAATACACATTAATGTCCATACCTGCAAATTTGAATCAACAAAAAAAGTTCTGTTTCTCCGGGTGCCTCTCAAAACCATTTCTAAGTTCACACTAAACGCTGAAGGAACTTTAGGGACAGTCTTGTTTAAACCTTTAAGTCCTGCACAGAAATATCCACTGGGAAGCTGAAATTCAGATGGGTTTGGGGAACCAGGTCGGAAATTGAAAAAGTCATAAACATGATAAAAATCATGTGGGGCACCACCCCTGACAGATGTACCATTAATGACAGCCCGCACCACTGTTGCATTGGGCCAACTTGTTTTCCAACCTGGCACTGAAAAATAATAGTCCAAGTAATATGAACTATTACCATGCACAACACAAGCCCTCCAATGATTGCATCTGAAAAGACAAGTTAGATAAAGCAAAATTCAAGAAAGCAGCAATACAAGCCGTAAGTAATTCATTTGAAAAATTTATTACCTTCCCACTAACTACATGTAGGTATATTATTGAAAAGAAACACCAGAAGGCAGTGAGCCAAATCTAATGGCTACCTCATGTAACCATAACCCCCTGAGAAAGCTAACCTTGACACAAACAATCTCCAAAACAAAAATAACCTTAATCCTAACCCTACTCAAAGAAATACAGTCTCAAATCTTTACACCCTAATATGCATATTCTCCATACTGTTCTTTACACATTTCTTAAGGTGCTAACAAGGAGAGTTTGTTTAACAATCAAGAGCTTCTTTAGTTGGTGATCATTTCCTTTATTCTCATGACCTTAATGTATGATTCAGAAGTGATATTGTAAGGAGAAATTAGATGCCAGTCACTCTTGGAGGTCAAAGGGTTAAATCATTTAATCAGAAAATAATTTAACTTGATTTATAGAAACATAGGTAGCTACCCACGCAAGAGTTAATTGTTTTGGGTGAGTAGGTTGAAATTGGACACCAAGTACAGCTCTTTAACTGATGTTTGCATTTTTGTAAAAGAAACAGAGCATTTACTTTTAAAAGATTCCCAGACAAATGAAATTATTGTTCAATGGACTGCGAAAAGAATAAACCTTCTAATTTATCTGAAATAACCTCAGACACATGTATTTTAATTGTCTATTGCTACTGGTGTCTAAATAAAAAAATTAAAGTGCATCAGTACCATGCATCCTGTAGTCTCCTTAACAGCTGTTGTTTGGTCTTGTCATGCAACACTCTATTGCCCTGTTGCGTAACAAGACCAAACAACAACCTTGCAGGCTAAGACTATGCATAGTGCCGTTCCTTCATAAAGACAAATCAAAATTATTCAGTCACAGCTAGTTGCCTAAAAAACATTTTCAATATAATTTTGTAGTGGAAAGCAAACCAAAACTTTATTTTATCTGCAATAGCCTCTAACCAGGACTCAATGGAGATTACCACTACCACTTCTCATAGGTGAATATTATAGTAATTAATTTAATAACCCATTGACACCTGAACCGCCCGTAACCGCCTGTGCCGCGTGGGGGACTTGCGCGAGAGACGCTTTCCACCCCTATCTCCCCTACTAAGCAGAATTTTGTCTCCAAACTTCCTCTGTTGTTAGAGGATCTATGTACCAATCAGAATCCGTGTTTTGCGCAGTTATTTCGATTACTTTAGGGGGTAGTACAGAGGCGACATTTTATGCGTTCACAAGAAATGATCAAATATGAAAAGATGGCGTACGCGCGGCCGACTCTCAATATTTTCAAGTCGGATTTTCTGTTTCTTTCCGACCATTTTAGACCTCCTGGAACACAAAATGAAAAGAAAAAATACTATAGAGTAATCTGCTTGAAAAATAATGGACATCAAGGTCTTAAAAGCGACAGAATAAGCTTTCGAGTCGACAATACTCCAAAGTGATGCGAATTAGGGCCGTAAAGTGAACACCAAACTATCGGACTTCAAGCGAGGCCTAGGGACATTATGCAGATTCCAAGGCACGGTAAATATCATGTTTGAGTAATGAGACGTCCAAAAGTATTTGATAGAAGATTTTGTGTTAAAACGTAGAACTTTTAGTATTTTCAACATAACGCTGCGCAATATTCTTGCCGTGAAGTCAAGTAGACATCGATCTATGCATGATGAATTCTACTTCGTGGGTTTCGCACACGTAAGAAATTCGTACGTTTTTCGGTTCTAACAGAAAATCAAGAACTGTTTTGAATAAAGCTTTCTTCCCGAAACGTTCCTTGGTCAGTTTCGTCTTTCTTCTCATTTATAAATTTGCATATTCACTTTGAAATCCGATCTGCATACTTGTTTGCACACGTGCGCAAAAATTTACTGATTTTTATCTTTTATCTTGATTTTAGAGTAAAAACTCAATATGCATCTATCGCTTTTTTCGTGGAAAGCAAGTTATTTAAATGGTGTTCTTTCACTTGAACTTGTTTTTGGGAAAAGATGACTTATAAAACTTGACTGCGCATTGTGTTTACTTTCCGGTTTCTCCAAAATGTTAACTTTTGGATAGACACGTGTTACACGTAGGTGTCAATGTGTAGGGAGGGAAAATTTTAGGACTTTGACAACCAACCGCTTATTACAGGGTGACTGCTTGATATGCTGCCACTTAATACAGGTTCAATTTTAACTAGTTGAACTTTCAAAATTAATGTGATGAAAAATTAAATGCAACATATATTCTGCTCACTGACTGAAATGTTGTGACCACTGCATAACATTTACTGAAGTGAAGCATGAAATAACTCGTGTCTCGGAGAAGAAGCAAACTACTGTGGCACTGTAACTAAAATCAAAATGCTTCAACAAGTACACTGTATCAGTATGATGGTAACTTCAGGTATCACAGATATAATTGCATGCAAAAATTTATCAAACACACAAAAAAAATTATGTGAGCCCTTCTACTTTTTTCTCCTGTAAATAACTTGAAATTTATGCAAAAACCAAATCTTATCTATTTCTGAAAGCTGCCATTTAGAAAGATGGCAACTTGCTCATGACCAAAATATAGTAAACATCGCAACATAACATTTAACCTTTTCACTCTTGTGTGTGACTTAAAAATAATATCTGCTCACCATGTCAATGTATTTCAGGCAGAAATGTGGCGAGAGAATAGAAAATAATCAAAAAGGAGATACTGTTTGATTTAACTTTGTACTCTTGTTTGAGCAAACAATACAATATCCCATCCACACCAGCAAAACATGCTTAGTTAATTGGGTTAAACTGAATGAAAATCAGAAGCAGAGACCTGAAAAATTTTAATTTCAATGGGATTCAAACATGAGTCACTAAGACCCCATTTATATGATCTTGGGTACCCAAGACAAACTTCCCCCTGAGACAACTTTACAGAGTATTTATATGAAATTTGACACATACACCTGCTGACTCTTGTTTGGCCAAGTTACATAATCAACAAAATGGTGAACCACAGGTAAAAAAATAGCTGTAAACATCCCAGTCTTACCATGTGCATGCATTTTCTGTTCGAGTTGTCTTGCACCTTGGCCCAACACCCCCCCCCTCCCCCTCCTGAGTTGTCTTGCCTAACCAAGAGGAGTTTACAACCTCATGTAAATGTTTGGCTGAATTTTGTAAAGAAGTAAGTAATAAGTTAACTCACCCAGGGTAACTCAGGGGGAGGGTTGTCTTGGTTACCCCCTTTACATGGGGCCTGACTTGTATTTCAATGTGCATAAATTTAAAGTCAGCAATGGTTTAAGCAGCTTCTCTGCAGACAACAGGTTTAAACAATGTTTAACAAAACAGGTTCTAAACAAGTTAAAACATCACTGTGAATGGGGTATAAAATTGTCTGACAGTACAGATAATTAATACTCATATCTTCAGGGCGAAAGGGGTGAAAACACACCAAAAAAAGCAGATGTCACTTATTTTTATAAATGAATCATTAATTATTTCTGCTTGGGTGAAGAAAAATCATCTAGTTGCAATTATAGCATAACCTTGATAATGCTGAATCATTTTCGGTTGGTAATGAAAACACTAGTGAATGGGTTGCTTTCTAAATGTCACTGATGCATGAATTTCACGTGACTTTCTTGAGTACTGGATCAACGACATACTAATGTAAAACACTTGCACAGCTAAAACACATGGCTCACATATCAGTGAACACAAATCCTGTCTCGACTAAAGAAAAATAATAGAATGAAAAAGAAAATCCAAAAATGCTTAAGTAACTTTGGAAGCTAGCCACTTTCGTATCGAATCGCTCTAAAACATGTACAGAATCCTCTTCCACGCATGGCTGCTTTTACTGTGTCTCATCCTTAAGTACGCTGCAAATAAAGTCTAATATTACGAGCACCTGTCCATCCATAATCTCCTTCTTAACTGAAGTTAACTTCAAAAAAACTAACGTATTGAAACTGACACACATAGCATGAGACGTGATTCGAAAGCGAAAATACCTTTCAATTTCATTTTAAGCTCTATGTTGCAAGGCTATAGGAGACCGTTTACTTCAACAAAATATTTCTATGCACTTACCTGATTCCTCGAATGGACACAACACCCATATAGGTTTCGTTAAACCTTTTTGCAAAATGAAACAATTGTGAGACGCTTTCGATGTGCGAGTTGTTGTTTCCGAAGAAATTAAAATGACGTGGTCCTACGTATATAGAAGAGACGAAACAGTTTTGCGCACTCATATCCAAATCGATTCTCTCGTCTAAACTGTAGTCGTAGATAGAGCGGGTTGTCTTTCCATCTTTTGTTCGCTGCAAGCTACCCTTGTTCGCGGCTAGGTCATAGAATTCCTTGTAAATGGCAGTGTAGTTCTTGTTGACGATGGTTACCTCTACAGAGGTCGAGAAGGCCGTTGGAAAGGTAGGCAGTTCTGGGCTAGATACGTTCCGTTCACTTGCCTGCTGGCAAATGGGAACATAGTTCCCAAAAGAAGCTTGCAAGCCTGCTAGAAAGCAAAAAATGAACCAGCTCAACATTTCGAAAGTCTACGAATGCTGTAAAATGCACGAGGGCCTTGATCAAAGCGCGATACGCGAAACAAGTCTGAAGGCTGTGCGTGCTCTGATTGGCTGATCAGAATCAATGGAAACCTCTTTCAGCTGCTATCGATTCACTCAACGGACGGTCTTCTAAATTCGCACCTGTAACTAAACGTGACGGTATGAGTTATTTTTCTCTTTATTAGGTGGCATTGACAATTAGTGAAATATTAATCTAAAGAAATGTTGATTAAAGTTAATTTTCTTATTTAATTTTCCTAGAGAAAGGAAAGTTAGTGCAGACTACCTTTTCAGCTGAGACATTTGAAAACAGAGGCGAAATCTGCGAAACGCCGTTGTCTATTTAAAAGTATTAGTATACATGCGATATTACTATGGTTTATAGTCTGAGGATTAAAAAGAAAAATGTTTATTTCTTATTCGCTGTTCTTACAAAGCGGGGTTTTCCTCACTGTTTTTTTTTTAATCTAATTAAATACTAGCTTTCTGCTCTCTCTCCAGCTGAAACGAATTCCTTTTTCAAAATCTACCGGCGATCTATCACGAATACTGCCAAACTGATAAATTGTTTAACATAGTTTCAGTTATATTTAAAATGGAGTGAAAACATGTCTTCAGTTGAACGATCAATTAGATCTCTCGTTCTCCAACTCTGTGTGATGGTTGATTCGAGCTTCTTCCTTGACCACCAAAATTAGTTTGGAAACCTTTCTACTGTTTGCAATTTTTCATGTACATTACGCTAATGTAGTTAGACAGATGTCCTCCTCCCCCTCTCCCCCCCCCCCCCCCCCCCCCCCCCCGCCACTCCTCACTCCCACGGGGTAATGACGCAACTTAAAGTATTCCTTTAGCTTTATTCACTTGGCGTGATCATTGCGCTTGCGGTGCGTTTTTCTGCTCTTTACTGCTCGAATGAAGGTGATTGATCTTGCTCTTTAGTCGGGAACTAATAGCTCTAAGAAGAAGACGTGTTCTTACTTTCTCTTGGTAAGTAGCCAGCGCCTTTTTAACTTCTTCTCACGCGCTCACTGAACTTATGGCAGAGTCGTGATTATGCTTGTTCGTGATTGTTTGTTTGTTCGATTTTGAAATTACTTCACACTGTAGTTTGGAAGTGCTTTTTCGCAAGACTAAGTCTGTAACTTATTGACCAAGGTATTGTAAATGTAGTTAACTACCGGTCTTACCACTCCTTAGCCCTGTTTGGACGTAGGAAATAGAATTTGTGTTTGAATACGTAAATCAGAATCTTAGGGATTTTTTTTTAATTGTTTTTATCTTTTCGTGTGTTTTTTCAGTTAAAGCGACGTATCTGTTACTTGTCGAATTTTTCTCGGTAGCGTCACAACTAGCACGAAATACGCGGAGACTGCGACTGCAATGAATTCAATGCTTACGGATGCCCTTTCTTTGTTTTAATATATTACCAGAATCGAATAAATAATTTTTTTTTCAGTTTTGAGTGCAGTAAGCGCATATCATGTATTTAATACATTGTGTTAGACGTTCGTATTTTAGTTGTCTTCATGCGTTTATGTAAGTGTTCGAGATCTTCCAAACTTATGCAAAAATGATCTTGAACTGGGAAATATTGATTTCATTTCTGACCGTCACAGTTTTTGCTCCTAAAAAACGGTACCTTGTTTGGGATCAGACAGTTTATCGTGATGGGTTAATACCAGTGTGAAATGAAACTGAAATATACTTCACAATGAATAAGCCATCAGTTGGCCCCTTCATGAGGTTTGATGGCACCTTGATCAGCAATTCTAATGATAAATTGTTCTATTGAAACAGATCTGACTGCTGGCTAACATTGTAAGGGAAGGTGGCTACTCATATAACCTCAAGTTATGGCAGCAAAAGGTAAATGCATTGCCACTGTAACTGAAATTTATTCGTAGAAATGTAAGTCATCAAATTTTAGAGATTAGATTGCCTTGTCTTGTGCATGTTGCATGCCAAATCAAAAGGCTGTGTTATAGAGTGTAATGAATTTCAACTGTATTCTCTAACTTGATTGTAATGCAGAATGGTATTATCATAATGTAATCATTGGGGGGGGGGGAGGAGACAGGGGGGTCACAGCCTACCACCTCCTGTAGCACTTTCTCCAACCTCCAGTACTTTTGTGCCCCTTTGCTTCCCAACTCCTGCCCTTTATTGTATTACTCCCATCTTCCAGTGAGTAATCTAATGGCTAATGTAGTTTCAAATGTGTATTTACTTGCATTTAGGAATCCCTCATATACTGAGATCATGCCAGTTAGAAATGAAACCGAACAGTCACACATAAACTTAAGAGTTTAGTACTCCTTTCTAATTCCCTGCTTCTAGCTTCGGTAATTGCATATCCATTTCAGGAAATTATGTTGTTCACAAATCTTGTTGTCATTGTGAAAGTGGCTTTATTATGGTTGGTAATAATTTTTCATATCTGACAAACTCAGTAGCTTCCCCCCTCATTGAAATACTTGTATGTATGGATGAGAAGTTGACATCTTCTTCAAAGTCTGGGGCCAAGGGTCAGATCTTTAAGGTGTACAGACAACCAGAAAGTATCGAACAACAAAGGTCCTCTAACTAGGGTGGTTTGGAAAACTTTTATTTAAGGCTTCTCGGAAATGCCATTTCCTGTGTTTTCACAGATATTTTCAATAAATAAATACAAAGGAAATGTTTGAAAAATGCAGTGTTATTAGGTAGTTACAGTGTTTTTAAGTTACACCTCAGCTAGCTGCTGAAAGTTGTATATACATTTGTACACTGGTATCATGCAGCTATGTGACTGTCTGATTTTAGAAAAGGCTTTGCAGAAAAGAAGTCTTTCATGGACTGATTTTTTTCATTGCCAGACCAAAAAATACTGAGGCTGATCAATATAGCCTCTGATGACATGTGACCTAACTCACTTTGTTTGCTGGAGAATTTTAACTGTTACAGAGTTCCCCCCCCCCCTTCTTGCCCTCCCTCTATTTCATTGTTTCTTCATCCTAAATTCTGTTTCTTTTACAAATTTCCATTTTGTTCATTATTTAAATTTTCATTACAACAAATAGTACTGTATTATACTGTCTTCCATAATTGCACACAACTGATAAACAATTCCACTTGCGAAAATCAAACCTCGCAAATTAAAGGCAATCACAGTTTCAATGACACATCTATTGAGATTTTAATTTTTTTTATTTTAAAGTATTAACATATTTTCCTAAAATTTTCATCCCAGATTCTCAACCAGACACAGAGAATAAACCAACTGATGATCTACCACCTCCTTATCAGGCAGATCCCCCCTCTCCTTACCCTCAACAGCCAGGTTACTCAGTACCTCCTCCTGTTTACCAATTGCAACCAGGCTACCAAGCACCACCTGGTTACCAAGCACCACCCAATTACCAAGCTCCATCTAGTTTTCAAGGTGGTCAAGTGTACCATGGTGCTCCAGCTGGTGGTTTCATGGTCACTACAGTACGTTTTCTGCATCTCAATTGAAAAGATTTTGTCCTATTTTAACCTTTTTGCTGCTGACTGGTTTTTCATCCCAGTGTGGATCAGACTTAAGGGATAATCTCTATTGCTTTCCTCATCAAATTCAGTGCCAGAATTATCTTCCTCATCACCAGAATTTTTTGGTATCTCTGTCACCAAATGAACAAGTCTTTATCAGGCTTCCATAAGTATATTTATATGCAGCTTGATTGTTTTTTCTGTGTACAGTAGTGTTCATACAAGTACCACAACTTAGCACATACTGAGTACATTCTCATATCTTATGTATAATCTGATACAGGACATACTCAGTACTTCCTCAAAGCAGTAAAAGGGTTAAAGCACACAGTCAGTTACATACTGGTTAGCTTTGATCCTTGTTCAAGCCCCTAGCCTGGTCATAGAGTTCAAAAGACAAAGATGCTTCAGAAACTGTATGATTTAATCTCCTACATTAAAATTAGATGTGAGAATTTAAAGCATTATAATCCTTTTTGAAATTCCAATTAAGGACCCAACTGTGCAAAAATGGTCTTCAAATTGGCAAAATATCCACCAATTATAAATGCCACCCTTTTGAAAAAAAACTCTCCTAGTTGTGGCAGATAATTGTGTAACATTGATGTTTTGACATCTTTTAGCAACCTGGTCCACCTTATGTAGTGCAAGCAAATGTTCAAGCCTCTCCTCCTGATTACCAAGGGCTGGCTTGGTTTGCCTGCCTCTGTTGTTGCTGGCCTGTGGGTATCTTGGCTATACTGAAATCTAATGAGGCAAGTGTGTATTTTTGACTTGGCTTAATAAACCTACAGCTCTATGGTCAAATGTTTTTCTTGAATGCACTTACGCATATGGATTCAAACATTTTTTTAGCATCACGGAGAACTATGATCTCAACAGTTTTCTGGAAATTGTGTCTTTAATGCCAAGTGTGAGGGCAGCATCTTTAAATCAGAATCAAGAGTGACCTGAAAACCTCATGGACTGCCTCATGGGCCAACTAACATACTTCCCCAGACAGTTTCAAAAAAGACCAATAACTGAGTTTTATTTGACTTTTTTTTCCCTCCCCTTTCCCATTTGTTCTGAGGTGGGGTGGGGTGGGGGGATAGGGGAGTTATCTGGGAGCAGTGTGTTAGGTAGTATTTGGAGGGGAATATATTGACCTAGTATCAGTATTTTCAGGTCATCCCAGAAATCGCTTACCTTGAGATTTTTTATGACAAATTGTTCTTTTTCTAGGTGCGTAATTCCATGGCACGTGGAGACTACAACTCTGCAAGAGTAGCATCTAACTCAGCCCGTACTTTTTCCTATTTGGCCATTGGTCTTGGAGCTAGTTTTTTTATTATGTACATCATTGCCTTAATTATGGTTTTCACACTTTTGAGGGTTCAGTAATAACCCAGGAGTGAAATGAAATTTCAATACTTGAGAATAACTCATGGCACAATTTAGACAGCCCAACCATGAGCATCAAGATATCAACAGCATTAGTAGGTTTAATATTCCCAGAGCCTCTGAGTGATTTTATTCATTTGATGCTGAATTTTGAAGTATCAAATTTGGGTTGTTTTGTTGGGGCTGCATGTATGCGGTTGCTATTACTTTGAGCTTAATTGCTCACAATGTTTGTATAAAATGGATGGTGTTTGATGCTTACATTACTGCAAACATCATTGTGAATGATTTGCCTGGTTGAAAAATTTCAGCAGTCTGTGTTGTATAATTATATTCATTTTGTGGAATGTTTATGCACCCACCATGGAGGAATATTTCATGGCCTCCAACTAAAATTTCTGGTGACCCTCAATCCTTAGCAGTTCCAGTGCTCCAAGCCGCAACTAAATTCTATTTTGGTCTCTGGGTGAAATGAAGATTATTCTATTGATATGTGCTTTCTATTTGTGACTTAATATATTTTCTGTGACTTAATATATTTTCCATAACTTAAAGCAGTTGTCATGTGAAAGAAGGAAACTCTTCATATGACTAGTTGGAGGTGAAATTAATTCAGACAATTTTTGTATTTTTTTTACAATTTGCATCAAGGGCTTTTTTTATAACTTGTTTAAAACTGACAATTTGTCATTTCTCTTGGGATAGCAATTACTTAGCTATGAAAATGTAAATATTGTCTTCACTCTGTGAGTACTATAATAATTTATTGTTTTACCGTAATTCATAAGAGTGAAATGTTTATTGGGAGTTGAGAACAAGCTCAGGGAAATAATTATGTGATGGTGAAATAAGTGTCACATTTGTGTACTTGACAACAGGCTTTAATAAAAAAGGAGTAATGTTTCATTTTTGGAAAGTTGTGGTTACTTTTGTATGCAGCAATTGTTTTGTGGTTCAATAATTGATATGTTGGAAAGTGAAATTACACAGTCTAATGCTAGGAGAATTTGAAGCTACAGTCACAGTTGTTTTTTTTAACATCACAGTCTAATGATCAAATAATTTATTCTTCTGTCTAGCTGTTGTACAATTTTGCGTAAGTCAATCAAGAAAGTAAATTTGGTGCCAGTCATCACTGGAACATGTCCAAGGTGATAATTCTTAGAAGTTTTTTAATGTTTAAAGAGTAACCAGGGTGCAAAATAATTTTCCCCATTTCTGTTTGTATGACACCCTGTTGCCTTTGCTGTGAGTAAGTGTTTGGTACCTCTTTTTTTCGGTTTGTTTGTTCTTCAGAGATGTATTTCGGTTGTGATTAAGCCTAACATTAATTGTGATTAAGATCTAACATTCTTGGCAGTTGCACTATTAACTGGCTTTGATTCCAGTGTGTCCGATAGCTGTGACTTGTTCTCGCGGAAGCGCGCAGGCGCACGTTATACTTATCCGCTCCGCGCGCGTGATAATCTTGTCTGAGCTGCGTGTCATGAAATAGACATGAAATGTAGACCACAAATATAGAAATGGTATTTTAAAAATATGCGGGGAATTACGTTTCGGCGGAAACCACACATGATCACCCTGCTGCGAACGATATCGGAATAAAGAAATGAAATTTCGATTTGCAAGGACCTTAAAGTTTCGAAACCTGAAATTCGATCGACAATCTTCATTATCTTATTTGGCCATCTAAGTGAATCATCATATTTCAGATCGAAGGCGATTTTTCTAAGCGTGATCTCGCACTGCGAATACTGGTTTGTTTACTTCTACCAGGATTGAAGTGTCAAAGCTTTCATCTCCAAAGGTGAGTGCCACGGAGAGTTTTTTTATTACGATTGTTAACATGGGAACTGACAAGTTAGGATCAGACTTCAGCTTCCGATGCGATTGTCACAATGAGCTCCTACTGTTTAAAACCAACATTTACACAAATGTTTTGAGCGCGCGTGAAAAATGTTGTCAGAAACACATTGTATTCTTCAATTCCCAATTGTTCAAGAGCGATGAACGGTCAAGAAATCGTAAACATGATGAAATTAGTCGCCTTTCTGCGTTTGAAATCAGGAAGCTCTACTTTTATCGCGCATTTTCGTTGACAGAACCTGACCTAGACAATGAATTGAAGCAACAATGTATAAACCATATTTCAAGGGCTACATTGTATTTTTTTCCGAAGCCTTTACTTATCTAGGACGCTGCGGAATTTTATTGAAATTTATTTTTCCCTTTAAGTTTTCGTTAAACCTTTCCAACAGATTTGAGCGCTTTAGTTCATCTTCTTTCAATGACTAAAATTTTATTACAGGTGATGCCATCTGGAATAACCATTTACATAAAATTAAAACGCATCCCTATCAACATGTCACTATCAGATCAGTAGCTGCAATTGTTCATAGTTATTATGTCTGTAAATCCATATATGGAAAGTAAACTATGGTAAATAATTGCTCAATACCGAGTAATTTTTTTGTAAAAATACATTCGGCCAAAAATTCGTGATATCCACTGACCTTTCTCAACAAGCGTTCGACCCCTGCAGGCATTTTAAAACGTCTGTCACATTGCAGAACTTCCCTACATTCATAAAACGAAATAACTTTTTGCCTTGACACACTTAGGTCGATATAGTATATATTGAAATCTTCAATAAGCCGTTTCATCGCAATATACAATCCATGTTGATTACATGCAACCGTTAAATTTCGCATCGTTTTATTTTCGCGCCTCAGCAGAGACAGAAGATAGCTCTGTTCTTTTGTTTGTTTTTATTTAATTGCTATTTTGTTAATTGGTTTGAATTAACCTTTTTGTGATGCCTATTGTTGCATGTCTGTTTTGCTCTCGTGTGAGACCTTCAAATATCCATGCCTTTAGAGTGAGATTAAAGTTCTTCGCTTCGGGAGGGTCAGTTTCCTTTTCTGCGTTGGACAGTTCGCTGCAATTAAAATCTGATTAGCTACGGTGTCTCCTTTCCTCGGCTACCTTGACATATAATTGCATCCAAAATATGTGACTTCCTGTGGTTCTTCTGTTATTGTCTCACAGTAATTTTGTCACATTTTCATTTGTAAATGATTTTGGCAAGGGTAAACAAACTCAAATCGAAACCTTTGACCTGTGAGTGTATTAAGTTGGCGATCTTGGTCAAACTTGCTAAATATATGCTTATCACCGTCTTACATTACACATTTCCACGAATGAAAAATTCCTTATAGATTGTATTTAGTCGGAGTGCAAGAGAGGATCAATCTCTCTTTTTCAATGAGATTAGTTAAGCTTTTTCAAAATGCCATGTTAATATTTTGCGCGAGGCACGCGTGTGGAAACTCACAAAGCACGCGCGCGTGCTGAGTTTACTTTTGTGCCATCTTTTCCGGAAGTCAACAGTAAGAGTTAGCCTGATGATGTTGTGCGCCCCGACATAAACTTGTTGTTCCGAAATTTTCTGTGATCTGCCAAAGCAAACCGACGTTAAGTTAAATGGGCTTTTTGCATGGGATCTGGACCCCCTCCCATTGCACATTTGGACTCCCTAGGTCCAAAACAAGCCCTTCTCAAACCATGTGCATCCATTCCTCGCTCAGATTTCACTGAATCATGTTATGCCAACATTCGGGTAAAATACGGCGGCAGGATACTGACAATAATGATTTTACTTCTGTTGTAAATTATGAAATGCACTTTGTTGTCCGCTGGTGTCTTCTACTGACATACTTACGTCTACACGTGTGATCCATTTGTAAAACCACTAGTAAATTAGGGAAAAGGTTTGTATCTATTCTCAAGTATATTTTGCATGTGGACTCTCACAAGATGATCATTTGATTTTACCTAACTATAACCTACACTTGCATAGTACGCGGGAGAGGGGGCGAGGTTCAGAAAGGGACCGGGTGGGTCCAAATCCGCTATGACACGGGCAACAAGGGAGCTAACATTTCAACCACTAAGAGCGACTAGCGTCAAATTTTTCCTCATCGTGTCACCCCTAAATCAAACATTAAGGTCATGAGGGTTTATACTATTTTGCGAAACGAAACGAAACGAAACGAAACGAAACGAAACGAAACGAAATCGGGTCAGATGAAATAAAACAAAAGGAATAATGCAGATATATTTTCAAATAAGGTAAAGATAACTTTCACAAGGATTTTGGAGTAATCGTTCATTAATAAGAAGGATTTTTATTCATTTCGCAAAATAGTAATTTTAGGAGAGTTACTATTTTGCGAAATGGACTATTTTCACTCTGCGGTGACAACGTGACCTCTTTCATGTCACAAAAATACATTTAAACATTACAAATTAGTATATAACCGAACATTTTGGCCTCCTCTTATTTCTTAAACCGTATTAAAATATATTTCGCAAAATAGTAATTTTAGGAGAGTTACTATTTTGCGAAATGGACCATTTTCACCCCTGCGATGACAACGTGACCTCTTTCATGTCACAAAAATACATTTAAACATTACAAATTAGTATATCACCGAACATTTTGGCCTCCTCTTATTTCTTAAACCGTATTAAAATGTATTTCGCAAAATAGTAATTTTAGGAGAGTTACTATTTTGCGAAATGGACAATTTTCACCCTGCGGTAACAACGTGACCTCTTTCATGTCATAAAAATTCATTTAAACATTACAAATTAGTATATCACCGTACATTTTGGCCTCCTGTTATTTCTTAAACCGTATTAAAATGTATTTCGCAAAATAGTAATTTTAGGAGAGTTACTATTTTGCGAAATGGACTATTTTCACCCCTGCGGTGACAACGTGACCTCTTTCATGTCACAAAAATACATTTAAACATTACAGATTAGTATATCACCGTACATTTTGGCCTCCTCTTATTTCTTAAACCGTATTAAAATGTATTTCGCAAAATAGTAATTTTAGGAGAGTTACTATTTTGCGAAATGGACCATTTTCACCCTGCGGTAACAACGTGACCTCTTTCATGTCATAAAAATTCATTTAAACATTACAAATTTGTATATCACCGTACATTCTGGCCTCCTGTTATTTCTTAAACCGTATTAAAATGTATTTCGCAAAATAGTAATTTTAGGAGAGTTACTATTTTGCGAAATGGACAATTTTCACCTTGCGGTAACAACGTGACCTCTTTCATGTCATAAAAATTCATTTAAACAAACAAAAGCACGTGGAACTTGCGCAAATGCGAAACACGATCTCTTGCTCGTAAGGAAGAGGTGTGCGACGGGGGTGTAATCAGAAGCGCGTACGCGTAACTTTTCCATGTATATTATTTTTATTAAAAATTTTGAAGCAAAGGAACTGTATTACTTGCGATTATAAAACTGCTGGACGACTATTTCGGCATGGATATGCTTCTGTTCTCTATACGAGACGGAGAGTCTAAACATGTTTAGACGCCACTGGAAAACTGTCATGTTGGTGCAACATGCCAAGATGTTCGGTGATATACTAATTTGTAATGTTTAAATGTATTTTTGTGACATGAAAGAGGTCACGTTGTCACCGCAGGGGTGAAATAGTCCATTTCGCAAAATAGTAACTCTCCTAAAATTACTATTTTGCGAAATATATTTTAATACGGTTTAAGAAATGAGAGAAGGCCAAAATGTTCGGTGATATACTAATTTGTAATGTTTAGATGTATTTTCGTGACGTGAAAGAGGTCACGTTGTCACCGCAGGGTGAAAATTGTCCATTTCGCAAAATAGTAACTCTCCTAAAATTACTATTTTGCGAAATACATTTTAATACGGTTTAAGAAATAAGAGGAGGCCAAAATCTTCGGTGATATACTTATCTGTAATGTTTAAATGTATTTTTGTGACATGAAAGAGGTCACGTTGTCACCGCAGGGGTGAAAATAGTCCATTTCGCAAAATAGTAACTCTCCTAAAATTACTATTTTGCGAAATACATTTTAATACGGTTTAAGAAATAACAGGAGGCCAAAATGTACGGTGATATACTAATTTGTAATGTTTAAATGAATTTTTATGACATGAAAGAGGTCACGTTGTTACCGCAGGGTGAAAATTGTCCATTTCGCAAAATAGTAACTCTCCTAAAATTACTATTTTGCGAAATACATTTTAATACGGTTTAAGAAATAAGAGGAGGCCAAAATGTTCGGTGATATACTAATTTGTAATGTTTAAATGTATTTTTGTGACATGAAAGAGGTCACGTTGTCATCGCAGGGGTGAAAATGGTCCATTTCGCAAAATAGTAACTCTCCTAAAATTACTATTTTGCGAAATATATTTTAATACGGTTTAAGAAATAAGAGGAGGCCAAAATGTTCGGTTATATACTAATTTGTAATGTTTAAATGTATTTTCGCGACATGAAAGAGGTCACGTTGTCACCGCAGAGTGAAAATAGTCCATTTCGCAAAATAGTAACTCTCCTAAAATTACTATTTTGCGAAATGAATAAAAATCCTTCTTATTAATGAACGATTACTCCAAAATCCTTGTGAAAGTTATCTTTACCTTATTTGAAAATATATCTGCATTATTCCTTTTGTTTTATTTCATCTGACCCGATTTCGTTTCGTTTCGTTTCGTTTCGTTTCGTTTCGTTTCGTTTCGCAAAATAGTATAAGCCGGTCATGAGACTAATGGAAATGATCAACAAGAACAGGAGCTCTTGATTGTTATACAAAATCTCCTTGTCAGCACCTTAGGAAATTTATGGAGAACAGTATGGAGAATATACATACTGATGTTTGGGTGTGAAGGGTTAAATTCACCAACTAATCACTCTTCTGTTACATTTTTTCATAGCACTGACAGAAAAACTAGCCAAAGAATATGGAGGAAAAAGCCTTGTCATTGGAAAACAGTGGCTCAATAACTCCCCATGTGAGTATTTCGTCAATCGATGGAAATGGTCAAAGTGATGTTGACCAAAACGAAACGCAGTGCCAAGAACATGATGAGCCAAATGGAGGAAATTCTCTCGAGGAGGATGAAGAAGAGGCTTTAAATGATAAGAATATAGTGATTTTTAATGGACCTAAGAGCGACGGACTGGTTAACTATGGTTTTTTCGATCTCGAGGACGAAGATGAATTAGCTCCTAGCGAGGGCTCTCACAACTTACAACATGAAGAATTTAATGAAATTGGAACTGGAGAAGGTGGACTAACAGTAACAACAACCACTGCTACAACTTTTTCAAGGCGCGTTGATCGATCAGGGACGAAGATAGAAATTCCCTATAGTCTAAATGAAGAAGACGAAGAGCAAGAAGAACGAGAACAAGAACGAGAAAACAAAATGAAGGAATTGTCATCTGAGAGAAACGAGAAGCAAACGACTAATAATCTTCTTCAAGAAAATTCAGCTGTTGTCGTTAAAAAGAAAACCATTACTTACCACACTGAATCAATAACAGTTAATGGTGTTACTTTGGAGAGCAGAGAATTCATCGAAGATAATGTAAACGTAACAGAGAAAAATAACCCAGAACTACTTTCCATGAAGAGTAATTCTGAAGTAGTGGAGAGCGTCCAAGGAGGAAATGAGAAAGATCCTATCGATGAAGATTCCATGATTATTTTGGAAAATAAACCCACGTTACCGCTTGTGGAAGCTGTTCTTGATGAGGGAGTAATTAACGGGGTCCGACAGTTTACCTTGGAGAGTGCACCCGAAATCATCAAAGAGCTCCCTGGGTCACGTCAATTGTCGCAAGTATCGAATGAAAATGAGAGTAGTGAACTTCGGGAACCATCAGAGGAAGTTTCCCTCGTAGCAAAGGAATCAGAACCACGATCATCCCATTACCACCCTCTGCTGGTAGAGAGAGTCGAAACAGTAGAAGGCGATGCAAAGGTTGATGTGGATATTGTTCAAATAGATAAAGAATCGATTGTTATGGAGTCCCAAAAGGATCAGGAAACCGAGACTGAAGCTGCGGACACGATGAGTGTTATAGAGGAAGAATCTCCTTCTGTTGTAGATAAGCGGCCGCCATCTCTGCATTTGGAGGCTGTGTTTGACCACGAGGAGGAAGAAGGCACTAGAGAGAAAAAGGTGGAGATATCTGCTGAGGAGGTAGAGAAGAAGCCTTCGTCGCTTAGCATGGAAGAAGTAAAGCAAATAATTAATGAAGATTCTCCTGAGGTCATTGAGAGGAGGCCTGTATCTATTCACATGGAACAGATGTTCAGTGAGGAAGACCGCACCGAAGTTCAAGAGCCGATAAAAGAAGCCTCTGAAGTTGCAGTAGAATCAGAGCCACGGTCGATCTATTACCATTCAATGTTAGAAGAGAGTGTTGATAAAGTTGAAGAGGAGGATAACTTTCATGACAGTTTTTTGGAGGTCAAAGGAGAATCAATAGACACGGAGCCTCAAAAAGACTTGGAAACGAAAAATTATTCTGATTCCAGGGAGGTTATAGCGGAAGAATTGCCCTTCGTTGTGGATAAACGGCCTGTATCATTTCACATGGAAGCTGTATTTGAGAATGAGGAAAGCGATAAGGACAGGCAACCAATCGCGGAGGTTTCCCCCGAGGTTGTAGTAAAGAGGCCCGTGTCACTCCAGGTGGAGCACTTGTTTGGTGAAGGTGAAAACACTGAGGTTCGAGAACCGATAAAAGAAGAGTCGACTGTCGCAGTGGAATCGAAGCCGCAAATGTTCGTTTATCACACTATGTTAGAAGAGAAGGTCGAAGAAAAAGATGATGAAAATTCTGTGGAAGCTGGGGATGTACTAGTCGATATCAAATTCGAAAAAGGCGCCGGAAATGAGACTGCGGAAATGACAAAATCTTTAGACACAAAGGACGAAATATCAGAGGAACCACCCCATGTTGTAGAAAAACGACCTGTATCACTTCACATGGAAGCTGCATTTGAGTTCGAGGAAAACGATGAGGTCAGGCAAACAGTGGAGGAGGCTTCTCCCGAGGTTGTAGAAAAGAGGCCCTCGTCACTTCACATGGAGCACTTATTTGATGAATATGAAAGCACTGAGGTCCGAGAACCAATTAAAGAAGCTTCGACTGTCGCAGTGGAATCAGAGCCACGATTTTTGTGTTATCATGCGATGTTAGAAGAGAAGGTTGAAGATCAAGTTGGGAATGAGGATGACGATGATAATTCTGTAGACATCGGGAATGAACTAGTCGCAATTAAGTTCGAAAATGGCAAAGGAAAAGAAACCGCGGAAGTGATAAAATCAATAGATACAGGGAACGAAATATCAGAGGAACCACACATTGTTATAGAAAAACAACCTGTACCTCCCTGCATGGAAGCTGCCTTTAAGCTCGAGGAAAACCATGAAGTGAAGCAAACAATAGAGGAAGCCTCCCCCGAAGTTGTAGAAAAAAGGCCCGTGTCACTTCATATGGAGCACTTGTTTGATGAAGGAGAAAGCACCGATGATCCAGAACCAATTGAAGAAGCTTCGACTTTTGCAGTGGAATCAGAGCCGCGACTGTTCTTTTATCACTCGATGCTCGAAGAGAGGGTTGAAGAAAAAGATGATGACCAGACCGTGAACGACGGTAATGAATTGATTGATATCAAATACGAAAAAGGCGCCGGAAAAGAGACAGCAGAAATGACAAAGTTGAAGACAAAGGACGAGATAACAGAGGAATTACCCCTTGTTGTAGAAAAACGACCAGCATCACTTCACATGGAAGCTGCATTTGTACTCGAGGAAAACGATGAGGTCAGGAAAACTGTAGAGGAGGCTTCTCCCGACGTTGTGGAAAAAAGGCCCGTCTCACTTCACATGGAGCATTTGTTTGACGACGGCGAAGGCAATGAGGCCCCAGAACCAATAGAAGAAGCCTCCTCTGTTGCAGTAGAATCAGAGCCGCGATTGTTCTGTTATCATCCCATGTTAGAAGAGAAGGTTGAGGTTGAGATCAAGAGCAATGAAGACAAGTCTGAAGACATCGGGGATGAACTAGTCACAATCAAGCGAGAAAAAGACCAAAGAGAAGAGACTCAACCAACGACAAAAGCTTATGAAACAGGAGGCGTAATTTTCGAGGAATTACCCCTTGTTGTACAGAAGCAGCCTGCATCCCTTAACTTGGAACCCACTTTTGATCACGGGGAAAACGATAAAGTTAGGCAAACAATAGAAGAGGCTTCTCTCGAGGTTGTGGAAAAGAGGCCTGTGTCACTTCACATGGAGCACTTGTATGGCGAAGGAGAAAGCAACGACATTCAGGAACCAGTAGAAGAAGCATCCACCACTGTAGTAGAGTCGGAGCCTCGGTCGCTCTCGTTCCATCCTATTTTAGAAGAGGCTGAAGAACCGGTAAAGCAAAAAAATGGTGATGTTATTTCACCCGAACTACCAGGGGAACCTAAAAAAGACGAAGAAATGGACATTAAAGATCTGGAATCAATACAAGAAACTCACGTCGTAGCAGTGGAAACTGCACCGCAGTCATTTGATTATCATCCAATGCTAGAGGTGAAGGAGGAAGTACAAGAGGAGGATAAGGCCTTTGATGAAAATTCTCTGAAACTTGCTTGCAGATCTGAAGAAGGCGAAGAAACACACGCCAGACAATCAACAGAAATAGAGGAAGCTATAGCAGAAGAATCTCCCCTCGTTATAGAAAAAAGACCTGTTTTACCTGACATGGAAGCGGTGTTCGACGGTAGGGACGACGAAGGAAAGAAACCAGTGGAAGACGCCCTACAAATTCTGACAAAAGAAAAGGCAACAGAACAAGAAGAACCAGTCACAGAAGCGCAGCTTGTAGTGGTAGAGAGGAAAACTGCTTCAACTCAGCCAAAGGTGCTGCTCGATCATGAAACTCCTGGTGATGAGTTCGTAGACGTGGCAGAGGAAGACAACAAAGCCACGGTGGAGTCCTTGCTCAGTAATATTGAATCGATAATCGAAAAGCCATCTTCAGGACAACCATACAGTAAAGAAGTGGAATTAGCACCAACGAGCGACAAAGAACCCGTCGAGGAAGAGGCAGTCTTCAAGATTGAGAAGAGGGGAGCTTCACTCAACATGGGGTCGCCCCTTGATCCTGAAATCTTTGGAGAACAATTCCAAGAAACGTATCCTGATACACAAGAAAAGCAAGACATTGTCGACGAAGTTGTTACAGTTATAGTTCAAAAGAAACCCGTTTCTCATGCTTTTTATGACGAGCAGGAAGGTGACACCCAAGAAACAGAATGCTTTTCTAAGGACGAGCCTCCGTCGGTTGTTGTGTTAGACATACCTCAAGTAGAGAAAAGGAAGGAAGGCGAGGACTCCGTAAAAGAAATAGCTGCCCCTGTTGTACAGAAGAATGAAGTTGAGTTTTATCCTGATCTTTTAGTGCTAGAGGGAGAGGAAGAACAAAAACAAAAGGAATTTGACGTGGCACACAGCAAGCAAGCAGTAAACAAAAATTGGCAAGACACTAAGCCGACCGAATTCATCACGACCACAACATCGGTTGTAACGTCAATAGAAAGTACTGATGAACAATCTGCAAACGACAGTGAAACCATTGTAACCAAAACGGTTTACGAGAAAAAGACTTTCGAGGCAGCCAGCAGTTCAACTAATTCTCTTCCTGACACGGTCACAACAGAAGAAATGCTCTCATCAACTTCTTATACCAAGCAGTTTCATGAGGGGAACATGGATGGTGAGGTGGAATTAATCCGTTACGTGCTTCGGAAGAGGCTCTCAGCTCCCGAAATATTACCCGAGAAAGAAAGCGAAGGTTCTGCACCTTTGGCTGCATCGGAGGATCGTGGAATTCTTGAGTCTCAGGAGCAGTTTAACGTGATGGAAAGTCCTCGGAAAGTTAAGGAGTCTTCGCTGCCAAACAGAACACAGGGCGGAGACGAATCTGAGATGGAACCTTATACAGATATTCCCTATGAAGAGAAGCTTATTCCGGATTCTCTGGGAGAGGCACAACCTCAAGTTGCCGATTCGATGGAGAAGGAAGAAGGTGCTGATGAAACATTACCTGTGCTAATGCTGTTAACGCCTGAGACGGCAGGAGAAGAAAAGAAAAGTACAAAAGCGAAGAAAGGTGGGCTTTCATCGCCACAATGCAAGTGTTGCTCAGTGATGTAAATTTGACGAACGGTAGATGCAGCTAATAGCAAAAGCCTCTTGTAACTTAAAGAGCTTATCAAAGCCTACGTCAAGGAATGCTAACTGTGTGAAAAATGTGTCTTTAGTTAGATGCATGGCATTGATAAAAGAACACGGTCGTATTAACTACCCTTGGCGAGTAGTGAAAATAATGAATTTATACTTTTATTAGCTAGTTTGGTGCTGTGACGCACAATTGACGCTTTGTCTTCTTTATGTGTTTGGCATAGTTCCGTTCTTGAACCAGAAATGTGCTAAGTGCTTTATACTGTATTCTTTAGACTGTATAGGAGACATGCACAGTTATAAAACAACAAATATTGTTGTTTTAGATTCGTATATCAAGGCGACTGAGTCGAGACACTTCAACCAAAATCGATGTATTTGGACGTATTAGTGATGACACGACATCGATGTATTTTTTTCCTTTCTTCGCTATTTCATTTCCGGTTAACCAAGGTTCAATAGCGAATTTGCAGCCTCTATCGTTTAAGATTTAAGACGGAAAACAGCGTCTGTGAAAATATTTGGCGAGCTGAATTCGGAAATTTCTCTTGCGCTCCTTATTTTCACCTTATAGGGGCGAGGAAACGTCACGTTTCTCTGCCAAAAGACTTCAGTCTTGAGGTTGCTTTTTTTTCCGTAGTTTCTTTAAACGAGCGGTAATTTTCTTACCTGTTTTGCCCTTGGAAGAAGAATTAGTTTTATTTGTTCCTAGACGTGTAAACGGGTTAGCTTTTATTGCTTGCAAGTGAATTCTAAGAATAAGAGAATAAGATTGGTTTTTTTATTAAATAAAGATTTCTCAATTAAACACACTTCCATCTTTTTCCTTCCAACACAAACTTGAAGAGCCTGACAAAGAAAAACCGAAGGCTCATGTAACCAATGAGCTGAAGAACAAACAATTGAAGGGTTATTGTAAATAACATTTTAAAATGAAAAGCAAGTACAAACCTATATCGAAATATACCATTATTGTCGTTGTGCAGGTAAACTGAGAGAGTTTTCGGAACTTCTTTCAAAGATGTAAATGATTGTCTGACGTTGGAAATTAATCTCTTTTTTAACTTTTTAAGCTTTACTTCTTGTTTTTACCAGCTCTCTCTGAGCCTCGATCTTGCGCAGCTGTATTTAAAGCTTCTAAGATGAGTGCGGAATCTAACTATTGGTGGAATAACTAAGACGTAACGCACACACGTATAAAAAAATAGCCTCCATTTGGCGCGAAAATATGCTTAGATATTTGTCCGCAGACATTACCGGTTCCAAGATGCGAACGATTTTCCTAGTGTGACGCTGATGGCTGACAGCGTGTGCGTTGTAAGAAAAGGAGTGGTACAAAAAACACGTTTTAACTTCTAAATGGTAGAACAGTTCCCTTCACACCTTTCTTATCTCGACAGATCACAACAACGAGGTCCTCACGGAGGACATAACCATTGCACTGGATAGATGAGCTCAAAACTCTTCGTTAATGACATTCTTACTGAGTTTAAATGTTTGGATAATTCCATTCCATTATTTTGCCGCACCCTTATTATATGACATAATTGGCAAAAGGCACAATACCCTGACACTCTGATTGGACCGAAATGCATGTCAAAGATACCCTATTGCTGTGATCCGTTTGGTGAGAGATACATACGCTATTGCTGTGATCTGATTGGTGCGAGATACCTGCCCTAATTCTGTGATCTGATTGGTGCGTGATGCCTACCCTGATGCTGTGATCTGACTAGTGCGAGATACCTACCCGTAATGCTGTGATCTGAGCTGGTTTGTGCTAGATTATTATTGCTGCGATCTGGTTGGTTCGAAATACATACCCTAATGCTGTGATCTGGTAAGCGCACGATCTAGCAGTTGGAAATGGCCCTTCGCAAGTTTCTTACGATCAAAGCACATTTAATGAACGAGCATTTGGTACTTTGTTTGGAATGTAGCTTCTTCGAATGGTTTCCAGAGTTCGAGTGATTTAGAATGTAAAGTTAAGATTTAGTAATGATCGATTGAACGTCGTATTTTGCGAAAACAAAGAAAGTCATATTTCTACGATAAACCATACAGATGACTGTCATTAAGTAGAAAACATTAAATAAAAAAATACGTTTGTTTTGATCACTCACTGTCTCCAAGGAGCATTGACAAAGAGTTTGCACTAAAAAAACCAGATAAATTCAAGATAGAGAGAAAACTGTAAAACAAAAGTTTTGTAAGGGGGGGTCTAAATCAGCGACAGGGGTCCATAACGACCTGGGGATTTCGGGGGTCCATACCCGCCAGGAGATTTGAGCCCAGGGGTTTATGTCCGCTGGGGGATTTCGACTGGGGTATCCGAATTCTCCGTGACGCCGGTATTAATTCCGCACAACCTCATACTTCATGATGAATTCAGTTCTTGGATAAAGAAAACAATGGCGAAAACAATCCATTAGCTTTGGGACGGGGTGATACTGACATCTTTCCCTGGCGAAGAAACGAACAAATTATATTTGCAAAAGTTCACCTTAAACTTCCAAGATGGTGCAAGGTGATCACGATTTCCCTGAAGTGGCACGTTCATTTCGTTTCATTGTCTTTTCCGACAAATGAGTGGCAAATGCAGCAATATATAATTTGTCCACCGCTTCCTGGGGAATATGTAGTTCTTTGAAACCGTTATGGCAAGCCTTATGACATAGAAATGTAAGAAACCGGGTGTTTTTCGTAACGTAGTAGTGCCCAGGCCATGCTTTAGTTCAACAAAAGTCCACCATTTGATTATCAGGTAAAAATTCTCGAGGCGACCAGTGGTGGTATATAATGAAGGTATCAGGGTTATGTCCCTATTTCATTATGATTTCCAGTGAATTTTAGAGGGGTCGTGAAGGGAAGTCAGTAAGGGCATTAGGAGTTTGTGTTTTGTCAAAGCCTTTTTGTCATTACCCTGATGACAACAATGGAAAGATATTAACCGTTAGCCGTAAATTGCCAAAATTTTAACCGTTTTCCGTAAAAGCAATCACCCGTTATGATCCTCCTATAATGGTAGCATGCACCAAATGGAAACCAAGTATGGAAAAGCATTTTTACTTGGAAAGGCGCAAAACAAATGGACAGTGGCGAAAAACTTCTCAACCATGACAGGCCATAATCATTGCACTAAAGCCATCCGATTTTCTCTCGTTTATTCATAAGAAAAAGAATTTTATCGAATAGAGCAAGGAACATCGTCAAATTAGGGCTCCATCTTCAAATTGAGAGGTGTTGTCCACTCTCTCAGGACCGTGAGACAAAGAAGAATCTGGGCCCTCTGTCGAACCCGGACGATAACACCCTTTAATTAATTCAAAATTGAAGAGATTCAAATCGAATATTGCGAAGGGGGAGGGGGTTGAGGAAGGTCCACTGAGACTCTAAGGGCCCGAGAGTTGTAATGAGAAGATTGCTCCCTCACCTATTCTGTACCATCTCCTTTCCTAACGCAGAGCAAAAGTTAACAACTTTTTACAACATTTTAATATATTTACACTTAATGTCAAAGCACGAATGCTTAGAAAATACATTCATTTATTTATAGAAGGTAAGCATACCTTCTCTACAATAAAATTCAATATCATCTCAATTGCATACAAAAATTTCAATGACAAAAATAAATGTCTTATATCGTCACACTTCTTTCACTTTGCAAATATGTTGCTTTGATAGTTCTTCTGCTAAACTTTAAACACTGCAGAGAAGGATCGAAACGATATTAGGTGATCCGTGTGCTGAGAGTTTCCGCATGGTGAGGTCAACTTTAGCGGTAATACTGACGCGGTCGAAGTGTTGATCTCTCCTTGTTTCAAAACGTTCCACCATCCTGGAGTCATTCACCCTGTAATGAGAGGAAAGAAACACTTTCATTAAATTTAACTTCACTAAATTATCCATTGATAGATGACAGGGAAAAGGTTGGCGAAAGTTTAGAAATACCTCAAAAGTAAGGCGTTATAATTATCCCGTTATTATGGCGTTAGTGTTAGGGTGCCTCAGGATCCCAGACCCATATTTTGAAAGTTTATACATTCACCAAATTTTTCAAGTTTGCTCGTTTCTACTTAACTTGGTGGTAGAACCGCCAAGGAATATCCTCGAGACAAAAATTGTTGGGCCAAAAGCGTCTCTATCCGCCAACGAAAATCTTTGTCGAGTTTCTTGTTACCACCAACCCCCTTTCAACATTCAGACTTCTTCATGCGGTCAACTTTTTGAGTTAACAGCGATAAAAATTGAAGTAAAAGGTAGATTCTGAAACAGTTGTAGCTTTACCTAAAACTATATTATAATATACTGGCAAAAAGGAATATAACTGACCATATATTCATAGTGTCTCCTTGACTACGGGCTGCCACATCACTTTCATCATCCAAAAACATTATCTGATGTAAAGCAGCTTTTTCTCTCCTGGTTACCATCTGATTCTCTTGATGTCCAATTCTCACGTAGAGCTCTTTCTCTGGATAAGAACCACACTCTTTTTGCTTCTTCAGTTCTCCTTTTTCTTTCAGTTCTGTCAACTGGTCATCCTTTTCGCAAGCCATTAATAGTATGGCAGTCAAAGTGCAGTTCTCTCTTCTTAACCTTGTTATATGATCTTCAAATGTTCTTGTGATCCTTGAGTTTTCAAATTTTAACTCATACAACTGGTTTTCTTCTTCTGATGCCTTTGATAGTAACGAGGATAGTTTGGATTTTTCTTTTTGTAACTTCGCAATTTCATCTTTGAGATCCATTGAAGTCTTTGAGGTGTCACATTTTATCTCATGGTACTGGTTCTCTAACAAAACTGCTTGCTCTTCATTCAACACCAGGGATCCATTAGGTAACTCTACTTCCTCGCGTGAACGTCTGCATCCACCGCGACTATGTTCCATCATATATTCCCTGTTCATTTCCTGTATCGTTATCTTCAGCTCATCAACCTCAAACATCAGATCTTCGTTTCTTTCTTGACTGTTTTTTAAACATTCCTCCAGATAATCAACATCATCAAAGAACTCTTCTCTTTCTGCTTTCAGCACGTCCACTTGGTAATCTAACAGAACCATTCGCTGTTCATTCAACTCTAGGGATCCATTTAGTAACTCTACTTCCTCGCGTAGATGCCCGCATCCACCGCGACCGTGTTCCATCATGTACTCCCTTTTCATTTCCTGTATCGATATCTTCAGCTCATCAACCTCAAACACCAGATCTTCATTTCTTTCTTGACTGTTTTTCAAACATTCCTCCAAGTAATCAACATCATCCAAGAACTCTTCTCTTTCGGCTTTAAACGCTTCCACTTGACTCTCTAACAGAGCTATTCGCTGTTCATTAAACTCCTGGGATCCATTTAGTAGCTCTACTTCCTCGCGTAGATGTCCGCGTCCATCGCGACTGTGTTCCATCCCTTCCTCCCTGTTCATTTCCTGTATCGTTATCTTCAGCTCATCAACCTCAAACATCAGATCTTCATTCCTTTCTTGACTGTTCTTTAAGCTTTCCTCCAAGTAATCAACATCATCCAATAGCTCTCTTCTTTCCACCATAACCTTTTCCACGAATGCATTTCCTTCTTCCCATTTTCGCTCCTTTCTCTTGAAATCACGTTTTAAATTTGCCAGCTCTCTTTCTTTGTATTCTTCCTTAAGCTGCATTCGCTTTATCTCAACTTGGCTCTCTTCCAGGTCAGCCTGCAAAGTTTTTATCATCTTTCGGTACGTTTCAAGTTTCTCAGTTGTGACGCGTGGTTCTTTCTCATCTTTGCAGACCTGTTTATTTAAGCAAAAGAGGCGTTGTTTTTGTTGCAGCTGTTGAATTTGTGGATGATAGTTAGTCATCCTTTTGTAACTATGATAGTTAAAACTGGCAGAAATGAAGTCATGATATAAATGAGTGATAACCGCAATTAGGATACGTGATTCCGTTCACGACTTAGTCGCTTTTCTTCTAAGACACGATTTCGGAATCACATAAAAATGGCAAACGACAGCCAAACACGACATTAAGTCTCAGGTCCTCCAGGAGAGACAGTTGTCATTGTGAGATACTTTACTGACGACATTTGTTTATAAAACATTTGTCTCGCAATCTGGCCTCAAGTGATAGATGTTATGCAAATTTACCTGTTTTAGCTGCGCTTTGTTATCAGACTCGTTCTCTGACAAAGATCTTCTCTTACTCTCTCTGCTCAGGCGAGTCATTCTGACTGGTATTCTTGATTTCTGATGCAGAGAAGGAGTATGATTTTGGTTTCTTTTCTTTACGGGGTGAAGCGACGAAGCCATCGCGTCTCACTCGTGGTTTACTCTCGTTCGATGAAAATCCTTACTCAAATAGAGTTTGTTTTGTTTGTTTGTTTTTGTTTTCGTTTTGGTATTTGCTCTGTTTGAAGTAGTTTTTCTCTCAAATTAGACTTTGAAATAATCTAAATTTCCAAAGCTCCGAATTTCGATACTAATCGCATCGATAGCTGAAGCAAATGATTTTGTTTTGAGCGAAAATCCATGGAAACCATCTCTTACGAGTTTTTCGTCATACAGAGCGAGGAAACCTTCGATAGCTCGTGCACGGTAAGCTTAACGGGAATTTGATGATAAATCTAATACTGAAATACTACAACGTTGTGTCCAAATTCTAGAACTGTGAGAATTTTGAAAGCTTTTCCCTTCGAAAACTAGCTAACACAAAAATATGATGCCAAATGAAAAATTTACTTGCAAAATGCTTTCCACATCCCAAAGATGCCAAGCAAGTATGCAGGCGAAAAAAAAAATGATCCTTTGTGATAACTAAACAGAGCTCCCTAACTTCTTGGATACAAAAAGAGTCATTGATATACGGCTTATAATCTAATTGTGCCTTGACAGTCTTACTCAGGAACGTGTAGATCCATTGAAGTGAGCAGAAAAGTCCTCTCCTTTCATTCATCCAAAGAAAACGAGTTTGATGCTTCCAGTAACTTTGGATGGTGATAACTACGTTAGTAAAGATGATTTGGTGAAGACAGAGATGTTGGAGTTCTTCTCTTGTTAGCATTTTCAAGTGAAAAAGGTGTTGAGCTGCAGTCAAAATTCCACATAACTTTGCGAGGCCTGTAACCAGAAGTAAGCTGTAAAAATTTCTACTTTTAGTGATTTTCGCAGATTTCAATCTTCCATTCGTGTCGGTTCAGTTTGTATCGATCTTAATTGTCTTGAAAGGTAGTGCCTTAACTTACCCACTTCCGTCTTGTAAACTGTTAATCAATCTATAATCTACTGTTGGCTTGTTATTGTTATTATTTAAATTTTGTAGACACTCTTTAGCAGCCATTTATCGGAAATGAATCGCTGAAATAATGAAATTAACATTCGGACTGATTTACTCAGAGTTCACAGTCTCTTTCACATCACAATTGCGAACCCAGTCAAATGTTCAAGTGCTCTTTTAGCCAATCAGAGAAGAGAAAAAGGCAAGGTATTTGATAAGTCAAGAGAGGTTGATCTCAGTGTTGATTGACAGTTATGAAAGTATTAGGAGGAACAGCAAATCCCTGAATTTAAGCTGAATTTCAATGCTGCCCTAAATTAAAGTGACCTAAGAAATAACAAATACATCAACAACAAATTTCTGTATTATGGCAAAACTTTATTGACTTCTACAATGAAAAATACAAAAACGCTAGTTATTTACAAGGAATCATGAGCAAAACTGCTATTTACAAGGAACCATGAGCAGATCAACATGTAAACTTTGTTGGCAGATGTTGTGGTCTGATATTTCCTTTTCTTCACTTGCTTATTTTCATCTTCTACTCGTCTTTTGTGTGCTGATGTACAACACTGAAAAGGAACAGATACATCATTCAGTAACATAGCTCACTCAACCCATTACACCCCAACATCAGTATGCATATTCTCCATACTGTTCTCTGTGCATTTCCTAATGCACTAACAAGGACAGTTTGCTTAACAATCAAAAGCTTCTTTCGTTGGTGATCATTTTCTATATTCTCCTGACCTAAATGTTTGATTCAGGGGTGATATTGTAAGGAGAAATGAGATCCTAGTCACTTGCAGGAGTTTAAAATGATTAAATTGTGGGGGTGTGAAGTTGACTCTTGCAGAACTATGAATGAAGAATTTCCATGCAAACCCTGGCTTCTGAAAGGATAGTAGATGAACGCAAATAAAATCAGATGGATGCAAAGAGCAAAACACAAAGTAGTGATGAGCTAAAATTTACAATTTTATGACAGAGAATGGAATTTAACATAAAATCATGGCTGGTTTATTAATTTCTATTTCTTTTTTTTCCTTTTAAAATAGGAATGAGGGTTTATTTCATTATCCTTCTTTTATGATTTTTATTTTCAAGAACAAGGAGTGTCCCTTCAACAGACTTAGATCCTAACAGCTACATACCATTGTTTCCTCTCAAAAAAGCATCACCATATTTGTTTTTCAGCTGAAAAATAAATGAGATTAATTAGATTGCAGTGTTGCATAAATTAATTACTAGTTGAAATTAAGCCATGGATTCTATAAAATATCCATACCCACAATGTTTGTCTACCAACTTACTTATAGAAATTCCTGAATGCCTAAAATTCCATTTGTGCTTTTTTTTAACTCTTCCCCCTCCCTTTGGGAAATCCAGTTGAAGAAAAAAATGCTTCAATAAGTTGAAGGCTACAAACTTATTATAGACTGTAATGTTTTGAAAGTTCTAGTGTACTGAGATGGTTCACTTTCATTTGATCAAGTTAACACTTTACACCCCAACATCAGTATGCATATTCTCCATAAGTTCTCTATACATTTCCCAAAGTACTAACAAGGAGAATTTGTTTAACAATCCAGAGCTTCTTTAGTTGCTGATGATTTCCTTTATTCTCATGACCTAAATGTGTGATTCAAGAGTGATACTGTACAGAGAAATTAGATGCTGGTCACTCTTAGGGGTTAAAAGGTTAATCACTACCCTTTACCCTTTTCTCCTAACTCCACACTGCCAAAAAACATCCATAAATCATTCCACAAGAAGAGCACAATGCCAGCCATATTGAAGGCCTCAAGGTAAGTGAAGGAAATGAGTCTAAAGGCAAAACTTAATTTTGTGGACAAGGAGGAGAGAAGTGCAAACATGAGAGCATTGATTAATATGAAATAGGTACAAGAAATTTGGCTCACCTGCCCATTTGCATACTCCTCTGTTTGTTCTAAGGCAATGTTCATGTAACCATCAAGGCAGGCAAGTACTCCTGAAAGAAATCACAACCAATAGTATTTATGTGTCTACCCAAAGACCGAAAACAAAATTAAATTGACATGGCATGCCATAATAATAATAATAATAATAATAATAATAACAATAACAATAATGATAATAATAATAATAAAAATAATAATAATAATAATAATAATTTATTAATTTATAGTGTGCTTTTTAACATACCTAGTGATCAAAAGCACACAATAGGAGACACAACATCACAAGTTAAACAAAAGCATCCACAAGGTGCATGTGGTTACTGCTGGTAATGGGTGAACACACACTAGGTAACCTTTTACATGTATTTTTGTCTGTTTCATGGGTCAGCTGTCATCTCCTTTGCTAATGAATAGCATCTTAATTGTCAATAACAGATACAAGTGAGCATACTTTTGTAAGGATAGCAAGGAGTTTGTAAGGACCTTTATGGTGTCACCTTAATGAAGGAAAGTGTCTGACATTTGCAAACTCTGTAGTTAACTAACTATATAAAGGCATTGTGGGAAAATAAAATGTAAAAATCATAATGGAATTAACCTCAAGGAAAGAACCTTGAAATTTTTTTTTTCCTTTTAATGTAATTGACAGGGAGATATCACTCATTTTAGTGTTTAAATGGTAAAACTAGTCTCTTGCAGCTGTTGTTTGGTCTTGTAATAATAACAATAACAGTTTATTAAACTCTCTTGCAGTAACTTACTGAACTAACAAGTTATAATACAATGAAAACTTAATAAGATCAACAATGTACATTTCTGTATATATTAAGTACAAATTATATACACCACAACAGAACATGCATCACATTTGTTAAAAATACTTAAAAGTGAAAAAGTCTTTGGTGCACTTCGTTCTACAGGTAGTAACGTTTCTGTAAAAGTACAGCTGGTCTGATTTGTGCCTTAGGGTATAGGGAAAGAAGAGGAGAAGAGGGTGGTTTAAGTCCTTCATTTTGCACATATACTCTTTACATATCTTATCTCTTCTGTACGCAAGGGTCTCCACCCATGCTAACTCAAGGGCATCTGAGTAGCTATCAGCACATGGGAAAATTATCTTAAGTGCCCTTTTCTGTATGGATTCAATTTTGTCAGACAGATAACCTGGAATGGATTGCCACACAGGCACGGTGTACTCTAGAACAGATCTAACAAAGCTTGTGTGGACCTTTAACAAGCTACCTTGATCCACACTGGCTCGACATGGAATATGTCGGGAGTAGAGCTTCTTGCAAGCTTCTTTATATATGTAGTCTACATGACTATTCCACCAAAGGTGCTATTGATAAATACTCTTGTTGGTTGATACATGTTCTATACTGTTGTTACCAACAACTAATGGTCTGAGAGTAAAGTCAGGATAAAACATAAAGTTAATTAACATCTCTTTACACTTAATAGGGTTTAGTTGCATGTTGTGATCCATAGAAAATCTGTGAATGTCAGATACAATCGAATTGAGCAGACTGATAGAGTTCCTGGGTAGTATTTCTATGGCAGACGTGTCATCCAGAAACTTGACTCTCAGAGGCCAATCAGCTAAAAGATTGTTTGTCATTATTATGAAAAGTATCACTCCTAGTTTAACTCCCTGAGGCAGACCTCCTTTGAGGAATTTCCAATCTGATAGTGTTGCACCTGTTCTTACAGCCTGCTGTCTGTCTGTTAGGAACGCAGCAATCCAACTGATGAGCATGGGATCAACCTCTAGTTTTCACAGCTCAGTCATTAAGATGACTGAGTTATCATGCAACATACTCTTTCCCTCTACAGAGGAGGGAGATAAGGAGAGAGTGTATTGTGTGATGAACCAATCAATGGTTGCAGAGAAAACTAAGGTAAAAGTCCTTTAAAAGAACACCAAAATATGTCAACTAATTTTTGGTCTCACTTTGTGAGTTTATAATAACTTTCTGAAAAGGACACAAAATGCCCTTTACTTACTTACAGCATGATAAAATGTGTTTACTAGTTTCACCAGTAACCATAAAATGTATATGACTATAAAATGACAGAGATGAAAGATGTTCCAG